CGAAGTAATACAATGTGGTCTATATAGAATAAGCCTACTCTGCCTAGAGAACGAATAAACAAATGCATATGTTTTTCCATGTTCATTCTGTTGCTTTGGTTCAAAGACTTTTATGACTAGGGAAATGATTTCCGAAAATTCACATTAGATTACCTCTTTTCTAGATCATTCACCGGAATGTACGACCTACACAAGTTTCCTATGGGTGGCATTGAATCGGATCCTATATTTCCCAATTATAGTCTTCATTACCGGATTGGTACAGAAAAGTATGACGCTGGTTGCAAACTGATCAGCAATGAATATTCACTGGCCGCTACAATCACCGAGGGGGATGACAACGGTGCGAGTTAATAAGCTCACAATATCAACATTTTTCCTTCTGCAAATTGAAATACATAAAATAGTACGCGAAGGCTTAAAATGAGCAAAAGACACCATTCTGTCCGGACCAGTTTTCGTTACCACGTCCTATGTAAACGATGCACGCACTATCGAAGCCAATGATCAACGCCGTGTGATTTGACGTCACACGTAGAATGATGAACTTATTGAGGTCAATCATCTTACGCGAAGTTAGAAAAGGGCCTTTGTATTACCTCTGTAAAACAGATTATTAAATCCATTCCATGACTGTGTTATATCCATGCACTGTTTGTTCTTGAGGGGATTTGTTTAGTTTGTTTTATTTTAATCATATTTATTTACGTCAGAGATCGAAAGACCATACATACAATTTACAAAATGAAATTAAGTTGGATATAATTTATTGTGAGTTACAGATGTTATATAAAACATGCAATATATAGATGTGTGTTTTGTATGATCTAAAACTAGTGACATATGCATATTAGTTTGCATTTTCTCCCTCGAGTTTAATGACACATGCCTCGATCGCGTGACTAAATTCGTGTTCTCAAACGAAATATCACGAAATAAATACCTTACAGCGAATTTGATTAAAAATAAACAAAACACTAATGTAGCGATACTGATTTTCATTATTGGTCACCATCACACCCATTTACTTTAATCAAACAGTCTGATCGGTCAGTAAGGGTTAGATTAGTCATAATTAGTTACTTGTAAGCGTGGTTGTTGTAAATAACTCATAGTTCGGGGCGTGTTTGTTTTGTTGTTGACATAACCGGGGTTATCATTATATAATTACATTAAATCCGCGGGTCTAACTGATAGCAGGAAAAAACAGCACAGATAGACATAAAGCATATGCATTTACCCACCTCGTAAACATTAAATCACAGTGTCAAAATAAGTGTAGATACAGGATTGTTGAAAGACAGTAGTGTGAAAAAAGGGCCCATGCGAGCGAACCAAGTAAATAACCTAACAATGTAACATTGCTATTCTGTTTATTATCGCCTTGTGTACTAAATTCACTTTTTCTAATACTAATTATACGTTCAGAATCAATGAGTACTAAAAATTTAATTTATGTTCTTGTGTGCAACCAGTGCAATAAAATATATATGGGAATACGGTACTAACTACGCACACGTTTCCTCTTTAACTCAATATTTTCCATAATATTCAAAATTAAACACACGAATTAGAATTCAATATTTGCCCGTTCAATCAACATTAATTTTGCTATCTTGCCGTGAAAATATGGGATCCTGATATCCAATATTTAAAACACGACGAACATTTTAAACACAGTGCACGCGTCGTGTACTCTATGGTTTCTGGCGCCATTTGTAATGCCTACAATATAGTAATTAGTAATGGCTGATTCACTAACAACAAAATAATAATTAAAAAACGTGTAAAATGGACTGTAGTTCTACTTAGACTGCTCACATATTTCACCGAACATAATTGATTAGAAATTACAATGAATTTTAAAAAATCGAATATAAATCACTTTACATACTTTCATATTACATTAATATGTACCTTTAAAGCATTTATGGAACCATAGGCTACGGCCTTTAATAATGTCGATTTTATTCAGATGATTACAGATCCAACATTTTATGAATGAAGGATAAGGATATGGATACTTTAAGTCAATACTGAAAACCTGAGGTAACTTGGAAAATAAATTAATGGGGATAATGATATACTATGATACTGTATTTATTGAACGGTTAAGAAATAGTGCTTAAAGCTTAATGGCCAAAACTGGTTGTTTTCTTTGCCCAGAGCCCAAATCCAAATTTCACCCCCGTTAATGCTTTTTGGAATGTTCCCCAAAATACCCCTGTCAAGTTCCATCCAGCTCTGTTCGCAAACGCCCGGGAAATAAGACCTCAAATGGATTTTCTACAAGAGAAGAAAAAAGAGAAGAGTGTATGCGAGTGGGGCTTGTCCTTGGCATGAAACCCACCACAGCATGTAGCTGAGAAGGGTAAAAGGTTTTTCTGGTGAACAATATCTGAGACAAGGAGTAAACAAAAAATGGATGAAAACGGAACTAATCACAGGAACTGCTGACAACAATCCCATGGATGAAAACTGTCCGTGAACTTATTTCAACTCTCTGTTGTTGGATTTTTTGTTGTTTCTTTAAGTGGCACCAAGCTGTGCATATATGTTACTTGTCATTCATTCATGTATAGCAAGCCATTCAGCAGTTTAGAGTTACCTTTCCTGTCATCGTTTTGACAATTTATACAAGTTTTCCTATTATCCAAGTAATGATTAAATGGATCTATCATTATGTTAAGTGCACTATATAGTACTGTTAATTGAACATCATAGAACCTGTATTAATAGTCATCAACTAGAAAATTGGTAAGTGTCAAATGGGTTTATTGTTCGTCTACATCGGAACCGACTGATTTGTGTAAATAATGTATGCGCCGTTATAGACCCCATTTACTATATTATATAAGTTCATCCATTACATTAACGTCGATTGCATTTATTAATAATTCAAGGAACAGTACATTTGATTATGTTTTTGTAAATTTATACATGACCAGAATCAATATAAATTTAATGATCGAGCCATAAGAATAATCCGCTGTTAGTTATATAACCAGGTGGTTATATATTGCACTATGGTTATATACATCCTTACTAATTTACTTCGTGAGTAATTTTGTTTAGGGACTTGCTACAATGCTTCTGGACGAAACTGTTAGTCCAGAGTGATTGTTGCTGCCATACTTGTGCTCAGAGTTCAGTTTTTTTAGCAGCTTGTGTCCCAAAGATGGTCTCTGTTGATTTTTGACATTTTCGCAAAAACAGTTCCGTACAATCGTTGATAACTATAATGCATTATCATACCCTTATCCACTGCAATGAGTACAATTCTCAGAAATGGTTCATAATTAGGTAAAATTAATTCCAAAGTTACTGCCCCTGACATTCCGTCGATCTTTTCATCCAAATTCTTTTTCAAACATAGACACTAACCCTTCTGAAATCCAGACATGATCGAAATATGTGTATTCGTCCACCAGACCTGTCTAGTTGTTAAGACTGGACGATAAACCGACGTCCCGTTTACACACTGGCGCGTACATAAAAGAATCCTTGACATAGATGGAATTCAGAACAAGATTAGGTTTAACCCGGCTACCCATGTTTCGCTATGAGGCAATTTTTATTATGTGGAACGTAAAGTGATCATATAACTATAATTTTTTGATAAAAAAGATCGTCGGGTATAGTACACTATACGTGACGTAAATAGTAGGAATAAATTATTTAGCATATTATCCACATTACGCAACTAACCCTTATTCATGAAGTAATCAATTATTGATAAAGCGTGGAAAACTCACATTATTGATACAGACATTATACAAAAGGTCACAATTCAACCTGGGTAGGAGTTGTCAGTATGCCGCCATCATTTGTTGAACCCGACAATTTCTCGAATTCCACGTACTTTCAAATTTACATTTGCGTCCTTTGATGCTCACCCAAATACTATAAATTGATGTTTTTGTGTTGTTCAAATGCAGATTCATCTTTTGACCCCTTGCTTTTGTGCCCCAGACGAGGACCGACCACAGATTATCTAAACACTATTATTATGATAAAGTTCAGAGTTTGCAAATCCCATGACAAAACTACCATCAATGATAGCTGTCGACAAGAACACCTTACATTTGTATGAGAGCCGAGAAAGAATATATCAATGCCGACGACCAGCTTAGATTAATGCAAATTAAATTACACACCTGTCGTGTAGCAGACCAACTTTTATTTACTTGAAGTATGCAGCATTAAGCTGGTTGTTCGCATATTGTAAAATGAGTTGTCTTGGCCCTTTGACGATAAAGAAATATATGGTCATTTGGTTTTGTAATATACTGGGAAAGAACTATACGATCTCTCAGTTTTAAAAAATCAATTTTAGTTGTAAATGTTGCCTTTTGGAAATCCATTTCAGCTTTAAGACATAATTACTACACGTGTCGTGCGTTAAAGCGTTTTATCCTCGATTATCAAGTAGGTACATTTCTTCTTGTTACTGGCATCGAGGCAACTATTAACCAGGAATCGAGCATGACATCATCCCAGCCATCTTGCAATAAAAAATTGTGAGGTCAACCGATAGACAATTGTCTAAGGAACGTCCATGCCAAGTTTCAGGTCGATCATTGGTAAAGCCTTGGGCGTTTCGAAGAGCATCGTCCCCAAAAAGAACAAGAGCAACAAGATGAGTAGCGCTATGGGACCACTTCCTGTGATATCAGGGCAGCTCTAGCTGGTTTTTATTAAAGTCCGGTAAGGGAGTGTCATAGGACTTTACCCCGCAACCCCCGGTAAACATCTAGTTTGTTTATAATTACAAAATGACAATTTTTATTGAAGAAAGTCCATTCTTGAAGATAAAAGCGCATTGTTTATCATAAACTTATAGAACATTAATTATTATAATTATTAGTAGTCTTTAATAAACCGATAGACATAGGGTATAATCAAATCAAGACTTAGGTCTATTCTTAATGTCTGATCCCACCCCTTACCTTTATCTAATATTAATTTGACGATACCATATATATTAGCATGCACCCCCTCCCCCATTCACCAACAGTTATTTTCAGAACTTCAACTAGTGTCAATACCGACAATAAATTACAGAGTAAATGGTTTTTTTAGTCATTGTTTCGTATCCGTCATTCATTTCCGGTGAGAAATTACATAGTCATAAGTCCTTTCACTTTAGCATTTAACATTTTGATTTTGTTAATTATTTACATATGTCAACATAACCAAGAACAAAACAGTCATTTCCTCCATCTATCTATGACAAAAATAAATTCCGGACAATGAATTGGCAATAACCATTTACAATGTTCTATCTGGGAATTCAATCAATTTCTTTTCTTTCCATAGTACTAAACAAATAACACAAGTAATATTCAGGGAATTTATTTGTTTTAATAATTATCATTCCGCTCACACCATTTTCTTCTATTTACAATGTCATTTTGAGCGATTCCGTAGATTCCTGGTTTCACTCGCTAAAAGAGATACCTGACCACAAAACCAAACACCAAGGACAAAGATATCAACAAGAAAAGCAACAAGAAAAAACGATCCAGTATTATGGCCATTAGATGCCAGTCTTTGGTATCACGTTTTGATTCGTCACTATCAACAATGTTATTTGATATTGAGTCAAGCACCGAAAGAATTTTTTGATGAATGTGTAACAAGTCGGATATAACACCAGATAAATGATGGCCCACGCCGCCATTTGTATTAAGGTTTAGTTCATCATTATTGTTTCTAGTTTCTCTGGGTTTCCGTGTTGGACAATCTATTTGAAATATATCATTATGATGGCGGTTATATTTAATTCCTTCCTCATTCTGAAAAAAAGAAATCATGATTTGATCAATATTTGAAAACATGTATGTTTACAAACGTAACATTTAGTTCACGTTGGGATTTAATGTCTACAAACGTAACATTTAGTTCATATTGGGGATGTAAATATTGGTAGTCCTGTTTTAGACCACTTCTCCATAGGGGTTTAATCTCTAATTCCTGGTATTCTGTTTCATGCAATACATGATATTCCAAGGTGTGACGGGTCAATAACGAATAAAGTGGATATATTATTCAAATCACACGCTAAAATGTGAAGAAATTATCTAATTGGATTCTCGGGAAATTTACATCAAAATATTGGTTATTTCAATGATGATCGCTATAAGATCTGATAAACGAGGTTTTACTAACTCATTTAAAGAATGTAAGCTACTTGATAATCGCGATTCGCGACGGTCATTTATTACCACTACTTCGGGAGAAATATAGACATAATTATCTAGGCAATTGTTTCGTTGAAATTCGACATACGTTACTAATCGAACGCGAAAACGTAAAGATGATTTATTTTCGAAAATGTAGGAAAGAACATCATATAGTTCGTATGAATCAGTTTTAGTCACTAAAATATAATTGAGACTATTTCTTTAAGTCTTTATATTCGTGAAGTTTGCCGTTATGTTACGTTCCACTATTGAACTTATACATTTACATGCGTTTCATGAAAGAGAAATGAAATGAAATGGGGTTTAACGTCCTACTGTTTTGCTCCGAACAGGGCTAATGAAGCCGGGCATACGCCATACAGTGTGCTTTGAGGGAAATTTTGCCTACTACGGCCTACTCTTATATCGAATTCCAACTGTCAAGTGATCTTTTACGTGCACGCCAATGTGTACACGGGACCTCGGTTTTTCGTCCCATCCGAACGACTAGACAGCTTTCCTTGTCAGTCCCTCCGTCCTGCATCACTGACAAGGGAGAACCACGACGGAAAATCTGGATGAACTTTCTCGGCCAATGCAGGGATCGAACACCCGACCTCCAGGCTAGCGAGCCAGCGTCTTACCCACTTAGCCACGTGATCCCCCATGAAAGAGACACCAGGATAAAACACACGTAAATCACTAACGTTCGGACAGGTAAATTATAGTTAATTGGGAAAATACACGAAAATAAATCTTACTAGATAACTTGATTCTATTTTCTCTTCTTGTAGTTTGGTCTGTAGACAGAAAACTTTACCCAAGCCCCCTATAATGACCTTTTTTAAAATACGAGGTGGTTTCATCCCATGAATACCTCTAAAATGTACATTCAGCACCAGTACTGTCATTAAACAAGACATGGCTACCATTACCATTGTGGAAGCAAAATATAATCCTGAAAAAATATCAAATGTTGATCCATTTTAGAGATGGAGTAACTTGCGTTGATGATTCCAATACAGTAGCTATTGAAATAATGATAATAATTGATATATCAGACTGAATCCATTTTTATTTCGGATAGGAATTTGGAACGGATCAAAATGGTGTATCGGAATCTTACAACTTTATTTATATGGTTAGAAAGTAAGCGACTGCTTTAAAAAAAAACACTTAAAGGTCAATGGCGCATACTGTTGACTAAACATTACAGCTTGGTATACACTTCGTTTCAATTTTGCCAGGGAAAGCATTTTAAAATATCAATGTGTATGCCATAAAGCTACTTCCCCTTTTAGATAACGTTGCACTTTGATAATGCTATATTAAGCCCGCTTAAACAAACATCGAACTACAAGTATATTGTTTTTGTTCGGATTATTAATAAAATTTTCATGGAAGCAGTGCATATTCCACACAAATAGACTTTATATCACCTGAAAGATATTTAGGTTAAGAGCTCACTGAGCAGTGGCGCCGGAACGGCACGGGGGCCAGGGTACCAAAAGATAGGGAGGGGGGTCCGGGGGTCTCCCGCCAGCCTCTTAAAACTAAAAAAAAATTGAAATTTGTCAATTCCGAGAAAACTGTTTAGAGCGCCTCTAGCATTCCAAATTCCAACATAAAACCCTTTAAAATACATGATAATGAAAGAGACAAACGCCCGATTATTCACAATTTTCGTATCATGAGCAATTCATGTCATAACAAATTCTTTTTAATTTGAAATTCAATACACCAATCTTCATCAAGAAAATAGAATAAACTTTTTGAACGAGACAGTAGATTTAGAGACACGATTCTTGCAAGAGCTCATATTCAGGAGCAAGTGTTGTTGAGACACTATAATGAGACTATAATCGACCGAAATAATTGATGCGCAATAAATTCAGATATTTTCACAATGTCTATTTCGTCCATCCTCAATTTGTGAATTTTGGCAAATAGTCGATTGTTCAGAGAATTCTGAGACCTTGTGGACTTAGTCCAGGTTTTCAGATGTCGCATCTGGTCAAGGCGTGCATTGATAGCTGATAATGAGAGTGCGAGTGCCAGTTCGTGACCAACCAGAGAGCAATTGCACATCTATCATTTAAAAATGAATAGACTAGTAAAAAGGTTGAAAACTTTCATCATTAGGGCATGGGTATACATGTATACCCCAGAAAAGGGCAGGGTACCATTTGCATACCCTGGTACCCGGGCTCCGGCGCCCCATGTCAATGAATATCTAAAACTTTTAAAAATGTCTACAGCAAGTGACACCATAGATGAAAATGGAATAATATTTGAATTAAGAGTAAACCCGTCAGTTTTTAAATAATTTAAATGTGGGTTTCCCCGATTGGTAGTAGTTCGTAATTCACAAGTTTTGTCCAATAGAATGTGCTCTCTGCGTCGCATGCGGATGGCCTAAGCTAAGAAATGTGAATGGTGAAAATTTTTAGTTTAACGCAAAATATTTCAAGATATCGATGTGAAATTTCCAGAATCCATCACAAATGGGTTGACTAAGCTAAAAATATCAACATATATTTTCCGATTCTGTCCCTATCATTATTTCATGATACATTATCAGTCGAATATGGATGCAGAAGTAGGTCATTTGGTGCTAATTTTGAAAGTTTGCCAGAAAGCTTTCGAGCGCCTTTTGTAATGAAGTGACTCAATGAACTGGATAAACATATCTCACAGGAGAATACTATCGGTGTAGACTGGAATAACCAGACCCAAAAGGCCCTATTCAAAACGATTGAATGTTAATCAGTTTATATACATTCATATTGCATTATTATATGCGTTGCGGTCCATCTGTGCCCATGTCTAGGTGCCAAAGAACTGCGATTTAGCTCCTTTACAGGTGAGGTGCCAATTCTCTTGTTTATTTATTTTATTCAATTTTAGACAAGAATAAAGACACATGTCAAAAATAATTAATGGAAATATGTGTGATTGTGTTGTTTAAAAAACTATCAGAGTTGTTTCTATACTACAACTCCAGTTCAATTTTATTATTATTAAGGGTACCTGTATGATATTGAGTAAATAATTGCAATAGACTAACGGTGTCTATTTATAACATTTCCCCCTTTTTGCCCCTCCTTCCCTTTTCCGCGCTACTTTTTTGTGGAGTTGGTAAAAATCGAAGAAAGGTGTTTGCATTTCGTAACAGGTATTGGTGGATATTAATTTATAATTTTGAGGAGAAAGCAGACATGGCGTAATAGGGAAATCACCTGTAGGAAATGACGTCACGTAAACTTGACACAAAATGATGACGTCATTTGAAAAGTATTAGTCTTAGTATTTATAATTTGATTTTTTAAATGAATGTAATATGAATGTATATTTGTACCTATTAATGGCAGGGTCTCTGATGACGGTGGAATCATATCTAAGACTATCAGCTGAAACACAGCCAGGGATAGCAGAACGGTAACCTCTAAATTGACCTTTTCTCCAGAATCCGATGGCAAAATAAAACCCATCAAGGCAACTGTTGATATCAGCATACAGGGGAATATTAGATTGATCATGTAAAACAATGATTTTCGCTTCAACACAAGCCTGTACACCACTGTAGGGAATGGTATGTCATTGTATATACCCACAATTCTTTCGGCTTCCATACTTTTTACCCACCATTCCACATGTTGTACGTATTTGGACAGGTCACCGTCTCTTAATGGAGCGAGGTCTACATCTAAACCATTGTAAATCCACATACCAAATGTCAAATTACAAACTTGCTCGTCAAAAGGGAAAACTGACACATCTATGTTGCACAAGCTAGCCAACACCATCGGTAAAAGCTGACTAACGCTTCCATCCGAGTCTACACGAATCCTATAATCTTTCACTGCGTCATTTGAAATTTCGGCACTGCTTAAAGACAAAATAAACACATATAAATAGCAAATTAATTCTACTAATGGCTAGATGTGACATATGATTCATCATATAATAATCTATGACGAAATTCATTCGAATCTATTCATATATATTTAGAAAACTTAAAATGTCAGCCCTGTGGTTCTTCCATAAGTATTACAGAAACTACTAATTTAAATGTAAACAACACAGAAAATCAATATTTACTCCATCTCTAAATATGCTTGATCTTCCTAACTTTTTTGAAAAATAAAGAAATCCAAACAAAAACACCGTGGACTCATCGGGACCCACGTTGGCTGAGTGATAAAGGCATCTCAAGGTTCCCGGATTCAATCCTAGTATTAGTCGAGAAAGTTCGGCGTGGTAGAGTCTTGCCAGTGGTGCAGAGCGGGAGACTGGCAAGGAACAACGTCTACCCGTACGGAAGGTACAAACAAGGATGCCTTGTGTACACACTTAACTTTGATACGAAATAAGAGTAAGTCTGGCAAAATTTCCCGCATAGCACACTATATGACATACCCCCTCTTCATCAGCGTCGAAATGAAGGGAATGACATTCGAGAAACATGCACGAATGGTATTGTTTGCACGTTTTATTTTAAAAATACGTAATGCGACAACATAAGATATAGTCTATCATACATAATCATACCTATCATACAGTGTAAGGTCAGGATACCATATTTTATCTGATGGTACAACTATATGATCTATATCATGATATTCTGACTTATTCCATTTAAGTCGACAATCACTCCATGTCTGTAATATCAAATATATTTTAGAAATTAACGAAGTAGACATTAGAACTTAGTTTAATTAATTTTGAATAACTCATGTTCAACTACAGCTCCCACCCCCACCCCCAACCTCCACACACACACGCGCACACACACCTCCTCTCGATTTTCTAATTATAGAAAATCTTAGCACTGGCATACTCAAAGAAAAGGATTTTTACCAGCAGACTATCATATATAGACAAAGAAATTTCGAAACGGGTGTCCCTCTCCGATGAGTGGACAAATTAATCTCAAATTTTTGCATACAGTCAAATTTGATGTAACTGTTACTGAAATCACAATAAGTAAAACATCCTGTTAAATACTATAGTTTTAGATATTAATCAAAACAAAAATATACTCTAGATATTTTATTCAAGAGAAAACATATTTATCCGGTTTAAGCAATACATAACATATTTTGGATAATTTAAGCAAACATTACGTCGGATTGGACAGAAATATTTTTTTTACATCCCATAAACCCACCACTATTAAATGCAAGAAAAGGCTTTAAGCACAAGATGATAGCCAAGTTAAAACTTGGGCTGAGAAATAATGTCCCCGTACTATTATAAATTAGTCAACCTTCCAATAAACCCATGAATAAAGTCTTTAAAAAAAACCCTTACATTTCTCAACCAACAATTGGTGTGTAGAATCTGTTTCGGTTCATTCTGAAAATAAAACGTGTTTAATACATTAACATATTACTTGGCACTTTTCTTAGAATATTTTCTTTCTATTTCCGTGTTTTATGTGTGAATCGAATGATATCATATAATTCTATGAAAGAAATTAACGTTTATGTAACCGGTCATAAAATATATTTGCCATATTTCTTTTTGCGATTATTACACACTTAAAGATACATTCCCACGAAAGTATTTATCGGATAGTTATTGCCGATTAAAGTATGGCAAATTTGGTATATATGGAATGTAGAGACACCCGATCTTACTACAAAAGTACTGCATTTCCCGAAAAACACCCATGGGGCGCGTACAGTATAAATGTAAGCATTTCATTAACTGACAGTCTATCTCCTCGAGTGACGTAAAGAGAGTTTATGTGTTGATCTCATGGCTGACGATTAAACCTTGAAATAAGAAGTTGACAGAGGATATTTATGGTAAATGGACAGCAACTAAAGACAAATAAATTTGAGTCCGGTAAAATCAATAATACTGAATATAAAACGAAAGAAAACGAAATACGAATCGAAAAAATAATATCCCATTTTAATGATGGACATGCAAAAACAATTTGAAATATTTGAGCAATGAATTTGCTTACTTATCAAATATTGCAGTATGCGGCACAGGTGAGAAAATAGACAGGTGTTTCTATTTCAAACGGTGCCTTTATTTACTTGTCGATATGCTACAGACAGGGGTAAATGTTTGATCGGGGATAATCTATCATATAATCAAAAGTAGTATAGATTTGATATCCATTAATAAGTTGTTTGTATTCTGATAAGATTTGCTAATTTAGGATGATCTATATTTTATTACCGTTTTGGAGGATGCTTCTGACACATTATACAAAGATTGGTTATGTAAAGTTGGTATTGGTGTTGGTATTGGCTAATTTAAATAGCTATAAAGATAGTTTGACCATGAGAACAATTACAGACGTTGATCTATAGCCAACGACAACCTTTTTGTATGGAATAGAAAACTTATTAGAGGATATCGAATTGCATATAATGTTGTTTTTAATGATCAACGCTTAGTCCGAATTTATGTAGTCCGTATCCTCTTTCATATTGCTAATTAGACGATGGTTTTGAGAATTTTCACACAGACTACGGTCATTATAACGGAAGCTTAAAATATGTACACCACAACTGTCTTCGAAAATTGGAGCAATGTCGATATCATACTGTGCAGGGGAAAGCCGCAATGCGAAAAAGTTTCCACTCTCTCCTGATTGGACGCGGACGTATTAATCGGCACGACAGTTAAACCCGATTCCATTATATTTAAAGACGTCTATAAAATGAGAATGGTTATGTTCGTGATTCACATCCCAGGTAAAATATACCAACCATTGTTTTGGTAAACTTACCAGCTCTATTATTTGCCGTAAGGCGAGATCCATGACGACATATACCGTGCTGTTGGAGCTACATCTAGGTCGTATAAAATGATGATAGTTAGAGAATATACCAGATACCAGTTGATTTGATATAGATGTAACATTCTCTCCAGCTTTTAAATAAAAACAGGATAAGTATTAATATTGGGATTTCAAATAAGAAAAGATATACAGACTTCGTAATTAAATAAGGTTTTATTTGAAACGGGGGTTTATGAAAAATAAAACTATGCCATCAAATGCCTCTTTAAATCTACCACAACAGAATAGGTATTTCCGTGAAGTTAAAATATAGAAAATATATGTAAATGGGACAGTAAATAAATGGGATTTTAAAAAAGAATAAAATAAATATTAATCGGACTTTAAATACAATGAAACAAGTTATATATATGGGCCATGGACGACGGTTGCCATGCACGACGCCCACATTTGCTAGAGATGGATAGAGAACAAGCTAAAAAAGTTATTTCTCGTACAATCAGGGGCCATAATCCAGGGTGTTACGGTCCGACATGCAACAATATCTAAAGGAACCAAGATCTAGAATATAAACATATATTTTAAGTTTTATCAAAATCTGATAAAAATTGTGACTAAAAAACGCGATTTTTTGTATAATTAGGGGCCATAATCCACGAAGTTAAGGTCCGACATCCGCGAATATCGACAGGAACCAAGATCTTTGGGGTATGAACATATGTTTTAAGTTTCGTCATAATCGGATAAAAATTGTGACCTCTAGGATCCACGGCCTTGGTATTGCATACTTTTACACTATTAGCGTACGAGGAGCGGCCATTTTCTAGAGCAGTGTCGGTCCGATTTGCACGAAGTTCACACTCAATCATCATTAGGGTGTAACGGTGATATATTTGAACGGTCTTTAAAATCGGATAAAAATTGTAACCTCTAGAAGGTCCACAATCCCAAAACGCCATTTTTCCTACAATCAGCGGCCATAATCTAGGATATTACGGTCCAATATGCCTGAGCGAATTTTGAAAGGAACCAAGATCTTTGGTATATAAACCTAGTTTCGTCAAAATCGGATAAAAATTATGTCTTGTAGAATGTCCAAAAACAGAATGTGGACGGATGGACAGTGGCAACGACAATATACTTCCACGTGGAAATATGGATAGGCGTATAAATATAAAGTCAACCATTTAAGCTGCGACATGCCAGTAGGTTAATAAATGTTATCCTATTTCAATTTAAAAATAGTTTAATATGGAAAGTGTTTTGGGGAGATAATCTAGACAATTGATACCAAAAGACTTACGTTACCCCCCCCCCCCCGCCACCCATTTTCATGGATCGAAATGAGTTATCCTTCAGGCATCAACTCTTGGTCCGTATAAGACCGGAGCAAAACGGATTGCTTATGCCATTAATAGAAAGTTATGCGAGGTTTAGAAGATTTTAACTTAAGCTAAGACTGATAAGCTTGGATCAATATGCTTTTTGTTAATGTTACTTTTCATTATAGTTGGCAAGTCTATATCTGCCATTTAATTGGGACTGTCGGGGTATTAAATTAAAAAAAACTAAATTAAGTTGTTGTTCTTAGTGTTTAACTTCCGCTTCCACCGAAGGTAATATCGCAGACAAATTGTCTTATTTTTTATTATCTTAGCGCACGTGGAGTACCCGGGGTAAACCCACGAGGTTGAGAAGGCACCACTATCTCAAAGCCACATACGACCACACCGGGATCGAAACCACAGCCGCAAGACAGAGGTGACCGGCCAGCTAGAGGTCGACACGTGACACTCTTTTCGAAGGAAATTGTATAGACAATATTTTAAATGAATAATATATTAACATGTCATATTTATCTGTACATCTATACATAGCCGTTTACAATACAAAACATATTAAATATACATGTATTTATAAGTTGTAATGGACCATTCGATTCCTTTTATTTTTAGGGATTAAGGCGTAATTTAACTTCATTATTCTCAGTACGTAATACATTAGATGTCTCGAACAGTTCTCTAAAGTGGTTTTCTTTATAAGGAAACACAAGATATTGAAAATGAGATTCGATACATTTAATGAATAATTTGATTACATCTATTACTTTCCCACTTTTAAAATACATATTTCGCCGTTTTATTATGGCTAGACGAGCAAATGAAAGTAGGAGAATAAGTATATTATTCTTTTTACTCCCCTTAATGTGTTTTGTACCAAACAGAATGAGATGATGAAACTCACACAGGCTGAATCCTTCAGGATAAAAATTTATGAGACTAGATCTTAAATATTCACGAAATGTTGAATTACCAGGACATGTTAAGAATAAATGGTTCATATCTTCAATTTGTCTTCTTTGGCAGAGTGTACAAAAAGGTTCATCAATAAGTCTATATTTATATAATTTCTCATTGGTGTATATAATATTATGTACAATTCTATAGTCATTTTTAATACATTCATTGCTTTTAAAATAACAAAACATAGATGCCCAAACATCTTTCCATACAATTTTTTAATGTGTAACTGATCCCAAAATAATTCACTTGTTGGTTTCTGATAGAATTTGTCTCTTAATATAGTATAAAATATTTTAGATGTACAATTTTCAACCGGCATACTTCTTTCTCCATCAGGGATACATAAAGGCTGGTTTAAAATATCGTTATAGCTAGTAGGCATTATACGGGTGTCATTATTAATATTATTCCAGGCAATTAACACAGCTGTATAAAATATTGGTATATTTACAAGACCACCTTTAAAACATTTCATAGAAAATACTTCTATATCTAAATTCATTTTATAATAATATACAGCATTATAAGAATTATCAATATATCTTTTTAGCCAGGCAAGTCTAAAAGCATCTTGTCTTAAAATTATTTTGGGAATATTTAAACCTCCTTGGGTATGAGTGCCGAGAATAGTGGAACTTTTTATTAAGTTTTTTTTTACCAAACCACAAGAAATTCTTAATAGTGGATTCGATATTGACAAGGTAATCCGGTATGTTTAAGATTCTTAATGGATACCATAAAATTGACATACATAACATATTAATAACAATAGATTTCCCCATTAAAGTAAGGTGTCTTTGGGACCACATATTTAAAATATTTTTAATTTTAGACAATTTGGCATCCCAGTTTCTATGTGTACAGGCGGTAAGATTTGGTCCCAAATATATTCCTAAGATCTCGATACAGTCATGCATGACTTTAACATCTACAGCTAGAGTTACATTATTATATTTAACAGAGCCTGCAAGTAAAAGTTCGGATTTTTCAACATTTATTCTAGCGCCGGAAATTGTACAATAAAGATCAAGCTGGGAGAATGTATTAATAATCGAATCTGTATTAGCTAGGGTGAGGGTACAGTCGTCAGCGTGCTGATATAAAAGAGATGGGTTGGGGGAGCCAGGTATTGAAATACCAGTAATGTTAGTATTGGATTTGATGAGGGCGTTAAGAGGTTCCGCCGTAAGGCCATACAATAATGCAGACAATGGACAGCTCTGTCTGACGGACCTAGTAACGGGAAAAGAACGTGACAAATGACCATTGATTTTATACATCAGTGTATAAAGTTTTTACATGGTTAATAAAATTAAAATGCGAGAATATATCTTGTAATCAACATTCAACACTCTAGACCACTAGTCCATCCCAACCCCACTAAAATAAGTAATCAAATGTGGTACACATAACTAGAAAAGTTTTAATAAAATGAAACAATTATTGTGATGCAAATGAAATGAAATTAAATGGGGTTTAAGGTCCTACTGACAAGGGAGAACCACGCCGGAAAATCTGGATGAACTTTCTCGGCCAATGCAGGGATCGAACACCCGACCTCCAGGCTAGCGAGCCAGTGCCTTACCCACTTAGCCACCGTGCATATATTAATTTCAGAGGAAACACATTCATAGATAAAAAGTGATTCAAATTGTGACCACGTATGTAAGAATTTTATTTCTGATAAAGATAATTACACTCTCTAATATTAAAAACAATATAAACTCAGCTACCTTCGTTATTGCAACTACTTCCTGTTTTAATTCAGCGTTTTTAACCAATTTTGACATACGGAGCTTAAGCGATTTTTATTTTTACCGTCTTCAATTTTATTAAAAATCAGTTTTAGCAAATTCTATAGGTCAAAACTAAGCTAAAAAAAACTACATATTCGCATGTAAAAATAATATTGATAATAGTAACTATTGAATATCAATAGAACTGATTTAATGTTTTGAAGATCATTGTCAAGATAGACAAATAACCTTTTAATACTCGATTATGTAATTCTAAATTCATCAAGAAATAAATAAACAAGAATAAGTTCAAAATATTTGATTTCAGAAGTGGCCCGTGAATGACATTTGAACAGTTCTTCATCTCCCTATTTTCGTGTTCTGAAATCAATGCCAACTGTTATAAATAACACGAAATCATACTTTAGGTGTTTATTTCACAACCTTCAATATTTTTGTTATCATTTATAATTAGATTTCAGGTTGTGAATTTTTATTCCTTGCAATTTCCGACATTTTTTAACAAAGCAAACAGGTTTATATAATCTATCCAGTAAAACAATATACACCCAAAAGGCAAATGATGTATTACGGAAGCTTGTCAAGACGTTTTAGAAGGTACTGACATTTGCTTTAGAAATGGGCCAATTCAATGAATAAGTATTGAACAATTAATAATCTGCACGAATATCACAATAATTTTTAAATAATTGTTAAAGTGTGTGTCAAAACAGTTCTGGAAGTTTTGTTAAAATCAATAAAAAGCAATTAAACGGGGGTTTAACGTAGCTAAGTCTCTAACTCAATATCATCCAAAGTCTTACACGTTGAAAACACGAATTATTTGTCAATTCAAATCAACATTGATGTTGTGATCTTACCGGGAAAAGGTAGGCTTCTGATATCCTATATTTAAGACAAAATAAACATATTACCATTGGTACACGAATCGTGTACCATAGTGCGTTTCAGTGTCATTTGTAACACGTGACCAGGAAGAACGAAGCTAGACATATTCCACAACTCATGTCAAACGGTGACGCCATATCTCATCTGGAGAGCATACACAATAGACTGGAATAACCAGACGCTAAAATTTGCCAGTCGGTTGAGACTCCTGCCGTATTTCGCTGGACATAACTGATTTGAAATTAGAGTCAAATCGGAAACAATTGAATGTAAATCAGTTTATATACAATCAGATTACATTATTATATGCGTTGCGAACCATTTAGGTCAATTTCTAGTTCTCAAATATTAGCGATTTAGCTCATTTAACGTCAAATTCCAACCACCAAGGTTATATTACGCGGGATACCGTTTCTTCTCAGATCTGATCTTCGTTAAACTAGTCGGTACACTGGCTAGGAAACCAAGCTGGAAAACTCCCCATGAAGTTTTATCAGCCTAAACCAATACGATACTCATTAGGCTACCGTGGTCACACAACGCCCGTATTTGTACTAATAAATATTTGTCAAGATGGCGTAAGAAAACAACTAAATCTACCTATAAATACCCACAAAGCACGGGTCGGTTTAAGACCCAAAAAGTCGAAAATATATATACAAGCAAGGACTTCTGAACAATCTGAAACAACACAAGCAACATAAATGCCAAATTTGGATGAGTCGAAAACGTGGTTTTGAATGAAAATATCTAAACTTTGCTTTCACCGTACACGTGTCCCGTCGCTTTGGGATCTCTCAACTTCGTTCGAAATAATCTGAATAAGCACCTTTCAAGGTACACTGTTTGAAATCTACCAAGCGGTAAAACCATGGACACGGGTTAAGCCCCTTGAGACGTTGATCTAAACATCCCACCACCGTTTATTTCTCAGGGGTAAGAAGATGCAGTAAGCATGGGAAATAATCCTCCTTCCATTCTATAAAATCAACTAATATCGTATCTGGTTGATTATGATAATTCCCATTTAAATTCTTCAAAGAGGAATTCGGTCTGTTTACAAAATTAAACGGACCACTTTTGGTCAGGAAATGGTTTATTTGCTTCAAATAAAGAATATTTTCCTCTCGGAACACCTAATACAATATTGATATTGGTCACCACTTTTTGCCACAGATCAGAAAAAAATATCATTATTACCTTTAATTACTGCTACTGGTAGAGTTAATAACAGCACTTTAATAACAACCAACCATTCCATCAGATTGAAAACTACTTGACGAACTTAACTCAATTCTTGGTGCTGAAAAAGAAACACAATTTAGAATCATACAGTATGAGAAGGGATGCAAGGTCACGAATCTCAACTAAGAATGGAAATAATAATGGATATGATATCAGCGATTATTCACAACTCTTCATGACTATTACGCTGAATCAACAATCAGTAAGATCATTATAACCCACCGTTTGTTATTAATACGATAAATATTGCATTTAATTTCCATTAAACGAAAGTGGATACCCTTCGCTTATAATGTGCGCATATTAGCAAAATTATTTTGGAATTGGAATGATAACGATAATAAATGATTATTCACGGTGGCCATAATATGCAAGAATGTATTTTTCTGCCTTTCCTTTTTTTTTATTTTAGCAATAACGTAATAATATGAATTTGTATCCTCTCCCATTTCCATTCTAGTTTCTTAAAATCAAAATAAGTTTGTGTAATTAAAACCTTTAAAATTTAAATGGCAAATATAGTTTGTTAGTGTCATAATGACTCCATTTAATCAAAACTAGATTACAATTTCATGGCGTTAATTTTTTTTCTGGTTTTACACTACATTTTTACTAACCAATTTCGCTGCGTTTCATTTTCTTCCTGATATTCACATTACATTTTTATTCTAACCCACGTTCTATTACAACTGCGTACTGTAGGAATCCTCTTTGTATGAGCCCAATATTTTTTAATCCTAGATCTAACAGAATCACCCGTCAACAAGACGCAACCCTATTTACCAATACAGACAGTTTGATTGACACAAACGTCATTAACTCGTTTGGTACAGAAAAATATGACCTCAATATATTAAGCGTTAAATGTCATTATAAACCTGTAACGGTAAATCTCCTTGATCTTTGGGGTATATTCTATGCCCGGAATAACTTGCAGCCTGAAAGTCGGGGCGGGGCGGCTTTTGATATATACAGGGAAATTTGGGGTTATTCTTCCGAAAGTTTTTCTTTAAACCTGTACCGGGTTATTCTTCCAGGGTAGGTTTTTTTCCATATGAAAACATGATAAAGGGTTTTCCTTACGGGAATTCTCATCTTGCGTACATGTAAACATAGACGGTTTATACGCAAGATAAAGTCCTCGACTTCGGTTATGCTGGGGAAGAAAGATAGAAAAACCCTCGGCCTGCCGGTCTCGGTTTTTCTTTTTCTCGGGTTATTTTCTTCCATCTTTCTTTCCCCAGCATAACCTCAGTCTCGTGCTTTATCCTACACATAACATATCCCTATGTTGTGAAAAAAACCGCACATATAATGTCTCGTACTATACACCTGTCACTAATACTGAATGGGACGCCAAATTGGTCTGTATTTCAGAAGTTGGAAACATCAAGCTTCTGATTTCATTTGACTTTATGTATTGATCTGTTTATGTTTTTTCTTAACTGAAAATTTTTACGCTCATAAAATAGCCAATGCTGAGATATAATTGATCAATTGCGTGTTCGACCTACTAAATAGTTTTAACGCCTTTAGACAATAAAATTTGAATGAGAGAGAGAGAGAGAAATAGGCTTTAACGTCCACTCGACTCAAACTAGGTAATTTCGGGACTAACATATGGTTTAATTTTATTTCAATAATTCGCTTGCGCGTAGGGGTCTTTAGCAGTGGGAGGAAACCGGAGGACCCGGAGAAAACCCACGAGATTGGACAGGCACCCCTACTCCTTGTCACGTACATAAAATTTGAATGTGTAAATCCAGAAAATACGTAGTACTAGAATAAGTACTGTTGGTATTGTGGTGTCATCTCTCTAAATAATAAAAACTATATAAAACTTCCCCAAAACACTCTAAAGAAATCTATAATAGATACACGTCTAATACCATACGGAATCGCCAATGTTCCATGTACAGCCATTGGAACTGTGTAAAATACGACCACCAATAACAGTTTGAATAACTGACAAAATTGGAGAGAAAAAAACAGACCTGTCAAAAGCGCCGACTTCACTGCCAACATGGATACAGAAAATAAAATAATTATACCTTCTTCACACTTTAAAACCGGTGCAAATCTGTATGACACTGTGTTAAAACTCCCCACGTTCTTCCTTTTTACTTTTAAATGATCTTGCACGGAATTTAACACGCCTTATCCACATGGAATTTAATGCAAACAACAATAAATACTCTAGTATATACAAGTAGTATTCAGGTTGCAATATAGGAGAAGCTGTTACGATTTATCGATTGCTTCCAGCTGAGCAATATTTGTATATCAAGATCAATCCCGATAGGTTATATCTCTATTATTTGAATAAACCCACAACAGTTGTTAGGCGGTCTTTCATTTCGGTCATTAATAATGAATAAATCTTATTATACCAAATAAGTTTGCCATCTTAATCAATTGTTTAAGTGATAATTATTACAAATGATAATGAATCATATAAAAGTTTTTCAGTTCGATCTCGGTCACTCAGAACAAATTTCATTGTATCCAGCAGAAAGGAGAAACAAGTCTGTTTTTGATTTTGGAACAAAGCATTAATGTATTTATAGGATGGATTTTGTAGTATTGTATTTTTTCTGAAAGCTATTGATGACGACAATCAGTAATGGTGGAGATAGCGTTAGTCACATAACACCAATCCCTTTAACTCTACCCAGCAACAATCTTTTCAGTGACATTTATTATATGGTCTATTTTATTAAAACACAAAACTATTAGGGAATACAGCTCTTGGATTTAATAACAAGACACACTTCAACAGTTTTCAAATTAAAACTGCAATAAAATCAACCTATCTCACGATCATTAGGTGGGTTTCCCGACGGTTGCGAATGGATATTTTCAGATAAGGAGGGTTGTCAGCGAACACTTCATGTTTGAAAACAGTGGGTGTAGATTCACAGCTATTTTATAATGAGACACCATCTTTCCAGAAGTTGATAATGAAATATTTGTATTATTTAATTTCAATAGTTTTGTCCGTCGATTTTGATATAGTAGACTATTTAATTTTCTGAAATAGACTTCGTTTTAGCCAATTTGTCCTGTGCCAATCAATATATGCAATCACATTTAAGGCATGATAATTCATAGTATTTACATCTCCAAAGTAAATAATTATATTATTTTGTTGAAAAGGATTTTGGTATGTTGTAACTAACATATTATTCCAGTATAAGGTCATAAAGAATGACCCGGCGTGAGCGGCAAAATAGTAAAATTATGATTACTTTATTTGTCTAAAACAAAAACCTAAATATGGCGGCGGTGTCATATCAATATATTTTGGGGCGTTTGAAACGTTTCACAGATCATATTTACAAACCCGGATCTCTGGGTTATAATATTTTATATATTGTAAAATCAGTACTAAGTTAAGTGCATATTTATATGGCCCTAACAGGCTAAGCAAAGTTAGTATATAAAAACACATTGTCTGTTTATATGTATAAACGATCAGCCGAGAATTTTTCTTAAAAAATTTAAATTTCCATCAATAAATTTATGTTACGACAGTCCAGTTGGGTAAACGCAGTAAATAAAATCGAAATCAATTCAAAATCAGAGAATGATAAAATTAAATCAGAGATTTTATCTCTTTAAGAGAAAACGGCAACAATTCTAATGATATAATTAATGAACTTTGTACAAACTGAAATCAACATTATGTATATATTAACGTCAGTTATGTTTATATTGATAGTTTTGTAATTGTACTTATTTTGTACAAATAAATTGTTATTCAAAATCAGAGAATGATAAAATTAAATCAGAGATTTTATATCTTTAAGAGAAAACGGCAACAATTCTAATGATATAATTAATGAACTTTGTACAAACTGAAATCAACATTAACGTATATTAACGTCAGTTATGTTTATATTGATAGTTTTGTAATTGTACTTATTTTGTAGAAATAAATTGTTATTAATTAATTAATTATGAGAACCCCAAATAAGGATATATGGTTTAAACAATTTTCATTTGCAATTTTTGAAATTTTTATAGCTGAATTACAGTTTGTCGGATACGAAAACAAGCATGAGGATGCTTATAAATATCGCTTCCTGAAAAAAAAAAGATATCGAGAATATACACACATATACATAAGCGATCAAAACAAAAAAACAAAAATTACAAAAAGATGGTGCAGGGTAGTAGGGTCGAGCAAAGCAGGCAGTAAGCATTTTACTATGGTTTAATTCTGGTAGAGGATTGGATTACATAAGGTTGCACTCACAATTTGAATCGTTTAGTTTGATTTATAATGATTAATATCTGGAGGAACATTTTCAATTCCAAAGAGCAGTACTTTACTGTTTTGATATTTTGGATCAAGTGTATCCAGTGTTTTAGTTCGTTATGTAGTGGACAATGACAAAAGTAATGCACACAGATTTCAACTGATTTACACACATTGGATTATTAGATGTGCATCATGAATTTGTGGTGGTTTAGGTCCCTTTTACAATGCCCCAGTTTGAATTGAATTATTTCGAAAAATCTGTCACCGAAGTAAAATAGATCATTAGAAGGGGATGAATATTTTGATTTGAACTTTGATTTAAAATGTTATATAGACTCCGTACTTAAAATATCAATTTCAAGGTTGGTCTTGAGTGAGATTGAGGAGGGAAAAATGGGCTAAAGTTTTTAAAATAATTTTAGTTTTGCAGATGGCACGAATGGTCAGCTGACTCCTGTAAGGGTATATCTTGTTTGAAAGAAATTCTGGAGCATCATTCTGGACTATTTTATTAAAAGTAATCGATTTATGTTGGGTTCGGCGATATTTCAAAGGATAAAGTCCAGCCTCAGAGTAAAGAATTTCGTGAGAGCCCCCCCCCCCCCCCGGCAGACCAGTTATGGTTTGTAGAGAATCTTAGTGTAGTTTGTCTAGTTTATTTGCTTGTTCGATTGTACAGTTATCCCACAAAACATGAGAATAATCAAAAATAGGTAGAATGAACGATTTGTAAACAGTCTCCAATGTTTTGCGATTTAATCGATATTTTAAAGATCCCAGACAGCTTATCATCTTGCTTATTTTTGAAGTTAGGTAGTTAATATGTGACCTCCAACTTCCCTTTGTGTTGAAAATAACACCGTGGTGCTTACAATTGCTACTGTCACTTATGGTTACATTATTAAAATCAGGACTAAAATCAAGGATAAGTCTGCCATTGTAGGTTTGACAAACTGACGAGGATAATATCGTAAACAGTTTTAATTCCGAGAACCACCTCCCATTCTTACAAAATTCAAGCACGCCAGGTTTTGCGATTCTTTGCCCTCATTACACGCAAAAAACAATAAACAGCTTAATCATTCAGGACCAACAGACAGGAATCGCTTTCTTACCAGCTAAGGCATGAACAAGTGGGAAAGTACCAATGAATCAACCCCTATCACTACACAAAAGACAAGACTCTTTCGGTTCTGTTTCTGCAAATTTCGAAAACATTCCATAGCTCAAAGATATAAAACCGCATACTGAGATTAATAAGTGGACGAAAAATGTCCATATGTTATTAATTATAATAAATATTAATATCTATAATATTTAACAAACACAAGTACACAATGCTAATCTAACATACTTAAACTGTTAAACAAAACAATAATATTGCGGCAGGCGTCTTATATCCTTCTACTGTCTCGGCAGAAAAACAACCTGTTTGTAATACCGTAGAACGACAAAATAAACTTGAAATAACAAATTCGTCTAAAGCATGAAATGTATAGGCATATATGGGTACACTGTGCCTTGAAATTATCAGACGACCGGGGGGGGGGGACAATACGTAGGAACATAGTCTTTCGCGGATACGAAGGGAAATAACTCTTGTTGTGTTGCGACAAACCACCAAACAGTCCCCAAAACTTTTCTGTTGGACCGAACGATCTCCATAACAGATAAAGCAACTACTGGTAATGCCTTGTTCTACATCTTGTATGAGGTTGACAATGGAAATTCTGAAGTACACAAAATTGAAGTAGCATGCATGTACTGGTAAACATTTACTATCCATCGTACATGCCACTGGAATAAATTTCCTAACTATCCTTATTATTTGAACTCGTGACAGAAAACGACCAACCAAACCCACGCATTAAGATTATATACCAGACTTTCAGCAAATATGGCCATGTAACAGGCGAGAAAGAGGATGTAAAGAATTGCACAGGGGAAGTATCTGGTTGTCTGCCAATCGGTGAGTTCGTATGCCTAATGGCGAACGTGTAAATCGTGAGAGGGAAAATCGAATATTGAATGAGAAAAACCAAATCATTCATGGATGAGTATTTTGATAAATAATTGATGGATATTATCATTACAAGCGTTCCTTGTTATTTAATCCTGTCCTGAGCTAGTTCAACTCTGAACTGATTTCACGATACAAAAATGCCAACAGACAAACCCAGTAGGACGTCTATTAAAGGCAAACACTCCCCTCAAATAATTGAAAATCATAGTTGCCTATCTTGCGATAAAGAGGTAAATGAAAAACACATAGGAGTATTCAGTACCATATGCGAAAACTGGTTTCACAGTGAATGTCAGAATATAACACAAAAGTATAAAGTATTGAGTGAACAGAATGACTATACATTGGTTCTGTAAAGGCTGCAATGGAGCAGCAGCTAAAATACACAAAATGTTATGCGCAATGCAGTCCGACCACGAAAAACTAGCAACTAGAGTACACAGTTTAAATGACAAAATGGAGAATCAGTACTGAGATATACCAAATTGTTGATGAAATAAGAAGTGACGTAAAATCATTTTGGAAGTATGTGCAGTCAAAGACAAAAACTAGATCTGATGTGAGTGACTGGATCAAACCAGGTGGTTCCCTTACCACAAGAGACAAGGAAAAGGTTAACATGCTAAATGATCTTTTTCTCTGGTGTTTTCACAAGATTTGAGGAATTTGATGGTAGTTATGGAAAGAAATACAAATATGCTCACGCATTAACAGATATACAGGTGTCTAGAGAAAACGTAATGAAGAAACTGTCTAAACTAAATGTTACCAAGTCTCGTACTCGTTTTTTTCGATATTGGCGAATAAAGAAAAACAACTAGCTCGTTTTTCGATATTCAAACCCGAATCTAAAAAAGCAGATTTAATGGATGTACATCTACAAAATGTCTCAAAAACACATTTGATTAAGTTAGTTTTCTAAATCGAACTAAAGATATCATATACGAGAATGCCTGAGCAATGGATTCACATAAAACATGATCTTTCTCCTTTTTATTTGGTATTGGTGAATGTCGACATACGAGCTACTTGTTTTTCGATATTCAAACTTGAATCCCCAAAAAGCAGATTTAATGGATGTATATCTACGAATGTCTCTTAAACACATCCGATTAAATAGATTTTCTAAAACGAACTACAGACATCTCGAAAAAGCAGATATGATGATATCTTAAATGAGGATGATCACTGATAAAATCCCGGAATTAAGAATCAAGTCTGAATTTCGAAAAACGATTAGCTAATTATTTGTCATTTGCCAATTTAAAAAACAAAGAGAAAATGCAATGTTGATATGAATCCACTGCCCAGGCATCCTCATTAATGATGTCTTTAGTTCGTTTTATTGAGAAGAAGCGTGTTTTATGTGAATCCATTGCTCAGGCGTTCTCGTTTATGATATCTTTAGTTCGTTTTGGAAAACATAAAACATGTGTTTTCGAGACATTCTGTAGATAAATCTGCTTAAGACGAATTATTATTCGGGTTTATTTTGGCACTCGTTGTATTGTATGTTTTGAATTATAGAGGGCTTTCAGCCATCGCAGTAGTGTACCGATGGGAGAGAGCGGTGAGCGAGCAGTCCGTACCGGGCGGCACTTTGAAGTACTGGATTGCAAAACGGCTGTTTTTCTGCCGGGACAGTATTGGAAATACGGTATTACAAAACGGTTGTTTTTCTGCCGAGACAGCAGAAGGATATAAGACGCCCGACACAATATTATTGTTTTGTTCAACAGTTTAAGTATGTTAGATAGACACTGTGTTGTGTTGTGTTTTATCGGGGGGGGGGGGCAAAAGCAAGGACAGCTCCAGATGGTAGGTACACCATTTCTCTGGACATATTGTGTACTTGTGTCTGTTAAATATTATAGTTATTATAGATATTTATTATAATAGCTTATGGACATTTTTCGTCATTTTTTTTAAATCTCAGTATGCGGATTGATATATTTGAGCTATGGAATGTTTTCGAAATTTGCGAAAACAGAACCGAATAATCTTATCATTGGTACTTTTCCCATCGTCCATGCCTTAGCTGGTACGAAAGCGATTCCAGCTGGTCCTGAACGATAAAGCTCTTTTCTGTTTCTTGCTTGTAATGAAGATGAAGAATCGCAAAAGCTGGCGTGCTTAAATTTCTGTAAGAATGGGGTAACTCACGGCGGGTGGTTCTCGGGATTAAAACTGTTTACGATATCATCCTCATCAGGATTTCTAATTTCGTGAAAATCGGACCGAAACTGTCTGACAAAATGGCCGTTCCTTGTACGCAAATAGTGTAATAGCATGTAATACCAAAGTTGTGGACCCTCTAGAGGTCACAATGTTTATCCGAATTTGATGAAACTTAAAATATAGGTTTATATCCCAAAGATCTCAATTCCCATCGATATTTGCACATATCAGACCGTAACTTCCTGGATTATGGCTCCTGATTATACGAAAAATCGTGTTTTTACCCGGTGGACCTTCTAGAGGTCACAATTGTTATCTGATTTTAAAGATAATTTAAACATATCACCATTAGACCATAGGCTATGGTAGGGTGACCCACCATAAATAAATATCTCCATATATCTCGACAATTACGCCACAATATTTATATATATGCCAAGCCTCAAATCAGTTTCACACAATTATAGTCACTAAATAAACGATCATGTTGTACTTAATAAGCTATGACCATTAATCATGTATAAATAATAGACTGAAAACTGGTTCCAAGAGTCGTCCATAACATCCAGACACTTTTGAGTAAAAGATAGGTTACGTGCCCTTGTTTTGAAATTAGTCTCGCTTAACCAGTGTATCGACCATTCTACGTCTGATTGACAGGTCGGGATAATCAAGACTACTTTTTTACGAAACGTAACAGAAAGCTAGAACAAGAAATTGAATTTAGAAATAAGCACGTTAGGTAGCTCAACAATTGTTTTAAGAAGCTTGTAAAAGTAAAATCAAACTACTGCTAGTATCATGTTCCTGCCTAACCCGAGTGATTCAGAGATATTATTTGTACTAAACCAAAAGATGCCGCTCTTAACGGTACAGTTAATGATAAAGCGATTTAAAAAATGAAACGAACGTAATTTCTAAATCTGCTGTAATAACCAAGAAGCTTAATTTAACTGCTATTCAAAATCGTCAACAAATTTTTTACGGCTGTAATTGTTGATAGATATGTAGAGAATTGCACGTGCCATGGCTATTTATAGTATCATACTGTCAGAAAGTTGGTCTCGGCACGGCGAGTGTGCACGCTTCAGTGGTAGTCTCGAACTATCAGCGGTGGACTGTTTTTCTGTGAGTACATAGGTCACCCTACTATCATAGGGATGATTGAGCTTGAATGTCGCGAAAATCGGAACGAAACTGCCCGACAAAATGGCCGCTGTTTGTACGCTAATAGTGTAAAAGTATGCAATTCCAAGGTTGTGGACCCTCTAATTTAAATGTCAGAATTTGTGCCCGATATATGTTTATATCCCAGAGATATCGGTTCGTTTCGATATACGTAAATATACGTAACTTCCTGAATTATGACCCAGATTGTACGGAAAGTCGCCTTTTTTTAGCTTGTTTTCTATTCATCTCTTCCAAAATGTGGACATATCTTGCATGACAACCGCTTGTTTCTTAGTGGATATGGTATTTCATTGAGATGATTGTAGGCCGGATGAGTCGTGTGTTTATTGAGTTGTTACAGCTCTCAATTTTAATCAGTCAAAAATGAAATGGGGTTTAACGTTCTACATTTCTGCGCCGATATTGTCAATAACAATATTTGCGTCATTTCACGATTCTTCAAAACTTTGTTACCGATCAGCCTTAGTAATGATCTATTATGTTAACATTATATTTCAATTGTGTTGATATATATGTAAGGGGGGTAGGATGACCGAACGGTTAGCACGTGCGCGCTGTATCATAAGACCTGCCATTGAGTCAATTGGCGTGGTTTCGATTCCCCCGATTGTACGTGACAAGGAGTAAGGTCGCTTGTCCAACCTCGTGTGTTTTCTCCGGGTCCTCCGGTTACCCCCCACTGCTAAAGACCACTACGCGCAAGCGAATTATTGAATTAGAATTGAACCATGTGCTAGTCCCGAAATGACATAGTTTGTGTCGAGTGGACGTTACCCTCTCTCTCTCTCTCTCTCTCTCTATACCAACTTAGTCCTTTAGCGATTTACCTCCTATTTATATAAACATAAATAGGTTAATAAAGTGTATGATCCCCCCTGCTATAGTCAGGGATCTTTTTACCCAAGGAATCTCATTTCTCCTCGGTGACCATAGTGTTCCCTTTCCCATCTATTTAAGATTATCGTGGCTGGGTTCATAAATATATTTTTCCTGTGTTGTACCGAATGTCGACAAAGTTTGCACACAAAAAGTTAAAACAAAAACGGTTTTTCCAGTTTGATATAAATAAGTTGATAAGTAAACGACAGAAGTTTCAAGTTCACAAAAATCGCGTAGAATAAAGACTCAGAAGGTAAGACATAAAACTAATATATATTTAATTTCACTAATGTTACTCTGTAGACAATACATAAGCGTAGTAGCCGTGGGAATGGGGGCAATGTATTTCCATTTTTCCCTTGTTTTAAACCAATAATACTAAAACTATATTCTAACAATACAATTTCGATGGTGGAGAATATGCTTAAAGTAGCAATACTATTATTGATTCATGATAGTCAACCACGCCCAGTCTATATATATTTGGTGCAGTATGATTATATAAACACTAACATAAAATCCATCTGTTTTTAAATTAGTTGGCAACCAAAATGCCGTTTGTTTACAGAAAACGAAGTTTTTGAAAGATAATTATTAAGCATTATTAGAGAATATTGTCAAAGCTTAAATTGTCAGAATTTCTATTAAAAAAATCATATTCAACAAATAGTATGAATAAAAAATGACTTTAAATTATTCCAACTGACATGGGCTCATTGCCTCCTTAAAATCATGTTTACAAACAGTTAGTTCTTCTCGACTGAACTCAATTATATTTATTACTATATAGATTATATTGTCTGATACAAGCACAATAAGGATATTTTATGTAGGTCACATGGTTATTTTTATACGTTTTGTGTAAATAATGTATATCACTGAACAAGTCGCAACCACTCCTTCACCTAGGCCTACAATGGTGTGTTAACACAGTGATGAACAAACGCGTGATTATACAGCTTTATTTCATCTCTAAGCAAGAAAACGTTTATATGTTCACTCATGCTACGCATTTGTGAAAATATAAGTTTTTCTGCTTCTCGATGAAATAAAATATTGTTATTCACTCTAAAACGACAAATATCCTCTATTTATAATGCATTATGAAAGATTCGGTAAATCACATAAATGGGTAATCAGATGCCCGTTACTCTATTTCAGGACAAACTAACAGGATAAATTCGCCATACGTTGAAATGTTGTGGTAGGCCACATGAGCAATAACTGTATCAGAAAATCCTGTATTTTACAAATAAGTGACAGGAAAACAAAACGGTTTTTACATTAAATCAAAACGAAAGAGAATATGACACTACGGTGTCCCACTGTGGAGCGCAATCCTGCGAGACCACGGGCTTCCAAATCACCGCAATATGCAGGGTTGGGGCCATTACATTGCCAATTACTGCCTTATTTTTAGCAATGTAATTCATTACCATGTCTATTTCAATAAAAACCTGTAGTTATTAAAAAGACAACTCTATTTTCCTGCCATAAAGCATCTATGAAATCTCACTCAAAATAATTTTTGATTCACTAAGACAGATTTCTCTCTATGAATTGTTATTTCTTTCAAATATTACATGATGGCAAAAGTAAATTTTAAAACGAGGGACAGTGCATGACAAAAACTGTTGTTTAAAACGCAGGTAATTAGTTAAAATTCATAAGCAATCCAAATAGTTTGTCTATGCAACTGGGAAATTATAGAAATGAAATGAAATGGAATGGGGTTTAACGTCCTACTGTTCTGCTCCTATGCTGGGCTAATGAAGACGGGCATACGCCATACAGTGTGCTATGAGGGAAATTTTGCCCAGGCAGCGGCACTATCGCCTACTCTTATATCGAATTCCAACTGCCAAGGGATCTTTTACGTGCATTCCAATGTATACATGGGTCCTCGGTTTTTCGTCTCATCCGAAGGACTAGACAGCTGTCCTTGTCAGGCATTCCGTTCTGCACCACTAACAAGGGGAAACCACGTCGGAAAAGGGAAATTATACAGAATGGCTATAATTTATAGTATAAAACGATATATTTTTATATAAAGTAAACATAAAATGATGGGATATTTTAATTAAGTAACAATAAAAAGGATGAGATACGTGAATGCCATTGTTTGGTTTGCCACTTCTCACCTTAAGATTAATCTATAATGGGACTAGCTGTTAATCCAACTGATTGAATGAATGTTAGTATGGGCTTTTAAATAGGCAATAACTCTCAATCCAATTCTAATAATATCTCTCCATTGTGGAGAAATAATGGTCTGATGAATTTGGAGTGTGTGTGAAATAGCTTTATTTAACGTCCGCTTCCACCGAAAATGAATTTGGAGCCCAATCACCCCTTTAAAGGCTGACCTCCAATATTGGCGAGGCACATGTTAACTTGATTGATCATTTGCAACACAATAAGGTACTTATATGGGAACTGACGGTGATGGGGATGGGCGGGATGAGGATGCAATTATGGCAGAATATGGATTACTAGCCATAGCCAGGGGATGTGACTGGCCCAGTTTACTTTCAGTCCATCTGGCTCAAAATAGTATTTGCAAACCATACTACCTCTAGCAATTACAATATTCTATGTATGTTGATCCTGATACACTAAGCAGAACTTCTAAAAAAAAAATTTAATAACCTTTATAGCCCACAGACATACGACGTATTTTTGGAGATCAGTATTGCGAAAGCGTCATTAATTTAACTGATTAAAGATACATTATGTAAGATTTAGATAAAGAGCTGACCATTCATGCTATAATAGCTCAAAAAGAGATAATGTAAAATGAAAATATTGAACATTTCATTTAAATTACTTCATTCTGAGCCAAGTTATCACTGTTTGTAGTTTTTAGTTTTGACAAGGTGTGTGCATAGTGATAACCAGGGCATTGATATATTCGAGACCTAGACTCGCTTTCCGATATTTAACTTAAATTGTTAAATGACGAACCGTTCTAATCTAGTTAAAATCTCGAGTATCCGACGCCATCGAGAGTTGATTATGGTCTTATTTGTTTATAAATGTCTAATTAATAGTTTATGTAACATTTCAGGCCTAAAGAAAGACCTGCAATAGGCAGATTGATCTCTTGCATAATGCATGTTTAAATAAATTATTTAGAGTGTCTGGTAAAATAAATTAAATATAACATATTTCTTGATATTTCATTTCAGCAGTGTCAAGAATTTACCAATCCATCATGTTGGCATCATTCGTTGTTACAATGATAATTGCTACATCAGTGTTCGGCAAGGATGCTTGCGACTCTGGATTATGTACGTGTGCTGGAAAACGAGCGTTATGCAGGGGTCTGAATCTCACATACATCCCTAAATTTCCTGAGAAGATAAGAAATGTTGTCTTCAGTTACAATAATTTAAGAAAACTTGACGAAAATACATTTTCAAACCTCAGTACTCTAAATTTATATAAATTATCTATAGCATACAATCATATTCAAAATTATGGAAACATTACACTGGATAATCTTCATCAACTCAAAATATTTTCTTTGACTGGGAACTTATTGAAAAGTATTTCCCTGCCCAATGTAGTTAAGAGTATCAGTCGCATAAAACTTTCCACCCTTGTTCTGAAATACATAGGTGTAACGAATATACCCGAAGATTTGTTCAGTGTTTATGAATCCTTTAAACGCCCTTCCTTGGAACAATTAGATTTGTCTTGGAACAACATAAATTTATTTAACGTTTCAATATTTAAACCACTGAAGCGGTTGAAAATATTATACCTTACTGGCAACAAACTTGCCGACATGTCATCCATCATCATGGATCATGGACTGGATTTAAAAAAATTATATTTAAATTCGAATTACTTGAATTTCTTCCCAAACTTTTGCCCTAATGGAACGGCATATTTCCGCAATCTGGCCTTTTTAAAACTAGAAAATAACAGTATTCGATTTATATTCCCTGAACACATGAATTGCCTTAAGAAACTGAATCATCTTGGTCTGAGTTCTAATAGTATTACAACCATCGAGCCAGATACATTTTACTTTTTATCATCTTTGCTCTATTTGACTTTGGATAGACAAAGTGACACTAAGTCATATTTTAACCCCAGAGGAAGAGCCTTTAACAATACCAAACTCACCAAGCTGAATTTGTATGGCAATAAACTGAAATCTAATCATTTGGATCCACAAGCCTTCGACGGTGCTAACAGTTTAAAGTTATTAACCTTGTCAAACAATGTTCTCACAAATACTGAAAACCTTAACAAAGCACTGTCAAGTTTAAAATCTCTCCATGTGTTACTGATACAAAACAACTATTTGTATTCTTTACCAAATGTTTTAAGAGACGGTCTCCCATCACTGACAACATTGGATTTAAAATACAACTTCATCTCAAGTTGGCCAGCTAGGTTTTTCCATAACAAAAAAGACATGTTTGACATAAATCTGCAGTACAACATTCTGAAAACTGTTACCCCAGAAATGTTTCCCAAATCCTTAAGAGGTAGACTCACAACAATTCGACTGAATGGTAATCCTTTCGTGTGCAATTGTGAATTAGTTTGGTTCATTCAGTGGATTCATCGGGAATCTCATAAATTTGTTGGATATCCAGACGACTACAGGTGCCTCAACATCACAGAAAGAATTTGCCTGAATAACACCGGAGTGTTTATCTCAGTGACAACAGTAACGTGTTTCTTTATCTTTGTTATTTTCATCATGTCCGTTATCTACAAATATATCTGGCATATTAAATATCATATTTATATGTGGAGATACAGACCTAGACAGTTATTGGATATTGCAGAGAAACATTTTGTTTATGACATTTTTGTTGCTTACTGTATACAAGATAGTGATTGGGTATTGGACGATCTAGTATCAACCATAGAAGATGGAGAAAATATCAAGTTGTGTATTCATGAAAGAGATTTTCTTGGTGGAAAACTGATTATCGATAATATTGTGCAGCATATGGAAAGCAGTCGTAAAGTTCTTGTTGTTTTGTCCAATGATTTTGCTAGGAGTAAATGGTGTCAGTTTGAAATGAGTTTAGCCCAGAAACTAGTTATAGATATGAGTATAGAGTCAATAGTAGTCGTATTACTAGAGGATATAGCAACAGTTAATATGAGTAAGTCATTAGACGCTCTGTTAAAAACTACTACTTATATCACTTGGAATGATCAAGAGGAAGGGGGCCTTGAATTTTGGGAAAGACTTAAAACATCTGTTAAAAGAGAAATCGAATGAGATTAAATCTTTGCTATGTCGACCTTTCATCTAGTTTTCTAAGACTGAAGACTCTGTTGTTGCCATTGGGTCACCTTACACCGAATAGTCTCCTGACATTCCATGTGAATAACATAGTTCCAGTTAGATACATGCAAGACTGGGCGTCGTACACGGGGCAGAGCATGTTTACTCTTTCCATAACATCTATAGGGTTCACGTAGCTATTGTTGTTTTAATTGACCACGTTACTAGACTACAACATGAAACAGACCCCCCCCCCCCCCCCGCGCTCAGCTACATAATTTTTTTTGGTAAATCAAAACTTTTTATGAGAAAAGTTTCTCGACCGTGTGCTTTATCCTTTATCGTCAGATGTGGGACAGGATGGGCACTTAAAGCACGAGATAATGATATAGACAATATGTGATATCACAATTGATGCTTTGCATCCATGAAATTGAATCACAATGTCATTATATTAATTCATAATAAAAATTGACGTCAAACGAGATGTTGAATTTCTCTGTTTAAAAAGCTCAATGTGTATGTACATACGCCAAAATGACGATAGAGGCAATGCGGGAGGGGGGGGGGAGATATATTGTGTCAGGAACTTTGCAAACCCCCTTCCTGCAAAAATTCCTGGATCCGCCCCTGAATCTCTTGCAAAATGTGGGTGTATCTTGTATAGCAACCGCTTGTTTCATTTGGTTCCAATGTAATTTTGGTGGACTTATATATTAAATGTAATTTAGATGGGCTGGTATTGTACATGTATATTGAATGTAATTTAGGTGAACTGGTATAGTATATTTATTTTAAGTTTGCTCTACTGGTATAGTCACAGGCACTTGAAGGGATTAAAATAAAATTTCTTACTACTGCTTGACTATATATTATAGTATATAAAAGGTATTTCAGGCGCCATCTTTGTTTACACGTCTTCAAGACATTTCTTCTGCTATCACCTCACAATACTCACTAGTTCTAACACTTCCCGTCGTTTTTATTGCCAACGAGACCTTATTTCCGGGCTGTTCAAGTTGGTTTTCGGTAAGTGATAGCGCTTCAAGTTTGATTTGTAATTAATAACGATGTGAAATGACCAATTTAATTACATCAGAAGCTGAATAATGATCAAATAAGGCCTCGTTGGTATAGTATATTAAATGTTATTTGCTTGGACTTGTATATTAATTGTAAGTTTGGTTGACAGATTAAGTGTATTAATTTTAATTTAGGTAGACTGGTATATTATATTAAAAGTAATTTTGGTGGACTTATATAGTATGTTATATTATATTAAATGTAATTTTGGTGGACTTATATAGTATGTTAAATGTAATTTTGGTGGACTGGTATAGTATATTAAATGCAATTTTAGTGGACTGGGCTGTAATTTTGGTAAACTGGTATGCATATTAAATGTAATTTTGGTCGACTTATATTGTATATTAGATGGAATTGTGGTGGACTTGAATTGTATATTAAATGTAATTTTGGTGGATTTGTATATTAAATATAATTCTGATGTACTTGTATATTAAATGCAATTTTGATGTACGTGTATATATATTATATCGCGAGATTAAAATAACATAATATTTACTAAAATCTGTCACGTCTGCGATGATTTTTTGATATTCTAGAGGGAGAAAATTCTAAAATGTTGATTCACTCCCCTCTGTCCCTTTTATTATATCAAATCCAGGAAGGATGGTGTCTCCTTAAATGCTGTGAAGCTACAAGTATCGATGAACACGAACAAGAACCCCACCCACCATTCTTACAAAAATATAAGCCCGTCAGGTTTTCCAATTCTTCGCCCTCATTACAAGCTATAAACAATAAACAGCTTAATGTTTCAGGACCAAGGGTAATCGCTTTCGTACCAACTAAGGCATGGGCAATTTGGAAAGTACAAAGACGTCAGCCCACCAAACTACACTTTTGCCCTCCACCCCGATAAAAGCACATCTCAGTAATTTAAAAACTGTTAAAAAACAATAGTATTGTGCCAGGCGTCTTATATATCCTTCTACTGTCCCGGCAGAAAAACAAAATGCCAATCGGGGCCGACTGCTCCCTCGCCCATCTTCTACTGCCCGAAAGCCCTCTTTATTTTAAAACATACATTACAACGCGTGCCAAATAAACCCAAAATACCAAATTCGTCTGACACATCCAATATGTTCGAATATTTGGGCACGCTGTACCTTGAAATTATCCGACAACTGGGGAAGGATAAGTAGGAAATTAACAATGGAAAATTCTTCAAGCACCGAAGTCCAAGTCTTTCGCGTATATGAAGGGAAATAACTCTTGTGTTGCGACAAACCACCAAACTACCGTTATCTATTCAAACCCACGCATTTATTATATACCAAAATTTAAAAAAATATGGCCATTCAATAGGCGAGAAAGAGTATAGAAAGAATTGCACAGGGGAAGTATTTCGTAATGTGTCAATCGGTGGGTTCGTATACCAGATTTCCAAAACGCATTTATATCTGGGAAGAACCCTATCAAGCCTGTTAAAGACATAGGTTTAACGCTGCCACAGCTTCTGGATTTCATTATGAAGCGTTTTAAAACCATTTAAGAAGTTTTTTATTTCAGCTAAAAATATGCAACAATTCCCAACCATGTTTGCTATAATTTCATTTTTATATTTTCAGATGGCATTAACATACAAATACATGCCATTACTCGTATTTCATCGACCTTAATTGATCAGAAATTACAATATCTTTTTTTAAAAATTTGAATATAAATCACATTATATACATTCATATTACATGTACATTAATGTGCGCTTTTAGACACGTTTTCGTCTATATTGTCACAGTTTATCAATGTCCATTGCCAGAACAGTTTATACGCCTTGTTTCATTATGATAACTGGGTCACATGGAACTATTCCCTTGCGCTCTTGGAAAGTGGCCGTACTCAGTCAGTATGTGCCCAAGGGGGTCAAAACTTGGTACCTGCCCCTAGAATTCAGCTTCAATTACCCATATAGAAGGGACCAAACCAAGCCTTAATCAATCTAAAAATATAGGGGAAATGGCAAAAGTCAGTATTTAAAACAAAAAACGACCGTAAACTTTCTTAAGTTTAGTGGTGTTAATCCTGTGGGTATATACCGGGTACTCCGGTTTACTCCCACGGTAAAGTGGAGAGAGAGAGAGAGAGAGAGAGAGAGAGAGAGATGGGTTTAACGTCCATTCGACACAAACTAGGTCATTTCGGGACTAACACATGGTTTCATTTCATTTCAATCATTCGCTTGCGCGTAGGGGTCTTTAGCAGTGGGAGGAAACCGGAGGACCCGGAGAAAACCCACTAGGTTGGACAGGCGACTCTACTTCTTGTCACGTACAACCGGGGAATCGAAACCCTGCCAGTTGACTCAATGACAGACCGTATGATACAGCCCCGCGCGTGCTAACCATTCGGCTATCCAACCCCCCACGGTAAAGTGGAATCGGACGTTAAACATTTATAGAAGAATGATGAGTTCAATTTACCGTGCCGTTGTCATTTATATGTAGACATACACTCCAACCCTACCAATATCATCGAAATTTTAGGTAACTTTTAACGAGGAAAAATATAAAGATTTTACAAAGCGATATGGAATCCAACAATATCACTGGGTAACTCAAATACAGCACTGACTGATAGACCTAGAGCCCAGGGGGTTAACCTAGCTGAAAAGTGTACCAATTTTCTCCTATATGATATCAATGTATGTTTATCTGGTATCATCAGAATGTAAGTCTGCCGGGTTTCTGGTGGTGGGTGTGGTATTCCACGCCCTAAATGCCATGATCCCCAACTAGGCTAGATTAGCTCAAAAGTGTACCACACGAAAATCTTACTGCAGTGTACCGTACATCTTCAGGTATTACAAAAACACTCTGACAGACATTTCTAGCGGTGGGGTACCCCTGACAGAGCTATGTAATTGCCAGACATTTGTAGTGGTGGAGTATCCCTGACAAGTATTATCTAATATTTAGACCAAAGCTAGGCTAGATTAGCTGAAATCTGTACCACCTAAAACAGCTTTGGAGTTGTTCAGTACCACCACAGGAATCATGAATGACCACTGCCAGACAGTTTATGCGGTGGGTTACCCCTAACAGAAACGCCCCAAAATGCCACGCCTCCAACTAGGCTAGCTTCGCAGGCACTGTTCCCGTGTTCTAAAAAATTAGATTTTTAGCCAGGATGCGTAGGATATTAATACCTAGCACGTATGGAAGAGGCGATAAACTGCGATTGCAAGAAATTTATTTTTGGGCAAACCGTAGTTTATCGCCTCTTCCATATTAGTATTCTACGCAACCTGGCACAAATTTTAATTTTTTGGACCACAGGAACAGTGCCGACTAATCTATCCTATTTGGGGGGGCGTGTTATTTTGGGCGTGTCTGTTAGGGGCAACCCACCGCACAAAATGTCTGGCAGTGGTCATTCATGATGCCTGTGGTGGTACTGAACAACTCCAAAGCTGTTTTAGGTGGTACAGATTTGAGCTAATCTAGCCTAGCTTTGGTCTGGAAATTAGATAACTCTTGTCAGGGATACTCTATCACTACAAATTTCTGGCAATTACATAGCTCTGTCAGGGGTACCCCACCACTAGAAATGTCTGTCAGAGTGTTTTTGTAATACCTGAAGATGTACGGTACATTGATGTGCGATTTTCATGTGGTACACTTTTGAGCTAATCTAGACTATTTGGGGGGCATGGCATTTTGGCCGTGGGAAACCACACCCACCATCAGAAACCCGGCAGACTTACATTCTGATGATACCAGATATACATACATTGATACCATATAGGAGAAAATTGGTACACTTTTCAGCTAGGTTAACCCCCTGTGCTCCTGCTCTATGAATGAGATTCACAAAGATTTTCGTAATAATTTCCTTGTTACTTAACTCATACAAAATTGAAATAAACCAACATACAAATTAATATATTGCAAAGCTGTTATACATTATCTGCTGAATGACCCAGTCTAAACCACGTTTTTGGCAGAATCCTCAAACGTCGCACCCGTTTTATTAATTCTACAATCTGTCAACTAGTACGAATACCATGAAGTAGGGTCAATATCCCGGTCGCAACCCCAAGATTCGGAAAAATACAGGCTTTTCGGTCCAAGCCATGAAATTACTTCCATTTTCTTTGACTGGAAGTTTCATCTTAAACTGATCGCTTAACGGGGTTACGTTAGTGCAGCAGGTAAGGAAATCGTTCAGATGTGGATACAGAATTAAAATTTGCACAAATATTCCTCGAGGACTACTATTTTACAAAGGCAATTGGTAACTGGAACATCCAAGGTGGTGGTCCGTTTTAAGATATCCGACAGAAAACGAAATGTCGTTTCTTACGATAAATTCATACTCATAGATAGCAATTACACCTATTTTAAGCTTTGTCTACATCGATCAATGGTTGGGGGGGGGGGGGGGGGGTCCACAAACTTTGCGTAAAAAGACAAGGGCTATAACCCTATAAGTTGCGATCTGATACAGACCAAACTTGAACTAGATCTTTGGATTCTTAACATATGTTATGTTTCGTCAAAATCAGACCAATTGTTGGCTCTAGGGGGTCCATAGACTTTGTACATAATTCGCATTTTACGTAAAAGGCAAGGGTCATAACCCAAGAAGTTCCGGTCCAATGCGGACAGAAATATTTTGATCGTTAATATATATACCCTAAGTTTCGTCTGAATCGGACTAAAAATTGTGTCCTATTTTATTTATTCTACGAAATGCGACAACCTGTCCTTTTTAGCTGTGTCAGCCAGGTTGAAGTTGTCTGTTCCCCAACCTTTAAATCAGCATGGGCAGTAATTCTGCGATATCATCACCACGAGTTAAACCGAACGTTAGTCCCCAGGCAGTACTCGAATCAATGTCACAAAAATTTTATATTATAGCTATTACAATATGCGTGTACTAGTTACACATGTCATACATGTCATACTACCTTTTATATAGTTGTTTGGGATATAATGCAAATTGAGGAAGCATTTGATAATGCATGCAATTTTTTTTAAAACTGTATTTACAAACGAAAGTCATATATGCATCGATCACATGATTCATAAACACGATTGAATGAGTTAGTCACCCTTTAATCTTATTAAAACCAGGACATTTGGTCAGTGTATTAGTTGTTGATCTTCGTTCCCAGACACCCGTATTAATTCTGAAAGACCACGCACTTGCTTGTACCATTTGTAGAGCGGTAAGTAAATAATAATTATTATAGATAATAGTATCTATAATATACATATTCTATCCTATGTTATTGATAGGGGTATATCCAGTATAGTTGAACTAGAAGCTGTGGCTACGGTGGGGTGGGGCGGCTTCAAAATGCAGGGCGCCGTCTACAATCCCATCCCACAATGAATGTCAACAAAATACTATCCGGCTATAACATTGAGCCATCGTATTACCTATAAAGTTGTTCGCCTATCGTTATTTCGCCGGAAAGCTGTTGACTTATAAACACCATGTCATATACCAAACACCAAAAAAAAAAACAAAAACAAAAAAAAAACGTCTGTACGATTTCAAAATCAGAGAGGCACTTTAATCAAATCATTCCAGAAAACGACTTACTAAATGGATCAATGCAATTTTTTGTGCACAGTATGTTGACACATTAGTGATTAATTCATCATAATTCCAAGACATTACGAGAAGGTTTAGAATCTGTATACAGTCTATACATAAGTATCTGGAGTGTCCACCGCGAGTGTCAATAACATCAGCACAGCGTCTGTACATGGAGTGGACCAGACGATTGATGAACGCCAAACAGCAAAAAAAAAAAAAAAAAAAAAAAAAACGTCTGTACGATTTCAAAATCAGAGAGGCACTTTAATCAAATCATTCCAGAAAACGACTTACTAAATGGATCAAAGCAATTTTTTGTGAACAGTATGTTGACACATTAGTGATTAATTCATCATAATTCCAAGACATTACGAGAAGGTTTAGAGTCTGTATACAGTCTATACATAAGTATCTGGAGTGTCCACCGCGAGTGTCAATAACATCAGCACAGCGTCTGTACATGGAGTGGACCAGACGATTGATGAACGCCATTGGCACCTGAAACCACACTCTCAGAAAATCCTGGCGCAATCCATCGGCTGAATTTCATCTCAAAGATGTTCAATCGGGTTTAAGTCTGGACTAAGGGCTGGCTAGTGCATAACGTTGACACCGTTCTGCTGTAGAAAGACCCGGGTAACTCTGGTAGTGTGGGCACGGGCGTTATCATGCTGGAAAACGTTGTTTCGATGACGTGCGAAATGTGGTATGGCGTGGGGTCTGAGAGCTTGATCGATGTGGCACACTGCAGTGATGTCGCCTCTTCTTCCTGGACCAAGATTTTGGAACACCACAGGACCCACTCTCTGGTTCAGGCCGATTCCTCCCCAAACCATTATGCTTGTACCTCCCCATGAGTCTCGTTCCATGACACATTGGTCAGAATAACGCTGGCCACGTCGACGCCATATTCTGGTCCTGCCATCTGCAGAAGACACGCAATACCGACTCTCATCTGTGCACAGAACAGTTCTCCTTTGCCTGTGTCGCCAGTTCTGGTGTTGTTGGGCAAACTGTAGACGTTCGCGTCGATGGCGAGGGGTGAGGATCAGTCCACGGTAAGGTCTACGACAATGGATGTTCTCTCTAGTGAGACGTCGGCGCACTGTATTGGTACTGATGGGTCTTCCGTGTGTTCCCACTGTCTGACGTGCTGTTTCAGATGCCTGTGTGAAGGGATTCTGCACGTGCTGTCGCACAACATGGCGACCTGGAAGTGATTGGCAACGGCTTGGGCAGTGTGGCTAGCGGCGAGTCTTCCAAGCGCCTGGTTCCTCTGAGCTGTCGTGAGTCGTGGCATGCTGTTGACGTTGTAGTGTGAATGATCCAAACAGGTAGGGGGGGGGGGCATTTTATAGGGCTAGTCCCGATGAACAGCACGTGCAGCATAAGTTACATGAAAATCATGGAGAACACATTACCATCTCAGAAGAACCTTTCCTGGGTTCAGTTCAGTGTTTGAGAAGGTGCTGTCCTCTGTTCCTCTCGTCTCCTCTAACTATCTCTCTCTCAGGGTTATATATCTTCGTATAGCTGACTGCCAATTCCATTTTATAACGAGCAATGTTACTACATGTGGAAATTAATAAAGTCCGTAATTATATATGTAGTGGTTAGTATAGCTTATATCGTGGGGTTCAATGGGTTCGCACATGTGGGGTTCAAATTGGTTCGATGCATCTAAATAATATTTCACACGTATAAGATTTAATACAAGTTGTGGAGGACTTTGTCACAAAATATTTAATTGTTTGTCAATTTCAGATTTATTAGTATAACTATAGCATTTACTCAACAATGGCTGATTTCCCAAACATGCTTTTCATAACGCAAGGGATCTGTTACATGCTGCGCTGACAGCCATCTCTTGTATATATGGAGAAAAGAACACGTCACAATTCTAGTGGGCACAGAAACATTCGGGTCTTGTGATACCCTTTTCTCTGTGTATATTTAATGATTTGTTCTGTAGATGATCCAAACAGTTTATATATAAAGTTCAAGATCACACACAATCTAAAGTAGGCCTACTTTATTGAAAAAAGTTGTGTCCATATTTTACATTTGTTACCATTGCTTATATGTTTTAGTCAAATAAAGGAATACTAATACTGCAATCGTTTTCGTTTTATTTCCTATATCTTTTTGTAATATTAAAGTGTGGTACTGATTTAATATTTTGAGATTTATATAAACGGCGTGCCTTTAACATACAAACTACACATATAACTCATTGAACGGATACCGAAACAAATCGGAAATACATATGTCATATCACCAGTTATATCAAGATTTGGGGTATAATGCAAAACTGGAAGCATTTGGTAATAGTATCTAATTTTTGAATTTTATTTACAAAAGAAAGTCACATGTGGACCGTATTTCTCACTGGGGTGTGGATTTGTATTAATTCGAACAATTATGGAGGAGCTAAACCATTTTTCTTTTTAAATGAAAAGAAATGAAATAGGGTTTAAAGTTCTACTGTTCTTCTCCGACTCGGCTAATGAAACAATTGTTTCGGACAGTAAAGATTTTTAATAAATTCCTCAATGATATCTGGATTCGAGTTGTACACTCTATAAGAGATGAAAGAAAGTTGGTCATTGTAAACATACATTTTTTTAGATTTTATCTTGTGATTGCCCTTTTATTTTGGGAATAACGTCATTGCCACCAAGACGAAGGCCAATGGGTACTTTGATACCTATCAACTTAAAGTTTCCAAAATCAGGGTGATATAAATATGTCGTATTTGAAATGTTTTTGAAATGTCCATTTTCTTTCCTTGGCCAATGTCTAGCTACAGCGAAAAGGTGAATTATGGCGGTTTTTATGTCACCTGACCCGAGTTTATCTTTTCACCCAATACGCCAATTCACTTGGGATCTTATCTGGCACGGCGTCTGGTTAGGGGTAAATTTGCAGCGAATAGGAATCGCATACTGGGTACAATTGCAATCTCCTCTACAAACGCAACTAGTTGCCATTTCGCTGTCAATATCTAAAGTTATTTCACGTGGTAGTTTTAACTAGTGGATATTTGATGCTAAAATAGGGAGCCAAGGTGGCTAAGTGGGTACGACGCTGGCTCGCTAGCCTGGAGGTCGCGTGTTCGATCCCTGCATTGGCCGAAAAAAGTCCATCGGGATTTTCCGACGTGGTTTCCCCTTGTCAGTGGTGCAGGACAGGGGGCCTGACAAGAACAGCTGTCTAGTCATTCGGGTGAGACGAAAAACCGAAGTCCGCTGTATACATTGGCGTGCACCTAAAAGATCCCTTGGCAGTTGGAATTCGATATAAGAGTAGGCCATAGTGCCGCTGCACGAGCAAAATTTGCGTCGTATGGCGTATGCCCTTCTTCATTAGTTAGTCCCGAAATGACCTAGTTTGTGACGAGTGGACGTTAAACCCCATTTCTCTCTCTCTCTCGTCTTCATTAGCCCAGTCGGAACAGAACAGTAGGACGTTAAACCTTATTTCATTTTGATGCTAAATAATTGCGGATCATAGATATACCAACATTGCGTCAACATTGTGATTGCGTCACGTTGAAAAGTATGTTGGTACAAGATATCATCTGCACTTTTTGAATGCACAACTAATACACCAGGGTTGATCTTCCTTTGCCGGCTTGTACCGGTCTTGAAATTGTGTGGGTTTATTAAAGGAATATTTGTCTTCACACACAATCACTCTCTCCAAAGCAGACATTTGTTTAATAATTGGACACAGGACTGCAATCTGGACATAGTATAGATTCTGGTATCCGGTATCAACTTTCGTCTTAAATTTGACAGCAAATTAAATTGTGGCAATTCCCACCCTTTTTGTTAGCCAATCAGTTTATGGTTTTGACGCTGTTGTAATACAGTTGTTTAATTCAGTGGGTTACAAAACTCTAATAGATTTGCCAATGCCAGTTTCATGGAAAAGGATTTCTGTACCTTTTTTTTGCTACAGTCTAGTTTAACAAGTGATTGACACATGTTCATATCTGAGCTCAACCGATCTGTTTGCTTTACAGCATTTGCTCTTTTGTCTTCTTTCAATTGTCGTTCTGATTTGTCTGCGATTTGTTTACTTTACTACCCGTTTAATTGTAACACTTAGATTTTATTAAAGCGTGATTTCAAAGTTGTTGCTTCTGAAACATCTGTTGCTGAGAGGTGAAAGAGATTGGCTTTGCATATGAATCGTTGAATAAGGTATTTTCCAATTTCCTTGGATCTTCTAGGATTTTCCGAGACAGCACATCTTTGCCAATGGCATATACATTGCGTGGAATAATACCGAGGTGTGTTGAGAGCGCATCCTGTGTTAGAATAACCTCTGTGACGCGAAAAATGTGTTTCATGTCTGCCTCAGTGAAGTTCCAAGATACTCCATAAGAATCATTGTCGCTCTTTTGAAGCGCATGGATAGCGTTGAAGTGATATTCGTCGTACAACTGATTCTTTCGAAGATCCAGTGCGAACCCCCTTTCAAAGCGTCTTTATGGTCCATTGTAATACTATAGGGGTTATTTTAGTTCTAAGAAAGGTGTTCTGTTTAATATAGAAATTCGTTACCTACATGATTTGTGACGAAATCTAGGGTAATGAAGTAGCTTGCATTATTCTACTACTATCTTAGACTAACTCACCGACAGTTATGTCAGTATCCATTGCTGGGAGTAGGGTACTATCGTGTAGTCATCTGGTGCACAGATTAGTACAGTTAACTAGAATAGTGTTGACGTACAACGGTGACTATACGAAACACTTACCCAAAATGGTAATTGTCCCTCCCTAATAGCTGACACATCTATATTTTGTATATAAGAAAGATCGAGGTTAAATTTCCCTTCAGATATCATTTGGAGACCGTAGAGAAGACATAATCCGTGAGTTCCTAGGGGAACGTCATACCCACAGCCGCCTAGACTGAGGGGCTGGGATAGAGACAAAATGTGATGTTTAAGCCGTTCGGTTTCAGTTATTAAGGATGTTAAACTCAGACCGTGAATATTTTAATAACTCCTAAAGCATGTCTAATAAATGTTGTAGCTTAGCTGTATTTAGCCTTTGTAGTTTGTTGTATTTGTTATATAAACTTAGTAACAACATATAGGGTATTTTTTAGTATTAAGAAACGTGTTCTTTTTAATATAGAAATTCTTTACCTACATGATGTGTGACGAAAACTAGGGTAACGAAGTAGCTTGCATTACTCTGCTACTCTCTTAGACTAACTCACAGACATTTATGTCAGTATCCATTTCTGGAAAGTAGGGTACTATCGTCCAGTCATCTCGTGCACGGATTAGTCCAATTAAATAGAATAATGTTGACGTTAAACGGTGCCTATATGAAACACTTACCCAAAAATGGTAATTGTCCCGCCCTAATAGATGACGCATTACATTTTCTATATAGGAAAGAGAGGGTTTGATTTACCCTCAGACAATCTTTTGGAGCTCGGGAGATCACCATACCTATAGACTCCTCGGCTTAGAGGCTAGGGTGAATACATCATCCAGAGTCAATTGATGATTGAAATAATTGATCCAACAACGTGAAGTCCAAGCAAGGCCTAGAAGAAAGTTTCACACATCTGTACATTACATTTTCTATATAGGAAAGAGAGAGTTTGATTTACCCTCAGACAATCTTTTGGAGCTCGGGAGATCACCATACCTATAGACTCCTCGGCTTAGAGGCTAGGGTGAATACATCATCCAGAGTCAATTGATGATTGAAATAATTGATCCAACAACGTGAAGTCCAAGCAAGGCCTAGAAGAAAGTTTCACACATCTGTACCCAGTAGTGCCACACATAAACGGTGTTCTAGAGTTAGTTAATTGATGATTGAAATAATTGATCCCACAGCGTGAAGTCAAAGAAAGTCCTAATCGAAAGTGTCAGATACAATTCTTTATTTAGTTCCTTGACGAAGGATAGTCACGACGTAACCCTACCTGTGGTGCCACAATCGTTTTATAGTGTCACACCATGTCACATGCAAAGTTTACCTGGCTATTATCGATGGGAGTTGAGAACAGATATTTTTTCAAATTCTCGTAGAAGATTCCTGCTATATAATGCTCTATCAATAAGCGAGTCGGCTCCATTTAAGAATGAAAACCACAAATATGACTTTACTGCTCCCAATAACAGACTGTAGCCGTTCTCACCACCAAGGCGCTCTGCTAGTTTCACACCCACAACTGCATTACAATGTACCACCATATCATAATGGAGAGCAAATGTAGCATTTCTGTTTCTCATTGTAACTATAAATTCACTAAACTTATTATTCCATCTCTGGGCTGTCTCAATATGAGTTTGATTTAGTTCATTCTCAACAAATAACTCCGCGTCCGTGCATTTTAAGTATTGAATAAATTTAAGTGTTAAAGCAAACTGAAGAGATTGAGAGAGCCTCCTAATATGTCGTGTAGCAGTATCAATATGTTCAACAGTTATTAATTTTGACCATTCTGTAGTTACGCATGGCCATCGATAATACTTTCAGTCCCGCATAGCAATATGCACTAAACAACTAGCTTAAGATAGTAAACCATACAGATTACACTAAGTAATAACAATAATTTATGTATGTCAATTCTGATACACTAAGCAGAACTTATATAAAGATAATTTAATGACTTTTATAGGCAACAAACATACTTTTAGAAATCAGTATCCTGAAAGCGTACCAGACATATTTTTGAAAATCAGTATCCTGAAAGCGACATTATTTTAACTGATTAAATAAATTATTTAGAGTGTTTGGTAAAGGAAACTATTTATAATATAATCTATTTCTTGATATTTCATTTCAGCTCAGCATCAAGAATTTACCAATCCATCATGTTGGCATCATTCGTTGTTACAATGATAATTGCTACATCAGTGTTCGGCAAGGATGCATGTGACTCTGGATTATGTCCGTGTCCTGGAATAAAAGCGTTATGCAGTGGTCTGAATCTCACATACATCCCCGAATTTCCTAAGAGGATAAAATATGTTGTATTCAAATATAATAATTTAAATAAACTGGACGAAAATACATTTTCAAACCTCAGTACCCTAAATTTACATAAATTATCTATAGCATACAATCATATTCAAAATTATGGAAACATTACACTGGATAATCTTCATCACCTCAAAATATTTTCTTTGACTGGGAACTTGTTGAAAAGTATTTCCCTGCCCAATGTAGTTAACAGTATCAGCCGCATAAAACTTTCCATCCTTGATCTTAAAGACGTAGGTGTAACGAATATACCCGAAGATTTGTTCAGTGTTTATACATCCTTTAAACACTTTTCCTTGGAACAAATAGATTTGTCTTGGAACAACATAAATTTATTTAATTATTCAGTCTTTAAACCACTTAAGGGGTTGAAGATATTAAACCTTGAAGGCAACAAATTGACTGACAATTTATCAGTCAACATGGATTTTGGACAGAACCTAAGAGTTTTATCTTTTGGGTCTAATACTTTAAACTTTTTCCCAAACTTTTGTCCCAATGGAACGGCATATTTCCGATATTTATTATGTTTAAAACTAGAAAATAACAGTATTAAATTTGTAGTTTCTGAACCCATTAATTGTCTTAAGAAATTGAATCATCTTGGTCTGAGTCGTAATAGTATTACGACCATCGAGCCCGATACATTTTACTTTTTGTCATCTTTGCGCTATTTGGGTTTGGACAGACAAAGTAACCCTAGATCATATTTCAATCCCAGAAGAGGAGCCTTTAATAATACCCAACTCACCGAACTGGATTTGTATGGCAATAAACTGAAATCGAAACATTTGGATCCACAAGCCTTTGACGGTGCTGACAGTTTACAGTTATTAACCTTGTCAAACAATGTTCTCACAAATACTGAAAACCTTAACAAAGCACTGTCAGCTTTAACATCTCTTCGGAAGTTACTAATGCAAAGTAACTTATTGGATTCTTTACCAAACGTCATAAGGAATGATCTCCCATTACTGACAACACTGGCTTTAAAATACAACTCTATCTCTGGTTGGCCAGATGGATTTTTCGATAACAAAAAAGCCATGTTTGATCTAGATCTGCGGTCCAATATTCTGAAAACTGTTACTCCAGAAATGTTTCCTAAATCATTAAGAGATAATCTAACAATAATTGGACTGGGTGGTAATCCTTTCGTGTGTAATTGTGAATTAGTTTGGTTCATTCAGTGGATTCATCGAGAATCATACAGGTTTTATAAATATCCTAAGGGATACAGATGTCTTAACATAACTGAAACAATATGTCTGAACAATACAGGAGTGTTTATTTCTGTGACAACAGTAACGTGTTTCTTTATCTTTGTTATTTTTATCATATCTGTTATCTACAAATATATCTGGCATATTAAATATCATATTTATATGTGGAGATACAGACCTAGACAGTTATTGGATATTGCAGAGAAACATTTTGTTTATGACGTGTTTGTTGCGTACTGTGTAGAAGATAGTGATTGGGTTTTAGATAGTCTTTTACCTATCATGGAAAAAGATGAAAACATTAAACTTTGTATCCACGAAAGAGATTTTCAAGGCGGAAAAATGATTGTTGATAATATTGTGCAGCATATGGAGAATAGTCGTAAAGTTCTTGTCGTTGTCTCTAATGATTTTGCTAGAAGTAAATGGTGCCAGTTTGAAATGAGTTTAGCCCAGAAATTAGTTATAGATATGAGTATAGAGTCAATAGTAGTCGTATTACTGGAGGATATAGCAACAGTTAATATGAGTAAATCATTGGTCGCCTTATTAAAAACTACTACTTACATCGCATGGAATGATGAAGAGGAAGGGGGAATTGAATTTTGGGAAAGACTTAAAAAATCTGTCAAAAGAGAAATTGACTAATCTCGCGGACAATGATAAAAAGATACTAAACTTGCGAATTTATTCTGAGATTACTTTCAAATAAAAATACAGAAAATACGAACTAATCTTGATGTTTTAAATAAAACTATTGACTTTAACGCTCATGATTTGGTAAGTTAAAAAATTCTGTTTAATTAGAAAATTTTAACTTGGTTAGTGAATCTTTTGTTTCAAAACTAATTAAGATCCTTTTCATTAGATCCTGTTCTGACTTTTGTTCTTAAAGACTGTCTAGACGAAGTTAGTCCCGTTCTTACCAATATTATTTATTCTTGTATATCATCTTCTACTATTCCCAACGTTTTCAAACAAGCTTATATTACACGTTTAATTAAAATGTCTGCACTGGATTCTAATGTTTTTAAAAATTACAGACCTGTCTCTAATTTAAGTTTTATTTCTCAAATATTGGAGAAATATATTGCTTCTCAGATAAAGTCTCATCTAAATGATAACCGTCTGTATAAACCATTTCAAAGTGCTTATAAACAATTTCACAGTCCCGAAACAGCTTTAACCCGGGTTTCAAATGATATTTTACTGGACATCGATAATAGAAAATGTACATTTTTAATTTTATTAGATTTATCTGGCCCTTTCGACACGGTGGATTCTTCTATTCTTTTAGGTAGACTTCATTTTAAATTCGGGTTTATGTCTCTGCATTAAATCTTTTAGAAAGCTATCTTGTGGGTGGAAAACAGTGTATTTTAGTTCATTGTAAATCGTCGTCTGAATCTGTTTTGTCATCTGAGGTTCCTCAAGGTTCTGTTCTCGGTCTAATTTTATTTACCTTTTATATTAGAAAATTAGAAAATTTTAACTTGGTTAGTGAATCTTTTGTTTCAAAACTAATTAAGATCCTTTTCATTAGATCCTGTTCTGACTTTTGTTCTTAAAGACTGTCTAGACGAAGTTAGTCCCGTTCTTACCAATATTATTTATTCTTGTATATCATCTTCTACTATTCCCAACGTTTTCAAACAAGCTTATATTACACGTTTAATTAAAATGTCTGCACTGGATTCTAATGTTTTTAAAAATTACAGACCTGTCTCTAATTTAAGTTTTATTTCTCAAATATTGGAGAAATATATTGCTTCTCAGATAAAGTCTCATCTAAATGATAACCGTCTGTATAAACCATTTCAAAGTGCTTATAAACAATTTCACAGTCCCGAAACAGCTTTAACCCGGGTTTCAAATGATATTTTACTGGACATCGATAATAGAAAATGTACATTTTTAATTTTATTAGATTTATCTGGCCCTTTCGACACGGTGGATTCTTCTGTTCTTTTAGGTAGACTTCATTTTAAATTCGGGTTTATGTCTCTGCATTAAATCTTTTAGAAAGCTATCTTGTGGGTGGAAAACAGTGTATTTTAGTTCATTGTAAATCGTCGTCTGAATCTGTTTTGTCATCTGAGGTTCCTCAAGGTTCTGTTCTCGGTCAAATTTTATTTACCTTTTATATTAGGAGATATTGTCAGAAAATAATATGGTCTCAGCTTCCATTTGTATGATACTCAATTATATCTGTCGTTTACACCTAACTGCCAATCTTCTGTCAATTTATCAAAATTGCAACTTGAGAACTGCATTAGTGAAATTAGAAAATGGATGTCAAAGAACTTTCTAAAAATGAATGATGATAAAACCGAATATTTGTTATAAATTATTAGGCTCAAGGCATCAATAAGGTGAATTTGTACATAACATCCCTGTTGTAATTTGTATTCTGCTCGTAATATTGGCGCAATTTTTGATATTTTTATGCTTATGGGAGCTCAAGTAAATAATATTTGTAAACTGTACTATACTCTTCAAAAAAGTAGGGGATATTCAGAAACAATACAAAACTGCGGAAATGCACTGCTGTTTTTATTAGAGGTAACCAGTGTATGTTAATAACAGGCCAATTGCCTACACATGAACATAAACAGTTCATATGGGCGTCTTATCTGACGGCCCCATTTCACTTGCAAAGAAAAACACCGTCAAAAGTGGAAATGGACGTTTTTGATTTTTGTCTTAATAATGAGTAAGACGAAAACGTCTCCCGATCAAATTAAACGTAACATACTAAAGCAAAGATACGCTAAAAGTAAATCTTAGGAAAAGCATATATGGATAGATAAACCAGCACGCGGCAGTTTCATCAACCCTTCCTTGAAGTGCAAATTTTGACAATGAACCCCTCCCACGTGTATGGCGAAATTGCGTGTCGCATGTGCAGCTCAGTGGTTCTGTTTGAACGATAAGTTCTTCATATGTGATCATATATACTCTCAAAGTATGTCAAATGTCCATGACTATTTATCATATCGCAACCTGCATATTTATTTGCATTTCAATATCCCCTACTTTTTTTGAAGAGTATATTTTAATATCAGAAATATAGGTAAAATACGCAATTTTTTCTGCAGAGGCCATTAAGTCACTTGTTAATTCTCTGGTCACTTCTCAAATAGATAACTTTAATTCACTTTTAGTTGGCTAACCTTTAAAGCTTATACTATAGATAAATAACAAAAAGTACAAAATACTGCAGCTAGACGTTTTACTTAAACTAAGAAGTGTGACCACATAACTCCCGTTTTATATAATTTAGCTCTTGTTTACCTCTCCAGATCTTTTAGAACATTATACACCTGGCCGAACATTACGTACATCAGATAAACTGCTTTTAAAGCCCCAAAACTGTCCAGCAAGTTTCTTATGGTCACCTCTCTTTTAGTTTTCAAGCGCCTGTTTTATGGAATAATCTACCATTTAGTTTAAGATGTTGTACATATCTAAATTCTTTTAAAAACATCTATTTATTCAGGCCTTAAACTGACTATATATACAACTGTTAACATCTCCATAATCTTGTGGGTTTTTTTATATGATTACATTGTCACTTTGTAAAGTGCCCCTGAACACGTTATATGAAAGGGCGCACTATAAATATGCTGTAAAAATAATAATAATATAGACCTTTCAACTAGTTTCCACGGACTGAAGACTATGTTGGTATCGTTGGGCCACGGAGTCATCTTGCATCGAATAGCCTCCTGAAATTCCAGGTTCACGAGGGAAGGCATGTTGACTCTTTTCATAACATCTAAGGGTTCACACAGCTTTTGTTACTTTAAATTACACCCCGTTATTTTTAACATATTTTTTTTCAAATTTGGTGTGAAGCATTGGGCTCATCCGAGAATGATCACTGCTGATATTCAGCGTTCCAGAGCCTTCCGTACCGGTGTGAAGCATTGGGGCATGAGACGACAAACATTATCGATATTCATTGTTCAGTGGCCTTCCGTTCCAGATTTATCTCCCTTGTCCACAGACCATGTGACACAATAGATAGATGCTACAGTTTTTTAACATATTTTTTTCATATTCGATGTAAGAAGGCATTGGGAAAATGAGAGGATACGTCTACAGACAAACATTTACTGGGAAGGAAAACCTTATAAATGATAATCGTCAATAAAATTAGATTAAAATATGAGATCTTAATATATTTATTTCTATCAATTCATCGTTCAATGCATTGTAAATGCATTGTACAAATAGTGATGTTGTAATTTTGTTGAAAAGATATTTTATTCCTAAATTAGCTATATTCTGCAATATATATCAAAATCAGAATAGTTTGAAATTACAACCATTAAAGAGTTAAATGTATTTTTTTGTGGACTGGTATATTATATTAGATGTAATTTTGGTGGACTTGTATAGTATGTTAAATGTTATTTTGGTGAATGGTATATTGTATTTTTTGCAAACTAGTATATTATATTAAATGAAATTTAGATGTACTGGTATTGTGCATTAATTGTAATTTTGGTGGCCTGGTACGTATATTAAATGAAATTTAGGTGGACTGGTCTGTATATTAATTGTAATTTTCGTCGACTGGTATATTTTATCAAATGGAATTTAGTTTGACTGGTATGTTATATTGAATGTAATTTTGGTGGACTTGTATTGTATATCAATAGTTATTTTGGTGGATTGGTGTAGTTTATTATATCAAATGTAATTAAGGTGGACGGGTATTGTATATTAATTGTAGTTGAGGTGGACTGTTAAAGCATATTAATTGTAATTTTGGTGAACTGCTAATTGATATTTATTGTAATTGCAATGTTATATTTTCGCTGACCTGGGGTAAACCGAATGTTCAGTGTACATGTAGGTGCTCTTTTAAGGCTGGTGTGAGGGACATATTCTAAAGACCAGCTGCCAGACGTCACGTTTGGTACATAACTGAAGAAGAATGGAGCCCCAATTTGCGACTAGTAGGTTTTACTCATTTTTTTTATGTTTATTGTACTTGTAAATAAGGGTCTTATATATGATTTGTATATTTGTAATGCTTACTTTTGGTGTTTTACGCCCACTACCAAAAAGTTATATGACTTTTCTTAGTATTTTAACATTATTTAGTATGATGTCTTTTTAATGCTTACTTTTTGTGCTTTATGCCCACTTCCAACATGATTTTTCTTCATATTTTAACATTACTTAGTATGATGTCTTTTTAATTGCATTTTAGTTGTTTATTCTTTTATGATCCGCACGATAATAAATTATTTACTAAAAAAATCTTTCACATTTCCTGTGATTTTGTGATGTTCTAGAGAGACAAAAGTCCCCCCAAAACTTTGATTCACTCCCATCTGCCCTTCTAGACATGAAGATAGCCCCTGTTCAATATTTTTAAACCCGCGTTGGCTTAGCGACTATTTATTGGGCCACAGTTTTAACACAAAGCGCGACGAAGCGAGGTTGTCTACATACGCCATAATATCCGCAGTGAGGCTACTTTAAATTCATGTCGAAGTGAAACTATCCGGTTATGTTATTATCTGTCATCAAAGTATTATAATAATCGTGTGTGGGTGTGGGCGAAAAGAGTTATAATTGTAACGGTGTCTATAAAAATATGAACGAGATTATTTTTGCATCTTATAAATTTATTCAAGTCAATACCCAATGTAATTTAGATTTGCGTCATAAAGCATGAAAGTGAATGAATAAACTAACACTGAAGAAAATGTGATAAAATGGGGTTTAACGCCCAACTCTTCTGCCCCGTCTGGGCTAATGGAGACGAACATACAGTATGTTTGAGCGAAACTTTTCCTGGAAAGCGGCATTACGGCCTACTCTTTACCCTTATTCCAAATGTTACGCGCAATGTGTACACAGGACCTCAGTTTTTCGCCCCATCCAAATGACGACTATACGTTGTCCCTTGCGAAACCGCGAGAACCACACCGGAAAATCCAGATGAACTTTCTCGGCAAACACCGGAATCGAATACGGGGCTTTCAGATTAGCGAGTCAACAACGCCTTACTCACTTAGCCATTGGGGATCCCCGAAGAAAAAATACATAAATATGCGCCTTTTCCCACTCCTGGAATGTATATTATTATTCTGTGCAAATATTAATGTGATAGACATTCAAAGGGGGTATTTCTATTACCTTATTTACGTTCTTTTTTATTCACGGATGTGATGTCAGCTGGTCAAAAACTGTATTTGTTCTGACCAGGGTATGATTTAGGAGGGTAAATATGTCACTACATATTACTGTAGTACTAGTAGATATAACAACCGGTTTAGGTTGTTACTCGAAATAAAGTCCTAAGGGCGGAAAGAGGTCGCTATCGACAAAATACGCTCGTCTGTCCATGGCTTTGAATATATCACCGTTACGCCCTAATGATGATTGAGTTCGAATTTTCTGAAAATCTGATCGAAACTGCCGGACAAAATGGTCGTCCGAGAGAGAGAGAGAGAGAGAGAGAGAGAGAGAGAGTTTAACGTCCACTCGACACAAACTAGGTCATTAGTGTTTTGGAAACGAGGCTAATTGAGATGACGTCACGCGCTGGGTGGAAATTCTTGGGTGAAAATTATAAAAATCAAATTATATTAAAATTGACTTGGGTGAAAATTATAAAAAAACAAATTATATTAAAATTGACTTGGGTGAAAATTATAAAAAACAAATTATATTAAAATTGACTTGAGTGAAAATCATAAAAAACAAATTATATTAAAATTGACTTGGGTGAAAATTACAAAAAACAAATTATATTAAAATTCACTTGGGTGAAAATTAAAATTGACTTGGGTGAAAATTATAAAAAAAACAAATTATATTAAAATTGACTTGGGTGAATATTAAAAAAAAACAAATTATATTATTTTTCATGTCCCTTATTAGCCACCGTACCAAAGAGATCAGTGGGGTTATTCATTGCAGAGTTAATAATGAGGTATTTTAAAACCTTCTATAACCATATGCTTTGAATTGCACGTGCACAAGGCAAGCAGCGGCTGATGTTTATAGTTTATGTGTAAAAACAAATTATATTAAAATTGACTTGGGTGGAAATTAAAATTGACTTGGGTGAAAATTATAAAAAACAAAATATATTAAAATTGACTTGGGTGAAAATTATAAAAAAACAAATTATATTAAAATTGACTTGGGTGAAAATTAAAATTGACTTGGGTAAAAATTATAAAAAAACAAATTATATTATTTTTCATGTCCCTTATCAACCACCGTACTTTGGCACCGAAAGTTTAGTTTTTGCTTGGTGGACCTCTGTTCTAGTATCATTTTAAAATATTTAAGGGAAATTTCTGGATCTTTGTTGACAATTTCAATGGTTAAAAGACTAAAGCGAAACTCGTATATCTACCCTTAACTTTTTTTAGTGAAGGTTGTCTTTGAAATTAGGCAATGGAAGGAGACAGCCAAATCTCACAGTACCGTATAGGGTTAAAAGTTCGTAAAAAAGATGCGCAATTGTGTAAAAAAAAAAAGAGGCATGTCAAGATTTATGGTGATCCTATTCAAACTGGCAAACTCTTAGGCCAAAAGAACAAGAACACGAATATGAAGTTTGGGAAGCGTGGGATATTTCTCTGAATAACATGTAGAGTTCAGGTATTCAATCCGGCTAAGCTTCATATCCGAAAGGCTCTATATTTTAATTCGAAACTTTCAGAGTAAAAAGCATATTATTTCGTCACATTTTGGCAAATGATTTTCATATTTAAACCCACTGGGAGAGCGTCGAAATGAAAATTATTTTTTTAAACAAACTTCTGTCACGTGTTTTTTGTTTCTGGGAGCTCAAATCAGTTACTCTCTGCCATCGTTTTCTCTCGAAACTAATGAAATTCATAACTGCGTCAAACATAGTTGGATTTTTTCTAACAGCCGAAGCTCGAACAGCCGATTGGACTGACAAGCTATAGTTTAGAAAAATGCAATGTTCTGTTACAATTACCTAATAGTATCCCCTTTGTTACTCCAGGCTTGGCTGTGGCATTTCAACGGAGACCCCAAATGTCGAACAGTAAATTGGAAGGGCGGGAAATTATTTAGTCTCGGATGACCACAATGAATTCTTAATATACATGTATCTCCTCCTTACGGATATCACATTATATTCGGCAGTAAGCAAGTTGTTCGGCAATAATTTCAAGTCCAGGCAATTTGCTACCGATCAAAGTCTATTGTTGGTCTTGGCGTATATTATCACCAGTCCGACATCCGTGTCCAAATGGGTCAATATGGCCAAAATCCAAAATGGTCGCCAGTTTTGGCTGAAAAATTACAATTTTTACTCAAGTGTCATAAAATTTCACATAAATGATATCACAGACAAAATCCCACCCACTTTCACTGTATATGTTCTTATTGGGACGCGATAGAAATTGGACACGAGATTAGAATATCAATTAATATCACTGTTTTGATTTTAAGCATGGACAGGAAAAAACTGGAACCCATGTGGTATGAAGAAGGGCGTCTATAGACACAGACAAGAAACATGAGCCGAGTGGGTCTAGATAGAACCCTACACATTTCTTAGATTGAGGAAAAGGCAACTGTGTGATAAATTGCCCACCCCACCCCAGCATTACATTTGTCACAAAGTAAACGAAGTTTGTACTGATGAGCAAATTCCTTTCTTCCTATAACTTAGCACGTGCGTGCTGTATCATTGAGTAAACTCGTGTGGTTTCGATTCCCCGGTTGTACGTGACAAGGAGCAGGGTCGCCTGTCCAACCACGTGGGTTTTCTCCTGGTTCTCCGATTTTCTCCCACTGTGAATTATTGAAATAAAATTGAACCATGTGTAAGTCCCGAAATGACCTAGTTTTGTCGAGTGGACGTTAACCCCATTTCTCTCTTTCTCTCAGTCATGCTAGTGTTACAAAAACATTATCTAAGGGTATTGGGTAATCTTACTATCATCTATTAGTACATACTGCTCGTTCTATAATATCATCGATTAACATATGCTAGTCTTGCTATAATATCCCCTATTAATATATGTTAGTCATGCTATAACATCAACTACTGGTATTTACTAATCTTGTTATACCATCATATGTAAGGTCGTAATTGAGGCAAGGACAATCAGAAGTTCCTAAATGTAAATTAATAATAAAAAAGAAAGTGTCAATAAATTATTTTAAAATCATTAATTAATTTTCACAGTCCTTCTAATCGTGAACATAGAGAGGTAAACTCTATCCATGCTTGTCCAAATATTAAAAAGTATCTTTGGTTAGACTGAATCACTTACAAATTAATTGAAAACAATAAAACTCAAATTAATATAGTTATCATTATTTATTGACAGCAATAATAACAATCTGCATTGGTATTTAAATCCCAAAAATATTATTACATGTTTATGTATATAATATATTAACTTATTACTGACACTTGTTTCTCAATTAAAACATCATGACACAATATACATATCACAGACAGGAGGATCATATTAACAACATAAAGAGTATAAATAATAGAACAATTTGAGCACTGTTTACTCAATTAAGACAAATACAATACAAGCAATTTTCAACCGGATCAATAGTGATCACGTTCTGGACTGAACTAGGGTTTTTCAACGTTCGGTATCTAAATAGTTAATCCCATATAAATTCCCTTGTCAGTAGAGTGGGACGGTGGGCCTAGCAAGGGAAAACGTATATTCGTTCGGATGGACGAAAACCAGAGGTCCCGTGTACACACTGGCCAGGAAAAAGTTCCCTCATAGCACACCGCATGGGGTACGCCCGTCTTCAATAACCCGGTCGGAGCATAACAGTAGGACCTTAAACCCCATTTTATTTCATTTCCATATAAATTCAACCGAGATTTTTTTTGAAAATGATTGTTATAATGATATTCGTAATTTTAAGATATTTATATTATAGCCATAGCAGCCTTAACCATTTATTAAATTGGTTTACTGACAAGTCGTGAAATGAAATGAAATGAAATGGGGTTTAACGTCCTACTGTTCTGCTCCTAACCTGGGCTAATGAAGACGGGCATACGCCATACAGTGTGCTATGAGGGAAATTTTGCCCGGACAGCGGCACTACGGCCTACTCTTATATCGAATTCCAACTGCCAAGGGATCTTTTACGTGCACGCCAATGTGTACACGGGACCTCGGTTTTTCGTCCCATCCGAACGACTAGACAGCTTTCCTTGCCAGCCCCTCCGTCCTGCATCACTGACAAGGGAGAACCACGCCGGAAAATCTGGATGAACTTTCTCGGCCAATGCAGGGATCGAACACCCGACCTCCAGGCTAGCGAGCTAGCGTCTTACCCACTTAGCCACGTGATCCCCCTGACAAGTCGTAATGATACTCAAGACAAAAATACGAATTAAGGGGGCATTTCATAATTTGCATAAACTGGCTCCTCTAAAATGTTTAAGATTCCCATGTTTACTACTAGCTTGCCCATTCTGTCATTCTGGTGTTATATAGCAAGCCCCGTTTACCCGATATGCTAAAGATATAAGCTAAGACCCTTTGCAGCTTTCATCATAGGTCAGGAGATCAAAATATAGGGTTAGGGAACGTGATTGTTGACGAGATCGTGGGGTTAGAGTTAGCCCTACTCCTCACCCTAATTCTTATCCTAACCCTAACCATATTTACATCTCGTGAATTATGACGAAATCTGCAATGGGTCTTACCTTTTAGTCCTACAGGTCCTCTAATTTTTTTGTTTCATACGAACTTCCGTTGCAACAATATTATTTGTTCTAGACGAACTTCCACTGCTGGCTACAACATATTTATTCGAATACTAGACCAATTAGAAGTAGCACCTATGTTCCACACACTGAAACGTAGAACGTCGAAGTAATTCAAGGCAGATAAAAATTGTTTGTCTATATGATAGACACACAGTCTGTTTGATGTGCGCGTGATTTTGGTAAGGACACTTTAATCAAGCACAAAAGACGTATAAACAACAAGAGAATCGGTGTATAACAATTTGAATAGATGTCAATTAATTAAAGACATTTAATTCTTGGTCATGCTTTTTCTGTGTTGTTTTCGTGTTTAGCTGCTTCTAACGCTTCTTCTTTATTTTTATCAGCCATGACCTGCCATTGTTTTAGGTTGGCTCTGGAGAGAAAAAAAACACAACAATATGAGTATTTGCAATGAATTATTTCAAAACAAATGTATCTTTGGGGTATGTTATTGTCATATCGCTTCACTTAGTAAGTAGTTATCTGTGTCATGCTCTAGGAAGTGTACCATACCACTATTGTGAACTTAATTGACACTCCCATAAATTGTTACATTTTCTGTAACAGTGACTGCACTAACATATCAATCAATATGTTAATAATTTTGTTGTCTATGCCACGATGTCTTCACGAACCTGTTATACTCATCAGGATAAATACAAAACATCCCTTAAAATAACTAAATATTCCACCGTGTGTCATATGTAATATTTAACCGTGCCAAACACTAAATTAAAGGATTAAGCCATTTTTAAGCATGTCTTATATAACTTTTTATCCCTTATATTGACCACATACAATATGATATTCGATCTCCCATGTCACATGCAACATACGTTCCTAATCGGGTTGAAATTCGCCATCAAGCAGTCCGGAAGACGAATTGAAATATATTATGAGTTGACGGGCGGATAATGCACAGGGGTAGAACATTGGCCCTTTGTGATAAAAATGAAGTATAATATGTCTTACATGGTACCATCCAGCATTGGTTTTGTACTGGGTATGACTTGAGCTAGTAGTTCATAACAAGGTAAACATATACCTAGAATAAATCCAACCTGAAACAAAAGGGAATGAAATTACGAAATGCTGATATTATAATAGATCAATTACAGCACAATGGGTTGATGGGATGTTATTCAAAAACCAGTAATTTTAACAAAGGTTTTGCGATCATAATTGTTGAGTCCATGTTAAGAAAACCGTATTTTATCACAATAACTTACTTCCAGTTGAGGTAATTCATTTTGTTTATCTCTGTCCATCATCGGCATCGGCTTAAATCCCTGAGATTTTTCCTCGTCGCCCTTCAATAATAATAGCATAGTACATTGTATAATATAATAAGCATTTCGATTTTTCTTCTAAGCCTTCTCAATTGATTAATTTTGTCGTGATTTAAATGACAATTATTAATTCACTACCAGAATATTAGTTCGGGAAACTGCTATATTATAATTGTATACAAGATCAAAAGTAGAGGGAAACCGTAAATGACACTTGATTAAATAAACTATTTACATTATTATAAAATTAAAACTTTTCTTTCACTTTCATTAAAAAAAATATTATTTAATTAGTCATGTATTTAAAATGTAAGACACAGCAATGCGTTAAGTAGAAATACTAAGTAACACAGATTATACTAATTTAAAAAGATAAAATGGGTTGAAATCTTTAAAGATAAGACTGAACGAAGAAACAGTATATTTATATAATTAGTAACACATTAACAACTGATCTAATTACCCAGCCCCAATTTCGGGCGATCAATACCGATGAGTAAACAAATACACTTGACAAGAATAAATGTTTCACTAATAATGTCAGAGCTTACTTTAAATGTGGTATATATTAAAGGCATGTGTGTACTTTAAAAACTGATAGTACTTCTTTACAAAAAAACCCGTCTTTAAAACCTGTTTTATAAAGGAGCGCGAATAAGGTCATTAACCTGGCCAAAAGTATTTCCGAATTTAAAACGCATTGCTTAAAACTCATTTTATACAAAAAAAAAGAGAAATTGTAGGTCACATTTATATGAAAGAGGAAAGGTTTACCGGGAGATTTCTAAAGTCCTACCTGTTGCCAAAACTCCTCCATGATAACATAAACTAAATTAAGTTGAATTTCCCATGGTTTGTGCATAGCACAAAGATCACAACCAGTCATAAAAATTGCCATAAGCAGACGTCTGCAGAGATTAAAGAGAGATTAAAGAGAGATAGTTCAGATAGAAAATCACTAGACACCATTTACAACACAATAATACCACAATAGATCAGATACACATTTCAAATCTTCATTTAACTATAAACTATAAAATATGTCTAAATAGGCCTTGGAGAAAATTTACTTAGTGTATATATTACAATTGTTGTCTGGCATATTTCATTATTATAATACATTAACATTGTGTACACACATGGTGTCTTTAGAGGACAGTGAAGATTTGGAATATACATTTCATAATAAAACATTCTCGCATAAATAACAGAAACACATTAAAATAACAAGACAATGAAAAGACACTACACTACACATAACTCAGTTGTTAAGCAGATATGAAGAACCAATAGCTTTTAAGAAATCAGAGTTAGTCACAACAGCGGTATTAAATCCATGTTTTCGCACTGAAACACATGTTAAATATGCTGCCAAATTCACCTCGGCCCAAAATTCTTGGTAGATGACATTAACACTATCCAGTTGTACATCCCATGGTTTTGTCATAGCACAAAGGTCACACGCTGTCATAACAAGAGCATGTAACAATCGCCTGTGCAGCGCACGCATAAATAAAATAAAATAGAACAATTACATAAAATGTTGAAAATTTAATATTTTATAAAAAGTAAGCCATTCAAAATCACCACTGGTGTTCTTTGGTGTTCTTTTAGTAGGTAATTAGCTTATTCTGTTCGACAGCATTTTCTCTGCTTTGAATCTCGTCAATGAATCCCTTGTATTCCACCTCTTATAATTTAACATTCCTATCAATAAATTACTGTATGCCGCCAAAAGCTGTGGCTCAGTCTATTCGGTTTTTTTAAACAAAGGAATGGGATATATTATTGAACTAACCTATGTTCTTGTATTGACCAGGAAAATTCATCTTTGTCCGCTATTTCTTTTAATCTAGCTCGATTAGGAAAGAATAGGGCAAGGTCTGTAGCTAGTATACAATGTTTTATATCCCCTAAAACCTGTAAGAAATGGATAATTATGAACAACTAATTATTATGTTAAAAGGGAATATAATGAATGCCTTACTTGTTGATTTTATAGGTGTAAGATGTGACCATATAAGCTGATTGTAGATTAAACCTCAGTTTTTCATTTCATTTGAAAGACTAGTCACAATTTCCCTCTCAACATGGTAGTAGTTATCCCTGGCTTGAAAGATCACAAAGGTTCGCCTCGATCCACGTCGGGATTCGAAACAAAACGTAATAGATTCATTGAGATACTCACTGTTACTGGTGTTCTGGCGCTTTATACAATTATGTTTACATTGCATTTATTGCATTGCATTGTATTAATACATTACCTTATTTGTTTTAATCATTGATTAAAAGTATCCTTTCATTTTAAAACTAATTTCAATTTTAAAACAACCAGGAAGGAATTCTTAATTATCATAAGTAATATCGCCTACCTGTTTATACTCCTCCGATGTTAAATGTTTAAAAATGTTGTGGCCTTCGTGCTAAAAATACAAGAAATCTAATGTAATTTGTAAAGAGTAACAAATATAAGTGTTGCGTTCGAGATTGGGTATAGTTGCCAGCAAAATTACCAACTGCATGTTTGTGATATAAATGAATATAAAAACATATGTGTGATTTGTGCCTAATTGAGTATTGCTGGCATTTCATATTCAGTTCTTCTACCACGCCCCGGTGAAATCAAATAGGGATGGTGTTTTCTTTTCACTTAACTTTTTCGTTTTATATTTTTTCATATTTTATATCGTATCGAACTCAATTTTGTGCAGAACAATAAAAACGGGCAAAATAAATATATCATTTCAATTAGACTGTATTTTAATGATTATTGTCAGTACCTGTAAGATGGCGACAGTTTGATTAAAATGATGGTGCTCCATAGTTGAGGTAGAGTAAATAGCTGCTAAGGGGGATGCACTTTTCACCATAAAGGCATTGGTTTTACCACGATGATCTAAATCATGACATAAACAAGCAACAAACAAAGCTAGGCACTGTAAAAATAAAAAATGTTATATTTTAACGATCATTTACAAAGTACTCATTTGGTTAAACGAGACTAGTAACAACTAAATATGATTAGCTGAAACTTGAATTTGAATTTTTCAGCCAATCAGGTACCCTCAAATCACTTTCTGGGTAAAATAACCGGGCATGAGGATCATGTTGTTATTCTGTTCTCTGAGAATGGGATATAAATATAAAAAAATAAATGGTATACACATTAGATCATAAAATCTTGCGAAAGATAAAGAAAAGAAAGGATAGCCCGCTTTCAAATGTGTTCCCAACAAGGTGGATACTTCTTAGATGATATTTTGATTCGTTTCATGTTCCATATTTTATGATGTAAGAACTTTACAAACGAAACGAAACGCAAACAGATCTCAACAGATTGAATATTATTCATTGTCGGCGACTCATTTTAGTGAGAGGGGTCACGGTGTCTAAGCGGGTAAGTCGCTGGCTCGCTAGCCTGGCGGTCGTGTTTTCGATCCCTGCATTAGTCGAGAATGTTCATCCAGAGTTTTCGGCGTGCTTCCCCCTTGTCAGTCACACAGGGAGGAGGGCCTGACAGGGACAGCTGTCTAGTAGTTATGATGGGACGAAAAACCGAGGTCCCCTTGTACACATTGACGCGCACGTAAAATATCCCTAGACAGTTGGAAGTCCGGGCAAAATTTCTCTTATAGCACATTGTATAGCGTATGCCCGTCTTCATTAGCCCAGTTCGGAGCACAACAGTAGGACGTTGAACCCCATTTCATTTTATTTCTCATTTCTGTAAAGAATCAAACATTAATTATTTATGAAAATAATGATACCTCAGTACTGGTGAATTGGTGATTACTACGTTTAATAACTGTGTACATAGAATGGGCTACAGAGAAGGCGTGAACCCAGTTATGGTAGGGCACATGACGATAGTTCTTCCGCACTGTCAGAGTAAAACGGCTCAGGTCGCTGATATCAAATCTTTTTAAAAAAAACATGCAAAAAATATAAGTAATGTTGTCATATAGCATAGAATAATGGAAATGTATCTCTAGGTATTGAATATACGTCGTACAAAGAACAGAGTCAAATGAGTGTGGTCCAATTTTAGGTAATCCATGTGAACATAAAACATGAGGAATACGTAAAGCACATTGCTGTGTACATGTACACATGCGTGAAATACTTATATATAGTTGCGTGCTGCTCAGTGAAACAATGTCGTTGGAATTTGGAGTAAAAGGTGGTACGCTATGCACAGCATGTTCTACGCATTGCGTGCGCGTGTAAGCTTAACCTAATACTTCAATACATATGTACTATCCACATATGGATACATGTTGCCCTACCCGGTTATAATATTCAAGTTCCGGGTAATCCATGTATAATGCAGCTTACTTGATAAATAATTCATACAAATATCAACTTGTTTAACAGTTGAATGTAAATTCAAAATTTAAAATAATATATTTTAAAACTATTTTATAAATACAGTTTATAAGTTATTTACTGATACCAAGGTAATCAACTTGAGGTAATAGTCCGATCCTTAATGTAAATCCGTCGGCTTTTCGGGTAGAAATTGTGGAACAATCTACATTTTGTAGGTTTTGTTGTTTGATGACAAAAATTCAATGTTGACATTTTTCTGAGTAGGTCTTCATAGTATGGGATGCCATTATTTGAAAGGTAGCCATTTTGCGACAATATTTTAACTTATATTTTGTTTTCAACTTATTTTATAATGTTATGGACATATCAACTGTGATTTGGCACTGTATTAGTATTGACGGGGTCTTGACTATATTTCAGATTTTTTTTTCATCACTTCATGGTGGCGGCCGCTTTGGTGGGAAAATGGGACAATGTGAAAAGTTTGATTAAGTAGTAGTGGTTGGTGTCAATATATATGTTTACGAGGACGCAGATTCGATTTCTGACATTTACAACCTTGTAAAATGATCATATGTTTATATATTTAACATATTTCTAATATTGTTGCCACATGTGGCGGGAAAATCGGACGATATGCTGATTTTGATTAAGTAGTCGTTTTCGGGGGCGCAAATTCGATTTCTGGCATATACAACTGCGTAAAATGATCGTATGTTTACTACCGATTTAGCATATTTCTAAAATGGCGGGACGTTTTCTAGACACATACATGTACCTGAAAGCCGATACTGTGTCGTACCCAGTTAGTATATTATTCAACGATGAAGATTCGTCATCCGAGATGACCACTGAACTGATATCGATTTTCCTGTGAAAGAAAACCCTATTCACTCGGTCTCCTGGCATAAAGGCGGGGAGAGCGTAACGGCAGCGTGGGGCTTGCGCCCATCCTGCTCCTGTCACGACCACACCAAGCGCTTACTACGCCCAGCGCGCTCCAGTCAAGATCTTACTACGTTCATGACCAAGCTCTGGCTACGCGCACCAGGTTGCCACCATGCTCTCGCGGTTATCTGTCAGACCGAGATACGTTCTCACCACACTCCCGTGACGTGCCTATAGAGACTGTGCCATGCTCACCCTGTCCCCATTCACTTTCAAAGCACAGAACCAAAAGTCAAGCAATCAGGAACATTTTTTAGTTTTCTTGATGTTTCCTATTTAGATGCTAGACTGGAGCTGATGGACGAGACAGCGTAGCAAGCATGTGGCTGGCAGCTTTGTTCCAGCCTTGCGGCAACGCGGTTGGGAGTGGTTGGGACTTGGCCGGCTACTTTGACATCACTGCCCCCAGTTCTTCAATGATGATGGCAGTGATGTCATAGATTAAGGACCGTGTCGTCGTTTAAGTGGTGATATAGTTTGTTTTTCCAACGCAACACATTCCTCTGAACGACTCCTTCCACGCCCAGCTTGGGCTCAGTTGATGATATAATCAATGCAGTCCTTGTTTTATTTCTTTGTATACTGCTTTATATTTAATATCATATATTTCTGTTCTACGTTTAATTTATTAATTACCTTTTCAAAAGTTGAAAGTCTCACATTTTTAACCATCGTTAATTTTGCATCTATAACTGACAGACAACATAAACAGAAATACTCGACAGCGTCACCAAGTCTTAAAATCAGACTACTACAACGCGGTGGACCATGTAAATGTGCTATTATCCTCGGATGAGGTATTTTCATTGTTGAATAATATACCAAATAGGTAAAACACAGCACTGGTTTCCAGGTTCATGCTACAAGCTAATACATAGCAGAATTTGATTCAGAAACCTTTTTAGTAATGTGTTTAGAGAACGCCCTGCCACAAGCGGTGGCAATCTTGGAAATATGCCGAATGGGTGAACATACCATGATTTCAAGCAGATGTAAATGGCAGAAATCGAATCTGAACTACCGAAAACATATATGGACACAAAACACGTCTACAAATCAAAATCAGCACATCGCCCCACAATCTGATTAAAACACAAATCCTAATTCGCTTCGTTTTTTATAGTTCAAAATTTCGTTATACTTGTCTTTACTATACTAGGATTTGGAAGAGTTGTTATATTGCCGGTGTTCTGGTTGAAGTGAGGGATTAGCCAATGAAAGGGTCTGTTACGGCGAGTTCTTGGCGTGCGATGCACGGAACTGTGGGTAAATCACTAGAAATGTCAACGCTGATTGATTAATCAATGTCTGGCGTCATAGGATCAAAAGCCGCTCGTACGACCCCTGACGCGACCTTCCATTACAACCGGTCAGATCTTCATGTAGTGCAGGCCATCGAAAGTATAAAAACTACGAAACGAAATATAGATCTGTATATAGTCACGACCCCTGCTAATATTAATACATTGCCAAATCACCGTTGATATGTCTATAACATTATACATACGGTAAAAAATAAAATAATAAGCTGGAATATTATCGCAAAATGGCTACCCTCAAATAATGGCATCGAATACTATGAAGACCTACGCAGAAAAAATGCCAACATTGGTTTTTTGTCATTAAACATCAAAACCTTCAAAATAAAGTTTATTCCACGATTTCTACCCAAAAAGCCGACGGATGAGAATTGTATAACAAACCGAATCGAACTATAATGTTATCATTTTGACGATTCAAGGAAGTCTATTGTATATCGATGCTGTCTCATTAACTAATCTACAGACAAAATTCATTTAAGAAAAAGAAACATTTTGGGGGGTCTCAAAAACAGGTTATTTCAAAATTACCACAAAAGTTAAATATGAGAATATTAAAATTTAGGGCAAAAGAAAGAAAGGGTATCTATTTCATTTAAACAAATGAGAAAGAGCAGATCGTGCATTCATTCTAAGACTAAGCTATTTCAAGAGTGGGGGTACAAAATGGTTATTGCAAATCAAAAGATAGTTAAAATGATAGAATAAGTATGAATAACTAGTAGCTTTAAAATCATAATGTTGGAAAAATAAATAAATAAATCTATCAAAAGCCAAAGCAAACAATCAGGTTTTTAATCATTTCAAAAACAATGTTTGGTAAATATTCGATCACTACCTATTTACGAAAATACTATTACCTTTGATCATTGGAAGAACAACTGAAAAGTAATATCAATTGAACTAAAACGAGTCTCTTTTATTTGAACCTAATGTCAAAATGGCTTTCGATTATCTATAAACATATCAAATGATGTATGCTCATAAAGGCAGTATAATGATTTAGATAAGACAGTGAATGTAGATGTGGTGTGGGTGGTATAGCTCTGCTCAATATATGAACTGAGAGTTCACTTTAATTCCTTTAATTAGGTACGACTAATAACTTACTACTCCGTTATCAATATACGAACGAATAAAGGCAATACTATGATTTAGATAAGACAGTGAATATAGATGCGGAGTGGGTGGTTTAGCTTTGTTCAATTTATGAATTGAGAGTTCACTTTAATTTCTTAAATTAGTTACGACTAATAACTTACTACTCATTTTTCAATATACGAACGAATAAAAGTGTTAACTATGTTAGGATGTAATATAAACTATTTCGTTTGAAGGTCAGTATTCAAAACAACACACAATCTCAAGATTAGTCCAAGTCCTAATTTTGTTATTACAGCAAAGAGTTTGGGTCTCCTGCGTATTTCTGGCGCGTATACGAATTAATGAAATAGAACAAAACATGGCCTAGTTAGTGTTAAATGCACATTACTCCGCCTATGGCCCTCTCTTGTGTTGCTACTGATATTATTATGTCAAATATGAGCAAATTTCAGTTTGGGAATTAAATGCTAATCCAACATGATATGTGTTATGAATTGACCTTAAAACAAATTCTCAGATTTTCAGAGATTGAAATGCCAAAATGGGTTATCAGTTAAATCCAAATGTAAGAGACTCTAAACAAAAAGTGTATTATATCCATTGTAATCTGTTATCCTAAATATTTCATTTTAGAACAAGGGCAAAAAACAATTTACTACACCAAAGTAACGATTTTAATACGTGGTGATAATAGATTACATTTTTATTATCTGGAAACATCTATTTGCAGTAGAACTTGTTTCTTTATTGAGAGTTTGTCTTTTTATTACCTCATTGACGTGAATAGCTCCTTAAACATATCTAGAACAAAAATGGGTTTCTGTACATCAGAGATCTCCCAGGGTGAGTATTCATAGCTAAAATATAAAAGTTTCATTCTGTGCACATACAACATTTTCCACCTACAATATTATCCGGCGTTGCCCTGGGAGGCTTTATCTCTATTTTGTAATATCCATAATAATGCAATAATCACCAATTGTCAATTTCATCATTAAATACGTAACCAAATACAAAGCAAATAGCAACAGTATATTTATTGTAAAAAGTTGGCCTATAATGAAGTTACTTTAAACTCCCTTTCTTTCCGTCACAAGTGCGTAAACATCTTAAGCAACTCCCACGACATGCCAGACAAAATTATCAATAATCATACATTATGAATTCCATCATTAAATACTGTAACTAATACAATATAAATAACCCTATTCAAATTTCTTGCAAAAAAATGGTTATTTCCACGCGAAATTAATTGCTAATTTCATTATTTGTACATTATATAAAGCAATATTAAAATTCTTGTCAAACAAACAGGTTATTGTGAAAGTGTAGCGAATACACAAATTAATGTTACCTGGTAATAGCTTCTAATTTTTCTGGGTGTTGTAAACTACGAAGTTGTTTTAATTCTTCATCTGTACATTGATTATGATATGATAAAACTTCTATTGCAACTCGATATTTTTGTTCTGAACGACGAATCTTCTCATATAACTGACCAAATTAAAGAAAGAAGATATTATATAATGGTATATTTCTTTAACTTGCGGTTGGCTACAAAATCTTGAACTTCACCCCAATCAACGACTACGTCAGCTACCCTAGGTATGGGTGGGGCTAAAATTGTTGTATAATTAGATGCTTGAGAGTCTGGTCAACCATTGCCATTTTAAATAGTATTTCTTTTCAGGGCGAATCAAATACAACCAGTATATGGTTCCAGAATCAGAGGCTTTACGAAAAACGAAATAGTCGATCGAACAAAGAATTTGTTTACAATATGGACCAGCATCGGTTTAAATATTTCTTAATCATCATAATAACCTTATCACCCCTTTTAGTCTATTTGGTGATGAATTTTCAGAGATTTACTCGTGTTGATAGAAAAAAAAGGTGGGCAGCGGTTTGACAAAACAAAAACAAAACATATCTACAAAGAGTGCGCATAAACTACTATATACATAATAATATAAATTGTAGTTTGGTAAATCGTTTAGTTGATGTTGTATAAGTACATTGTATTCTTTTGTACAGGTAAAATGTGTTTAGTTCATATTCTGCAATTTTACACGTATTATTTGTTGAACAATTCTATTTATATCCATGGACCTTATAATGCACTATATTAATGGTTATTTCAATGAAAGGAATAGAACCTTCGTATCTATCATTTGAAATATTCTCACCAATTAATAATTCATAAGGAGAAAACCTTTATAACTTGTTAGAAGTTTTGTTTAATCGTTTTGTATTGTACAATGAAATGTCGATGTAATGAAATACGTTTAAACTAAACTAAAGGTGTGACCACCTAACTTAGAACGACATTATGCAACAAACCTCTTACATTGTACACTTTTATAGGTGAATCGAAAGTCTGTGATCTCATTAACTTGTGTCTGCCGATATACCATAAGCTCCAATTTTCAATGCATTATAATCGTAATTAGTAAATGTATATCTACCTTCGCATGATGTAATGCCAGACCGCAATACACTGCAAATGTTTCAAAAGCTTCTTCGTCTGTTCTAGAGAAGATCCCATCTAGTTTATTGACCATTTGAACTACACCTATAATACTAAGATAAACGGTTACGCTCAATATATTTTAACCATTTGAACCCCACCTATAGTTATCATTACTATAATAAATAATTAGTCCCAGTAACGCCAGTGTGTGTGGGGTGGAGGGGGGGGGGGGTGTTAACACATTTTATAGTACTTAAATTTTATAGTATTTAATAAAGCAGATTCTCATATACAAACCTCATACAAATGTTGCAAGAAACAATATGTTATATTAAAATTTTTACAAACATAAACAAGAAGAAGTTCAAAAATAAACAAACTCATTTTAGGAATTTGATGGCATTACTTTTATACGTGTATTTCTATATTCACAATTTTGGTGCTTTAACGAGACGATAGGTAATCAAAGAATGGTGGTGTGTATAAAATGAATTAAATACTTACTTGCCCCTGATATATATTGGCATACAAAGGATTGTCTTCGTATGATAGCCTGTCTGAAGATCAACATCTCTGCAAAATACGCAAAAGATAAACACATCGAAATAGCAGAAATATAACCCGTTGTTCCACTGGTATGATTTGGGGTACTAAGTATCCATATTCGCAACCTGGACAGCAGTTCGGTCCGCATTTTCGAATCCATCAAATGGGAAATAAAATAAACTAGGGTTTAATATAGTAATTTATTTTCTGCACCGACTGGGCTACGAAGATGTATCCCCTTTCCATAAAAGCAAAACTTACCTGTTAAATCTCCTGTCACTATAGGCATCAGGAATATTTAATATCTGACCGGAGGAGGCGACATGACCAGCCACACCTTTATCTATTGGAAATCTAAAACAAACAATCTATATGTTATTATCTTTGCTGTTTTGTTTTTTTTTAGCAAAAAAACTTTAAAATTTGGTGGCAATTAGTCAAAGCATAAAATATATAAATGTATTAACAGATACAAAACAACACAAATTACTCATAAAAACCATCAAAATTACAGGCGTCTGTAACACGGTAAATCTCTTTCAGAAATAACATTAAAGGGGGCTAAGTATTATGTCTATTACGTTCGTAAGCGAGATCAAATTCAAGGGCAAATAACGCGCCTGAAACCGATTCTCCATGTTATATTAAGCGCTCGTTAATTGGAGGTGAAGTTCATAACCGCGAATTCATTGATTTCTTCCCAAGATAACGCCAATCGTTTAATATATATAAATTCTACCAAAAATATGTGTATGTTAATATAACTTATGCTTACATATCGAGTATTATATTAAAGTTAATCGACGTTGGGGATTTAAAAGGTATTTAAGAATATTGTATTCTTATTATCTGTGATACAGATATCCCGTGACCCTAAGTCACAATTGTTCTTTTTTCTAATATTCCAAACCTGATTTCTTTTTGTGGCACATGTATTGTTTCCTCTGTAGTTCCAGTATCAAATATTCTTGCATACAATTCATTGCTCTTTGTATCGACCATAAATAAAGATGCTCGATCTGCACTGACTAAAGCTTTGGCAAAATTCTGTCAAAAAAGTGTTTTATCGGTTTCATAGTAGACACCAAAAAACAAATTAATTTTTCTAAAGTACAAGTATAAATATGCTGACCGAGACGCAAAAACAATAAATCAACGTAAACTGCAAATAAAGCATGGTAAAGAACGCAATATATTAAACACTGAAAGTTGTCCAAGACAAGTTTTTAAATGCCGAAGATTCCAGGATGAACGGCAACTATAGACGAACATCGAGGCCAAATAGTGTGAAATTACGCATATTTTTTGTGTTTTTACCGTCTAAATTATTATCAAAAAGAACACTTCTAGTCCTCTTCTAGTAAAATTGCGTCTTTAATACAGATTTTCTTGGTGATCCTAATAAAATTAAAATTATGATCCCTGGGGGTTTGTTTTCAAGTCTCGGTTCGCTTTTGGTACTACAAAACATAGAACCCTGACCTGATTTCTCTCTGCTGCGTATCTGCTTGAGAAAGAATTCCATTGCCAATATCAAATATTCGGGCATACAATTCGTGCCTTTGGTTATCGACCAAAAACAGCGATGCCCTATCTGCATTTACCAACTTTTGAGCATAATTCTGTAGAAACAACCAAAAAGCAAAGCGAAGTGATAACAAAAAATAAAAAGCAAAAAAATGTTACAGTTAAAATAAAATCTACATGCAATAAACATAATGTGCTGTGATATAACTAACATAATTATTATGTATATTATTAGCATAACACGTGACAATAAATTACGATGTTTCTGACCACTTGGAAGCATGGTGGCTAAGTGGGTAAGACGCTGGCTCGCTAGCCCGGAGGTCGCGTGTTCAGTTCATCGGGATTTTCCGACGTGCAGAACAGAGGGCCTGACAAGGACAGCTGTCTAGTCGTTCGGATATGACGAAAAACCGAGGTCCCGTGTACACATTGGCGTGCACGTAAAAGACCCCTTGGCAGTTGGAATTCGAAATAAGAGTAGGCCATAGTGCCGCTGCCCTTGCAAAATTTCCCTCATAGCACACTGCGTGGTGTATGCCCGTCTTCATTAACCCATACGGAGCAGAACAGTAGGACGTTAAACCCCATTTCATTTCATTTCATTTCTGATCACTTAATGGTTGCATTTATAAAACTGTCTGCTTGGGTTACATGGGGAATTCTGTCAATGCGCATTATTTTGAAAATTTCAAATCGTAAACGCGAAAAACATTACACATGTTACAATAAAAAACGGGGGATGTGTGTAGAGGCGGTAACTGAATAGTTAGCTGAAAATAAATCGTACATTTGTGTTACTTTTATGCTTCATTACTTTGTTATATTAGTATAAAAGATAACTTATGCGGACTGTACATATTATAATCCTTATAAATAGTTGGGCTGATATTAAATTAATTTCATGATAATGTTGATAATTCGTGAATTTACATTGCTTTTCAAATCTATACTGAAAGATAACTGTCTACCAGGGTTAATAGGTTGTATCTTGAAGAGTTCATTAGAAATATTTTTCGGGGGCGGGGGGTGGGGTACTATTTCAGTATGTCTAACTCATGCACAGGGGAACAAAAAGACTTTTCACAAGAATCATAATCGAAAAGGCGCTAGAAAATAATCCGAATGGCATTATGTTCGTTAAAACAAAGATATAAGAAAATACTAAATTGGTCAAAAACAATTCATTTTAAATTGCATGACAAAAAAAATCTAGCATGGTTTTAAAAAGGATATAAAAAAATACTAAATTGGTCAAAAGCAATTTAATTTAAACAGTCATAATCTGGAAGGCGTAACAAAATAATCTATTATTATGTTAATTCAAAAATATATATATAAAAAAGATACAAAATTGGCCAAAAACTGTATAATCTAAACAGTAAACAGTACAAAAAGAAATCTAAAATCATATTATATTATTTAAAAACAAATAAATCTAAAGGTTTTAACTATTAATCTCTCCACTCACTACACTATTAAATGTGCATTCGAAATGTGAAAAACGAGAACTAATGCGTGCTAAAAACTACAAATAACTGAAACATTTTGGATATTTCTACATAATTAATTTCACTGGCCAGATTCGCTCAAGATATCTAATTGTGGCAGTCTGATTTAAATACTAACGTAAAGAAACCAAAAGCATATTACAACAAGATTTAAAACAAGAGACCTACACATCATTTAAGGCCATTGGGTAAATACCAGAACCTTGTGATGGACTACGTCGATAATAATTATAATGCATTTTGTCCTACTACACAAAAGAGCATTGGGCAAATGCCTAACCCCTGTTTCAAACCACGTTTAACAATTTCTATACAAGGTTTTGCTTTCAATTACTAAAAACAGTCAGTGAGGAGAAGAGAAATTATACATGCTGTGTATATCTGGAGAAGACTATAATGGTGTACACTGTTTGAGGAAAGTAGTGGACAATGTTTGTGGATCACACGAACGGGCGTGATTTTGATGATAAGGGGACTATAGATTTGTGATTAAACTTACCATTATTTTCATAATAACCGTATCCATGCTCACGATGTCCTGAAATATTGACCTGAAAAAGCAATGTGATGTATTGGTTAAAACCAAAGAAAAGAACACGTAAAACAGTATCAATTGCCAAAAAATCAGAAATAATTAAATCTACTTACTTTGTGACGGTTAGTAAAAATTCGTGTAATTTTCTTTGCTTCGTCATATTTGAGTGAATCTGTTATAAAACAAAAATTGGTAACTTACATTAATCGTTTTGTCTTATAATTATTCATGGCTAGTCAACAAATTATTATTCATTTAAACTGTAGTTATTTAAGACAACTCATTGGGTAAAAAAAATATGGCTAAGGAATAGGTAAACCAAAATTAAATTTAGCTTATAATATAAACTCGAGAGTACCTCTGCATATTGTAGTAGAAGTCCTCCCCATGCTAAAATTGTGCCTGTGACCTGTTAGTAGAAATAAAGCAAAGCTCTAATACAAATCATAATGATCTAGTGTTAAAATATACTGGAACTTGTCTATCAATTAAATGTAATACTTAAATTCTACTATATTAAAAGTACAGAATCTATGCTGAAAATCACAATCTAATCTAACTTTATAAAGTATCTATATTCATTAATAAGTACATGCATTTATCATAATAAGGAACTTGAAATCCACAGATCCAGAGTTATATCGACTTTTCAGGAAAGTTTCAATATTAAAGCAAACACTGATAGTGGAATACGACATGTACATGTACTTCCTAAGCATTGATGTATAGTCACTTACATGCACTACCTATGAAGTAAACGGTCGTACATTGGGACAGGCAAACAGCGTTTGTCTTAAATATTAATTCAGTTAATATGTTAGCTAGCCTCAAAATCGTCCCTTATCTAAATGTGATGTGTGGTGATATAAAACAAATCTAATCATATTTCTAACTATGGTACACATTTTTACATAAATAAATCTTTATAAAATTATAAGTTGGTTTTTGTTTTCAAAAAAATATTGTTAGCAAAAATAAAAACAGTGATAAATTAAGATATTTTGTTTCTAGCATAATAAATTAAAACGAAAATTTAATGAGAAACTATCAAGATGGAAGATATATTGTAGAAATAGTGTTATTAAAATACACGGATGGTACCGGCGTTTGTGGTATCTGCTTATTATAAAGCGCAAACTTGTCTCTGATGCTTAAATTTATTTATTTATATCTTATAAAAATTATTACACACAACCTTTCTGGATTTCTTCAAATCATCTAAATATATTGAGACGCACCAATGATTTGACTGAAGTGCCAACGAGTCAGAATGCGGCTGAATTGTGAATTTTGCAATGTAAAATGGCGGGACAAAGGAAACAACCCACGGAGGCCATAACAACTTTGCACTGAAACGTGGACACATAGGCTAAAACTCTAAAGTCAAAGTCAGTAACGTGTCTGAATCTCTCAGACAGCCGTATACACCAAGCAAAATCGCCACATGAGGAATATAAGCCTATGAATGGCTGTTTGTAGGATTCTTTATGTTCCACAGACCGGCTGACCCCATCTAGAAGGTTTGGTCTTGCTTTAACTCCGTATATCTTATGAAGATATTGTAAAACTCGCGGTCGTTGCTTCAGGAATAAGCAACATTTCATATCACATGTATGCCACGGTGGATCCGTGAGTATATGACGTTGGATCGCTAGCCTGGAGGTCCTGTGTTCGACCCCTGTGTTGACCGAGAAAGTTCATCGGGACATGAGTTGGTGTTTATCAAGTATTGATTAGAAATATTTATACCGCTAATCGCCATTTGCATTTTTCCGGCAATATTTGATTTTCACGGCTCATTCACCCTAAAGTGTACTCAAATTCAACATTTAGTACATGGAAATATGTTGGTCAAGATTACAGGTGGCGCTGGTTTCATTTGACCATATATCGTTTATATCATCTGCAGCGGATGCCGAATGTTAACAGTTTTTCTACTGAAATTCCATTTTCACAATAATAAAGATTTCATATGACGATCAAAGACGTTAACTAGAGTTATCAGTTAGAGTGTTAGGCTGGAAAACCGAGTCTACAGATTCTAATATATTTTGCACACCTATATAGATAACCATCTTCAAAATGTCATGGTATTGCAACAAACGTCTGATACTGTGACTGCTTTGGTTGACTTTATTGTACCACAGAAGTTATGTATATGCAGATTGTTTATAACACACAATACTCACTGCTGGCATCAACCACACAGCTCACTAGGCCCACAAATCAGCATAGCTGGGCGTTACTAAGGCTCTGTGAAACTTTGTTTGATAATTCTGTTAACGCAATAACTCACAAATGTTTTAAATATAATTTTCCGTCCAGTGTACGTCAAAGTCGACGAAAGGAGTCAAGATGTCAGACGAATGTAATGTAGTAACACCTTGATATAGTGAATATGATAAGATACCAGATCAGTGGGTTAACTAATCAGTTGAGTTTAAATTGTTTGGTCAGTTGATTAGTATAATGGTTATATCTTATCAGATATATGCAGGTTACCTCAGCGTAATCTACCATTATTCCAGACCATAATAATAAAAAAGATGCAACCTAAAACGAATACAACACAACAATATAAACACGACATGCTGGAAACACCTAAATAAAAGATACGATATCGAGAACTAAAAATACACTGTGTAAAAAACCTTCGATTTAAATGAAAACAAAACAACAATAAATAGTGCAATTAAATTTTAAAGACATTAATTGGCGTGTGCAGAAAAATAAGCAGGGGCGGGTGGGGAAGGGGGCTGTTTTGACGTGACGGGCCGTGGAGCCTCGAGGGGGTATGGGGTTCTTCCCCCAGAAAATTTTGAAAGTTTGAAGTTGATCTCCTTGTATCTGAGGCCATATCTGGAGGAAATTTGCTCTTTTAAATGCATGGGCGCTCACATAGGCTCTCTCCTGGATCTCTCTTGTATAGGCTCCACATGAGCCGGGGCGTTTACACCCTCGGGATACGCGCCTGCTCGTGTGTGATAAAAGAATACAAAGGTAAATTACGACGTAAATAATAAAGCAAATATGACATGGTATGATACAGCATCCCGTCTTACCTCTTCCTCTCCTTCTGAGAACTGACCAAATCTGGAATTTCTATACACTTCTAAAACACCTAGATACAAAAGATTATTTATAATTTTATGTGATCAGTAGATTGGAACAAGTTTATTGAAGACCGTAATCAAGCACTAAAATACAACACAAATAGTATTATATTCCAAATACCCCTTTTAAAATATTTTGTATGGCCATTCGGCAGGTAATTTTGTCATTGAATTTAAGATGTCTTGAATGAGATTTTCAGAATGTGAAAAAATTCTACCTAAAACATTTCCATCTTCATCCATTATAGGTAATACTATTACTGAAAATGATCTATTGCAGGCGACTCCCAAGCCATTTGGAAATCGATGATCGACAGTAACATCTCTTAAGCGTGTTGTCTCTTTACTGTAAGCAACCTGGGCTGCTATGGAAACCCGGTCACATATCTTTTCCCTGTTCTCGTTTACAATTTTACCACTATGAAAAACAATAAGAGTACAAAAAACATTATTATGACATAATTATGTCGTTCTAATCAGCTATAACTAGTAGCGGATATCGTTCATCATACAGCGCATGCTTAGTATGGAAACAAGTAAACGGTTCATATTCAAAATGAAAATTGAGCGGAATAAATTTCATACGTTATGACATAATGTAGCCGCGATTGTTATTATATACTTGCATGTTAACATATTTAGAGCTCTGGTTAATCCCTATTAATTTTGTTACGCTGTAGCGTAATGGTTGTTCACCCGACTGTTGATCAGTCATAATACATTTGGGACAGAAATTTGCGGCGAGTCCGGCAGTGTTTGAGTCCACTTACAATCATGAATCACAGAATGGAAATGAATACTTACCCCCGGATTAGAACAATTTCCTGAAAGAAAACACACATTTATGACTTTACTTCTGAATGTAAAATTAATTATGTTATATTCAAAGACCACACTTTATGAAATTTTTCAAAAATAGATTGAATATGTAAGACATATCATAGATTTTAAAACGGTTTCTTTTTTTAAAATAATCTTCTACCTGAGTAGCTGCATCTGTTGCATACAAATTGCATCCTTCGGCGTGAACAGCTGAAAGTAAATATGAATACAAATTTAAGACTTAACATATTGTGTGGAATGTATACATCTTTTAGTATGTGATTTTATCGCCTAAGACATCGTATCCAAATAATTCAAATCGATGACTTGGTAGGCTTAATTGATCAGGTGATAACGCTATAGTAGTTTGAAGGCCTCTTACCTTTGACGACACATGAAGCTAACTCGGATAAAGCAATATGTCTACCGCTAGGATGGTTTATTTCTTTTGATAAAACGTGCGCTACACGACCTTTAGTTGTATGTATTTGTGACTGAAAAATAAAGAATGGGTAATTGATTGTTAATGAGGGCGAGGATGATTGTGGTTTAACGTCCACTTAACACGAATTAGGTTATTTATGTACCACCAGATGGTAAATCTTTACATTAATAATGTGCACGTGAGTAGGGTTCTGTGGGACGAAACCATGGGGCTTGGAGCAAACCAACAAGAGAGGGACGCTATTCCCTAAAATTTTCGGATTCATTAATAAACAAGCATATGCGACAGAGACAATAATCATGGGGCGGCTTTTAGGTGCATGATCAAATTGATAAGACTCATCTCTGCCAAGCATTGATTATCAATATATGAACCAGGGGAAATAACCCTGGCACAACTTTAGCAAGAGGTTGCTATACATGTGGATAGCGTTCATTTATACTAATAAATATTCCTTAAAAAGTTGTACAATCAGTGGCTATAACTAAGTGTCGACAGATGGACAAGGGCGACTACGGTAAAGGACCACATTTACACGAAGGGTATGAAAATGCAATCAAGTATTGTAATCATTTTTTAATAGAATGAGAATTCGGTACAAAGAAACTAAAGGATTTGTCAGCTATATGAAATACTCGAACTATTATGAAATACATACTTACTGTAAATTTTGAAAAATGAGTAAAATTGTCTGATATGTGATGACTGTCACCTGTAAGAAATAAGAAATTACAACATAAATACAAGGAAAAACTCAAATCACACGCTCATGGCTTAAGCTTCAATCTGGAGAAACACAATACATTGCTTCTTACGTGAAAAAGTTATAATGTTCAACAACCTTGATGAAAAAAAAATAGTTGTATGATTCTCAATATCACAAAATGTATTACACCCACATTATTCAATTTACATTAATTAACAAACCATGTAATTTATTTTCTTGAACACGCAGCTAATTGAGATTTATCTAAAATGCAAACATGATGATGTATAGTCATTTTACAGTGTTTGTTAATGGACAGAACCAATGTGGCATCTGTGTTTGGTTTGAAAAAGATAATATTATAGACAGCCAAAGGAACTTCAAATATCAATTATGTACATAGTATATTTATGTACACAATAAATGATATATTTTATTAAAGGGATATAATTGAAGATTAGATAAAGCGCTAGATAATAGTTAAAGAATACATGTAGATAATGGAAAGGGAATATGTTGACAGTTCCAGATAAATTACTTCACTCTGAGCCGAGTTATTAACGTTACAAGTATACCCTCGGTTGTCATTGCTACCGTTGTTATGATAATAAACAATGTCTCGATTATCATCTTTTACGTTAAATCATTAACCGCAATGGTCTTGGAAAGTTAATTAATGTCTAATAAATAATTTACATTTAGCTCTTGCATAATGCCCTTTTAATTGTACAGATCTATTCAATGATCTACTGCAGTAATGAGAGAGATATGAAATGTAATAAACTTAATATATAATGGCAAGTATAATTATTGTACAGGCCAATGAATGATCTATTATGCAGTCATGAGCGCTATTTCAAATGTAATAAACTTAAATTTAATGATATGAATTTGATTGATCTTAATGAAATATCCGAATGGTTATTGGTTTAAATTGTATGTTTCTTACTTATCATAATGCACATCTAAGGCAAAAACTGTGCCTTTTTGTTTAAAATAAGATTTTGAAGTATCAATACGCCCATCAAGAGCAGTTTGATGCATATCCTACCATTTAGCTTGAACTGTTCTGATGTTTTCTGTCGATCTGTCGTATGGTGAGATAAGTGTGAAGTCTTTCGGAGATACCAATTTTCTATCTGTTGTTCGTTTACATGAGTTAATACATAGGTATCTAAAAACTCTGGATTATGATTTAAATATTGGATGAGTGCTTCTCGGTTTAGATCTAAAATAGAAAAACATAACATAGTACCATCGACCATAGACAACTAAATTCAATGTTTATAACTCGAAAATAATAAATTAGTGTAATAGTATATGGAGGAGGTGGGCAAGGCAACTGGTGGTCTGGTCATGGGTTGCAATCTGTTATTACGAAAGTATACGCTGTCGTGTGCATGACATCTACCACGGCTATCATATTACTCAATTTGGGTAAATACAGAAAAAATCATGGTGTTCGTGAAGTATTTTTATATAGGAGAACTTTTAAGATCATTTGCCAGTAAACTGATTATCAGTAGTCATTTATAAATACAGTATGTATTGTGCAAGACCGGTTTAAGGAACAACACGCACAGAAGAAACCTTATCTGTTTTTCAAAAAGCGGGAGCAATATCAAATTAACAGAAATATAAGCCGGTTTTGATCTAGTTTTATAAAATAGTGTGGTTGTGAAGACTATTATAATATATAAACAAGTACAAGCGTATTATGGACCTGAAACCAAACATGGCATCATCGCTGCCATATTGAATTGTGACGTCATATCAAAATCGAGGTGGTCAATGGATGCACAATCGCCCATGGAACAACCATGCCAAGTTTCAAGTCATCGTAGTTCAATTGGCGGAGCCATTGTATTTTTTTTTTGAAGAGCATGATCAACACCACCCACCCACCCACCCCTAAAAGAAGAACAACAATAAGATGAATAGCGCTTGGGGACAAGGTTTTGGTTCAAAATCAATCTGATTAGTATACAGATTTATATTTCGTTTAGTTTTTTTTATACTTTCGATGGCCTACACTACATGAAGATCTGACCGGTTGTAGTGATAGCTCGAGTCAGAGTTCATACGAGCGGCCTATGACGACGGACATTGATTAAGCAACCAATCTTGACGTCCCAGTGGTTTCCCCACAGTTCCGTACATAGTACGCCAAGAGCTCGTCGTAACAGACCGCTTCATTGGCTAATCCCTAAAATTAACCAGAAGGCGGCTTTTTTAACAACTCTTCCAGATCCTGGTGTATTTAAGACAAGTAAAACGAAATTTTGAACTATAAAAAACGAAACAAAATAGGATCTGTGTTTTAATCAGATTGGTCCAAAATTGCAGGAAGTGACATTTGTTTATTTCAATTATTCGCTTGCGTGAAAATTAACGCACCAGGAGAAAATACACCTGGTTGCAGGCGACCATATTACTGGTCATCGTAGGCCTACGAGCAGGACAATTACTACTGACGTCATTCATATCGAAGGTCAAAGAATAATTTCTAACTAAATAGATTATTATTAGTGTTGGGTTTGCTTGTAAAACAATTTGCTTTTAACTATTATTAATATGAAATTCGACCATAGTAACATTCTCGTTAATGTACCCTTTGTTCAAGAAAGAAGATTAAAATGGGATAATAATAACGGTAAATATGATCATGTAAAACAACGTAATGTTTAAAGCACTCAATTTACCATATGTTATATCTTTAAATGGGGATAATTATTTATATAGCAATACTTTCATTATTGTAATTATAGAAGCTTTTAGTTTCATAATCATTACAAAAGTCGTTAACGGTATATGTGGCAATATTTGCCAATCTACTAAATATTGAGGTCGATGGAGATCCCCATCCCGCTCCTTAATTCGTGGAAACACATTACCCATATACAATATACACAACAGAATACACAAACAAAACCGATTTGACATTGTAGAAAATACATAAGTACATGAAAACTATCTAATGATATAGTGATGTGAAATTCTCAGTTAAACGTAATGTGTCCTCAGGTGATTCAGAACGAATAAGTAAACCATGCCCCTGTGTTTAACACCCGTCCCGTCTAAAAAGTAAATGGAACGAATCGTTGAAATGAAAAGATGGCGGGTCTTTTGAATTTGCGTGTCTAATAAACAATTGTGCAAATGAATAACGCCCAGGACACTATAACCCCGAAAACTCTTTTGTCGTATTTTATAAAATATATCTAATATCATTGGAACTCGAGAAAGGGTAATCTCAACGCTACAGTGTTGCTCTCAGACATGTAACGCGTTTCAGTTCTATTATGTTCTTATCTTATCAGGGACCTTTGTATTCTGACCTTTCAAAAGTTCTATCGATTTATTACTAGGTATGTATTTGCTTTATTGTGTAAAATCAATAATTATTGATAAAGGTGCCGCTAGGACATAAAAACTCTCTATAAATATTAGTTTGAGAGTGGTATATATTCACTGTTATTATCCATCATATTAAAATACTACGAAATTCCACGTCAGTGTTGTGAAAGCGAAGTATTAATTAATTTTATTTCATATTTATTGCTTGTTAAATAATCTGACTTATTCTAATACAGACATGTAAATCTTTCATATTTTAAAATTAATCGCTCAATGTTATTATTTTACTGGTTAGTAATTCGGCTTCTGGAACATTGTTTTCAACATCCATTGATAACAAACTTCGCTCGTTAGCTGGTGTTTATTTTAGTGGTTTGACCAAATTAAAGCAGACGGTTCATCGATATCTATATTCTAGCAAAAGATAGACAGGCAATAATGACAGCTATAAGAAAATATTAAATGATCTACATGCTCTATGGTTTAGTTCTCAACATATAATTTTTAAAATATCTTAAATATCTTTATGTTTAGAGTATGGATTAATATATGATTATTTTTTTTTTATTAAGATTGCCGATTATGTACACTCAAAATGGCGTGTATTACAAGATTATCGAAATTATCATAAAATATCATCAATCCGTTTTATTATAAATCTTTGTATTGATTTGGTTTGTTCTTCAGGTTTCTTATGTTTCTAAAAGTTGGTATATCTAACCAAATCAACACTAAATTCTATATTTATCTGGCCGTAAATAATTATCAAAATATAACAAACGTCATACGTGCACATTGTCCTAGAGCCATTACGAAGGGCCGCTGCTATACATTCACAACAATATTCCATGGAGCACATACAATCCAGTGATGTCCATTAAACATTAGAGTCACTAATACATGTTTGAAAGCGTTTGACGCAAAATCACTGATATGGCAACACTGGTCTGCTATTCACACACTCTCTGGTTGGGTTTAATTTATTTTGGATTATATAAAATGCAGAATAGGGTCGTTAAACTAAAGCTATACCTTAATCCTACTTAGTTTATATTAATTTATATATACTATAGTAACCAGATTAAAGCATAACACCAGATCAGGCGTAAAATGAGCAAAGACTCATGCAGTAATACAATAGTAACGTAGGTTAAGAATCAACTACCCCATGGTTTATTACTCGACAACTGTTTTATTAGGCCATAATAATTGTCTCAATAAAACTGTTTGATTTCCAGCTTTCCTTATGCCTGGCTTAAATCCTTTGTAACCTCTTGAAGATATATCAAGTGTGATGAAATGTGTATTTTGGTCGATAGCCAACCCACTTTCTCTACATAAACACGGTAAATCTATGTATTTATTAATAATATGCGGTTAAGTATACTTTTGTCTAGTAACTAGTAATATAATGGATTGTTTTTGTAAATACTACAATATCTGAAAGTGGGTGGATTTAAACATTGCAAGAAATGAAATGAAGTCGAGGATCCTTTCTGTACCAACCGGACTAATGAAGACGGGATTGGTATTTAAATAAGAGAAATGAATACTGGGGCTTTAAGAGAATAAAATGCAGTAAAATATACAAATAACTGTAATTAATATCCCCGTTGTTGTATCTAAGCATGTAATGGGTACACAAATACAGAGAGGTGGACAGAAGGTGCAACTGAATTTGTTAATTATGTGGACTTTCTAAATAATTCAAATTGTTGTACTGACTAATCTAGAAAAATTAAACCTTCCTAGCAATGGCACGAAGCTGACATCTTCTTTCTTACAGTTTTGGCAGATTTCCGAGGATAAAGCTACGATAAATACCATCTGGATCGGTTGACATTATTGTTATATAAATTGCATAAGTTGCATATGTAATCGATACAAACAACTATTTTGAACAGCCATTGACTAATATTTTTATGCTATGGTTTCGAGCACGAGGTTTGAGCAGCTCACGGATGACGGACAAAACCTGAAATTGCAGAATTTTATTGAAAATCCGCCAAACCAAATCAAACAGATAACATATCCAATCCAAATGAACCCCATACCATGTTCATCGACAGAAATGAGTTATCCTTTATGTTTTAACTGACGTTTCTAAGACAATAAAGAAGAATTTGTGACATCAGCAGAAAACTATGTTACCATTTAGATGACCATAACTTATAAAATCCGACACACCAAATCACACAGATCACAATAAATAGAAATGAGTTATCCTTCAGACTTTAACTGAAGTTTCTCAAACAATAAATATGGCGTAGTGAAATCAATAGATAGCTATGTGACCATTAGATGACCATAACTTACGTAAAGGTTGATCGATTTTAATAATTCATTTGGGTTTCAGCGGGTTTGTTGTATCGGTTTTGTTTCCGTGCATTTACTATAAGACCAATATACTTGTTGTTAAAACTAATTTTTATGATCTAAAAGATTCTGTTTGCCTTTTATTCAGTTGTATTGTGCCTTTAAGACAACGGGGCGATTAATTTGTAAGCAATTAATGGTATAATTAAGTACAGTTATAAATATAACGTGGGTTGATTGATAGATATACAATAATAGCAAAATGCTAATCAATAATCTGCATTAACAGGTAATCAATAATCTACATTAAAAGGTAAAACATGGCAATTATTTGAACATAATATATTATGTATATATCACCATATTTTTCGCATCGTTGCCTTTATCAGTTTAATAAGCAAGTAAATGACATTTGGGAAGCTTTGGGTTCAAAACAGAGGGAGTGGGGGAGAGAGATGGTGGGGTAATATCCAGTCAAAATAGAAGATACTTCAAAACTAACATCTGGTACATTTCTATATCAATCATTCGCTTGAAGAGGTAACCGCAGAACCCAGAGAAACCCATGGGATTTAGGTCAGGCGTAGGCCACCCTTCTTCTTGTCACGTCTTGCATTAAAGACGCCACGCATGATCTAATGATTTAAAGCGTAAGTGTTAGAATACTCGCCCCTATCTCTGCCCCGCCCCCTCCCCGGTATACAGTATCGTAAAATGCGTACAGAGATTACCCCGTTTTAAAGAAGGTCACAAACAAAAATATGGACTATTAAACCAGATATATACAGCCTACGAACGCTGTACAGACAAACAAAAGTGAGTGGCAAAGTCCTTCACACCGATCTAGACTACGTGTTTAGTTGCTTACCGTGAATTGATAAAGGCCCATCGTGGTTGAAAAATGATGAGTTATTGCCATGGTGATGACTTGGAATGGGACTAAAACCTGTAACAATAAAATACAGACTCATGAACAATAAAATTCATCTTCTTTAATAAATCTAGCATTTCTAAGTGGAAGATGTACAACAAATACAAGTAAATTGAATTATTTATGTTAAGAACAGTCTATAGGCGTTCCACTAAAAGATGATAGTAGTTTTCCATGTTTCGGGAGTTCAAACATTTTTAAACAACAGGCAGATTTCGAGATCATTTGCATGTCATCTAAAAAAAAATCTGAAATTGGTCACCAACTAAAGGAATGGAAGATATATTTTTGATACATAGCGGATGATGTAAATTCGATATTCAGACAGTCTTATTTGCTGGAATATGCAGTGAATTTGACGTCATTGTCTGAAATTGACGAGTTTCAGAAATTATAACGTTGACTTTTATAACCTATTTACGGGAAGATATATTGTTTGCGAGAATAAATTACAAATGAGCCATCAAATTAATATAATTATTCATCGACAGCTGATATAATATGTGAGATGAAACTATTTGATATTTTGCTTCCAGTTTCGTCTTTATTAATTATTCATAAGATTGCCTCTAATCAAATGGGCTACATACACTGATATAAAGTAGTTGTTTTATAAACCGAATAACGGGATATCTGCATTGCATTATGTTAATACTCGCAATGCTACGCCCACATTTTTCAAGAGATGGACAGAGAACAAGCTAACAAGAAAAGCGATATTTTTGTACAACCAGGTGCCATAATCTAGGAAGTTACAGTTGGACGTGCGCGAATAACGACAGGAACCGAGATCTTTGGAATATAAAAAATTATTTTCAGTCTCATCAAAATCGGATAAAAATTGTGACATTTAGAGGGTCCACAACCTTGATATTACATACTTTAACACTAGTTGCGTACAGGGAGAGGCCATTTTGTCGGGAAGTTTCGGTCCAATTTTCAAGAAAATCGAACTCAACCATCATCATGGTGTAACGGTTTCAATATTGTAACCAACCAATAGAAGGTCCACAAGCCAATATCGGAAGGGAGATAAACATATATTTGAAGTTTCGTCAAAATCGGATAAATTATGTAACCCTTAGAGTGTCCCCAAACAAATTGTGGACGGACGGACGGAAAGACGGACAGGTGGGCGTATAAAAATGAAATGGGTTTAACATCTTACTTTCTGAACCAAGCGGGCTAATAATCCATGAAGTTACGATACATGCCATTCTCGAAAGGAGCCAAGATCTTTGGAAGATAAACCTTAATTTCAAGTTTTGTCAAAATCGAATAAAAATTCTGATCTGTAGAGTGACCACAAGCAAATTGTGGACGGGCGGACAGGGGCGACGACCATATACCTCCACATGAAATGTGGGCGTATAAAAACAACACAGTCTTGTTATTTTTCTGTATTTTTTGTATAACACACAAAAACAATTTAATTATTTTAATACGTAAGGTATTTATTTTCAACTAAACAACTAATTATTTTAAAATAAATATATAAATCTCTCAGCATATTTAGAACTAATTGAAAAAATATATCATGCATATAAAAGGCTTAAATTTGTTGTACATGGTTATTAATGGTGTGTATTTTTTATTTTCCTATTATATCAATATTTGTTGTAGGAAATACATTCATGGTACAGAAAGATAACAGCAATTATGGACTAGAACATCAATACCTTTATATTGCCATAGAAACGATATGTTGGAGTGATTTCGACCATTAGTTTAATAGGGCTTTAAAACGTTCAATATCTGATAAAAACACAAACTTTTTATACATTATAATTAATTTGTTGGTGTTTTTATTGCTTGCCAATATCGTACATCGTTGGAAAATGCGCAATTATAAAATTAAATAACGGAATACAGATAATGATTACCTTTGTACATCAATATTAATAATACATTTGCTGTTGAGGTCGATGGCGTCAACTGGCAGACTATCCCAATTCAGAAAACGATCAAAGTCAAGACCGGTCGCATCATCTTTTTTTTTTTTGTAAAACAATTAATCTTTTATTATTTTCATTATGAGTGAAGCCTGTCTCATTATGCTCACGGGTTGCCCCCGGGTCCATTCACTTGATTTGATATTTGTTGTTTTTCTTACAATATTTATTTCCGCAAGTTTGTCTTAATGGTTTTGGTTTGCGTGTAGCGCGGTTCTCCTGCACTTTCTCCGGAGATAAACACTTCCTGTTTCATATTTACAATCATTTGAACACGAGACGCGAGAGCGTCGAATTGTTCTAATGGATAATAATTTTTGACCGGTTAAATGGTAAAAAAAACCCAAGATAAATACGAAACAGGAACGTGTTTATCGATACTGTAGCAATAATATTTAGGGATTTTCTCCGGAACTATTTTGGAAATTTTTTTATTTGGCCACGTCCTTGCGTTCATTTTTCAAAATATTCTCAATAGATTTAGGCCGTCCTAATCACTGATAAATGGATTATGAAAGAAAATGTTTTTCGGATATCGCCAAAAATATTTTTTAACGTTCGGAGATTTTAAAAGAAGATGAAATTAGATTTATTACGGTGTTTTGGGTCGTCAGTTTCAGCGTTGATTGAAATATTTCCGATTTGTTAACCGAGACTAAAGAGTAGTAACTCTTGGCAACACAGATGAGTTCGCTTCGGGAGTTTCATAATAACATTGTTAAATTTTCAGATTTTATTTTTTTATTTGCAGTCTGTTATCACAAATTTGTATCTAGTTCTTTTCAGACAATTGCCTTTCATCCTTATACCCTATAAAATGCCCTATAAAACTGTGTGGTGTCTAGGATTCTAGCGGTTGCTATGTATAGGCCTACTGTTCTGACGTCAACAAATGTCAGTTTTGGCATAGAATCCCTGTTTATTAAGCCTATTTCAGTTAGATTCCCTGATTATACTTTCAAGCGATTTCTTGTGACTAATGACTTATCGTTAGGCAGATCATGCTAGTCAAAATTTGACCAAAGTGCGATTTTAGAAAAATTCAACCTGATTAAGTAATGATTGGTCATTGAAGCTAGCCTACCAAAAACGAAAACAAAATTGTCTATACTGTCACTGCCTAGGTACGAATATATTTGGGTACCTGAAAACAGTTTTAATTAATTTATGACTGATTTTCTACTGTTTTATGTATTTCAGGAAGGTGTTTTCATAAAAGGTGATGCTTGAAAATGGTGTGATAGTCATGTGTGCAGAATTTCTTGAAGATATTTATCAATAAAGATTTGAGCTGAGGAAGATCATTGAGCACACAACTGAAAAGAGTACTGCACTTAGGTCGATATTTATACGCAGAGGAAATTTGAGAGAGAGAGAGAGAGAGAGAGAGAGAGAGAGAGAGAGAAATGGGGTTTAACGTGCACTCGACACAAACTAGGTCATGTCGGGGCTAACATATAGTTCACTTTTATTTCCATAATTCGCTTGCGCGTAGGGGTCTTTAACAGTGGGAGGAAACCGGAGGACCCGGAGAAAACCAAGATTCGAAACCACGCCAGTTGACTCAATGACAGACTTTACGATACAGCGCGCACGTGCTAACCATTCAGCCGCCCCCCCCCCCCCCTAGGAAATTTCTGATTAGTGCTACAATATTTGAATCAATCCTCTGATACAGTCGCATGTAATCTTACAAAGCTAATTTCTATTAAGGATTTTATTTCTTTTTACAGTCGGTGGTACTACATTTTATGAAATAGTTGTTTAATATACACGTTTGGTCAATATTTTCACAACGTAAATGGGCCTACTAATAGTCTGTTAAAGATTGTATTCTATTTATCCAGAAACTGTCATGTGCTAATAACCTCTTATTTCTCATTAATGTGTTTCATAACGCATTAATTTAATTCTTGATATAGACATTTACCATATATTTGGAGGGGAAAAACATTGATCATCGTTAATAATGAAAGCTGCCTGAATATACATTCTAGAGCATTGATAATCATCACTGCTTCAAAATAATGGAAAAAAACCCATCTCCTCAATATATGACGACAACCAATACTACCTTATATTTTATTTTAGGCGCTATGTGATTTTTGTTTATTCTTATTTGGTTGATTCTGTTTATTTACCTGTTATGATCATATCTGGTACTTTATGGTACGACTTAGTATGACTACTACTTGGACCTTTGCTACCCGCGCCACGTTTTCCCTTTCCGGGAAGTGGCGGGAGTCGTCTTGTATTCATCTGACGAGTTGGACTGGACATGGCTTTTCACGATGGTGTTAATGCCTTTCCCAAATTCTCTTCATTATTATCTGAAATGCAATAAACTAATGCTTTAAAATAATTGCTGATTTTTTTTAACTAAGAATTTCCAAACTTTGTCATTATTGACACCGCAAAATATTTATATCTAATATAAAGCAGTGGCGATGATTGGGTCCCATGGTGACCACCTATGAAATATATTGTCCTGTTTTGTAATTATGTTTAGATGATCTTCGGTGGGTTTTTTTTTAAATCACTAACATTTGGTGGAAAAACATTCACTTGACTGAAGAAAACAGTCGTTAATAATGAATGTTGCCTTCGAATACAATGGACAAACTATATCTTGAAGTCCTATTTTGTTCCCCAAAAAATTGTTTACTCTCTTCATATACTGAAAGTTGCCTTCGTAAATACTAGACATACAAATATCGTGATCAAGCGACATTTTGTTGCCCAATAAATATTGTTTACGTTCTTTTCATAAACATGGTAAAGGCATGTATAAAGCCTAAATGTTTCTGTCCCACGGTAATGAGATAACTAGTACATGGTAGTACATGCAACGAATTCTATAGTACCCCTCTAGGACATATACTTTCTATTCAAAAAGAATGAAACAAGCTAAAAGGGGTATTCACGACCCTTTTATCACAATGGATTCATCAAGAAAATGTAGACCAAAAGAAATTTTAGCCTGGTTGTAAAAAAGGGACATCATTGTTCAGGGCTTGGATTGGGTTTCACGGGTTTGAGTATCAACATAATGGAGAAGATAGGATATAAAATGTCACCTTGCTACATATTTCCCCCTCCTTTTATATTGGTCGTGAGAAGTTTGTCTTATATACCATACAAGAATGTGTTCATATATGCACCCCACACTGTGTACCTTTGAATACTTTATAAATATTGTTATCGAATTATGACTGAAAATACTAAGCTACCCTGTAATAATATTACAACATTTGGGTGCTTTCGGGTTATGAGGGCATTTACATGCTAAGAATACTAATCGTTAATTAGTAAGCACATACTCTTTATATACATGCCACCCTTTGTATAATTTTCAAATGGAAACAAAATAGGCCGCCAATCAAGGTAATATCATTATTGCGTTTGTGTCAGCATGAAACGTATAAATAAGGTCTAAAATATTGGAATAAAATTGAGCGTTTGCTTTTTACTATATATGTATCAGAAATTACGTTACGAACGGTTTCGGGGTTCGAAACTTTGCAAAGTTTTTTTCATTTTTTTAATTTCCTACACTTCAAATAAGGTACAGTCTGTGAATAAATGATGTATTTAACTTTCAGCTAAACAATAACAATAGTTCTTGTAGTACCCCGTATTCGTAGATGTAATTATTAAAAGTGGGTTTATGTACTAGCATTAATACTGTGGCTTGACTTATAGTACCATCTTTCCTAAAAGGCAAAAGGGTACAATTACCCATTACAATGAAACGTCAAAATAAAGCACGAGGAGTATGACGGAGGATCGGATTTACTTTATAACCCAATAATAAACACCAACAGGCAAACGTGTTGATCCTTAATATTTAATAAAACCTTGTTACTTCAAAATAGAATAGGCTTTAAAGTGAATCATGTTTACTGCTTATAGTAAATCAATAAATATCACGAATAGCTCAGGCAGATTGTATTTTACTGGGTATCAATTGAGTCCTGATTAAATCGTTTTGAAACCCGAAACCCTTAAACAATCAAAAGTACTTTTATTTATTTTTGTAAAAGAGCAACAGCAACATTTTGGTCCGATAATTCTTTAAATAAGTCAATTGTAACTTAGTTTTGGTCATTTAATATTCAAATTTATATTTGACTTAAACAATAATAATCTGTTCGTACAACTACAAGCCATGAAGGGTTTTCTTATACTCAAATGTGCTTTATTACATAATAACAACGGTCTTACATTGAAGAAGTACATAATGTTGATAACTGAGGAATACTCGAACGACCTGGCTTTTCAAACCGCCGAAATATTTTGCGTCTGCCTAAACTAAACAGTAATATTAAGAAATGCTCAAACATTACCATCTAAGTTCATAAAGTCTTGTATAATAAGTTTTTAATACACTTATTTATGAGGTTTAAAAGCAGTGGTGCGTGAAAGATATTTCACATATAACTTGATTTTTTACACTATATATTTTGTTTGGTTTTTTTTTTAAAAAAATCACCGTAACCCAATATCTAGGAGTATTAAGGTTTGATACATCTGCAATTTACGACTGTCTTTTGTTTAAGTACATCTATACCCAATTACATAGACTTCTAGGTGATGAAGTGGATTTTCTGAGACAATATCAAATTTCATCATATTACGTACCGATGTACTTCAGAATACATACCGGCGTACTTATATACCATGATATTTACTAATGTACTTATTCTAAATGCGTTACGATGATCGCATTTTCATTTCTGGCAACATCGATAAAATAAAATATATAATCTAGAAATACAATTTATTGTGATATAGCGTGTTGTGATAAAAAAAATAAAATGTATCTAATCTAGAACTATTGGTAATGTGTTATGGGGTGTTGCAATGTTGTGATAAAACAACATGTATTTAATCTGGAAATTGTGAGATGGTGCCTGGCGATCTTGTGATAAAACAAATGTATTTAGTCTGGACAAATATTTTATATTGTGATGTAGTGCCTTGTGGTCTTGTAATAAAACAAAATGTATTTAATCTAGAAATGCAGTTTATATTGCGATGTGATGCCTTGCGGGCGGACTTATGATAAAATAAAATGTATCTTATCTAGAAATACAAGTTAAAAGTTTAAAAGACAGCACAAAGTCTAATTTTTAAAAGAATGTAATTGGGTTCTTCCTTGTGCCGCAATCAAAACTGCCACCGCTAAAGTTTTTAAGAACTTTATTTTGTTTCGTGTTTAGTTTTCACAGTATTTAAAATAAAGTTACTACGTAAGTTCAGGGATAACTCCGAAATTAACCTTTTTTTTATGGTGATAGCTATTAATAATAATTTACAAACTCAGAGTCCATGTTATGTAGGCTCACCCTATAAGGGATCCAAGCTAGCTCCGTAAGTAAGGCCCTATTTCACTAATATAGGGGCTCGGTTTCCATCCCATTGCTGGCCGAGAAAGTCCCTAGGAATTCACCAGTCTGTAGGGCGGGTGGGGGGCTCTGGTATGGAACAGCGAATAGTGATTCGGATGGGTTAAAAAAAACGGCGTTTCGTGTACACATAATTGGTGTACCAGTAAACGAACCCTTGGTAGTTGGAATTTGACATGAAATGAAATGAAATGGGCTTTAATGTCCTATTGTTCTGCTAAGACAGTTGGAATTTGAAGAGGAGTAAACACCGCTGTCCTGGAAAAATGTTCGCCATAGCACACTGTATGTCCGTCTACACGAGCTCCGGTGATTTAAATAGGTAGGGCGTTAAACCCTATTTCATTACATTTCCTTTTCTGTTCTCTGACGTTGGCACACTGTTTAGTAATACCCAAATGAAACAAGTGTGGCGCACGTCATTTGATCAAAGAATGTAACCTGGAGCAAGGATATTATAGCATTACCAAGGATTAATATCCATATAATTAATTAAATGACGCCAAAGCCAGTATATTGCTCACAGCAGTGCATTCTGTGTCCATTAGAATAATATATTATTCAATACCTTACGGTAAATAACCATACGTGATTTGATCACCTGAATGTTATTGTGTGTTAAGGGAAAAGCACTTCCTTGGTGCTGTTGGAATTATATTTACGATTTAAATCATCGAGACCATATTACAGTCTAGAATGTGTTTCCTATCAATAAATGCGATTAAATATCAATTTATTTATACTCTTTACAGCACAGGTGGACTTTTGTGATTCACATTTTATTGCGTGGCGAAGTATTTAGTTCACAAATAATGTGAAGATTTACATTAAAAAATTTCTATTGTATAAATACCTTTTAAAGTTTGCGCATAACGTGGACACCAAATCTGAGGATATGAACCGTCAATATAACACCGAAACTTATTATTTGGATATTTTAAATCTATATTCGTCTTGAACAGTATTTGTCGATGAGCTAGCGCCTTGAAAATGGAAATAAACTTGAGGGACTTAATAGTCACGATCAAATATTAAATAATTCGTCCATAGCTTTTGAAATGCGTTTCGAATCAAATTTACAATAATTAATCACACCCTCAAACATCCAAACGTCAACTTGAAAGTGTCCGTATAGGCGATATAGCTTATGACAGATGTTTCGAATCATATATTTACAGATTAAACATCGATATTGTCCAACATTTTAGAGGGAGGGGGAAACGTTGCTTAACGTCCACTGGAGACAAAATAGGTCATTTCGGGACTAACCTATGGTTCAATTTTATTTCAATAATTCGCTAGCGCGTAGGGGTCTTTACCGGGGGGGGGGGGGCAGAGAAAACCCACGAGGTTGGACATATAACCTAGTCCTTGTCACGTACAAGTAGGGAATCGAAACAGACCTTCTGATCCAACGCGAACGCGTTAACCATCCGGCCACCCAACCCCACATTATAAGCTTATTCACAGGGGCGGCGCCAGCCGCCGGTGGTTGGAGGTTAAGGGGGCAAAGGCACGAGCTTCAACTAGGGGTATGGGGCTACCCCCAGACATTTTTGAAACTCAGGCTACTGGAAATGCAGTCTGGCAGTATTTCAGTCACTGATCGTTGAGATAAAGTGTCAAACGAACGGACGGAGGGTATGCGGAACCTCCCCCAGAAAATTTTGAAAATAGACTGCCAGAAATGCTGTCTGACAGTATTCAGTCAGTCACCGATCGTCAAAAAATGAAATGAAATGGGGTTAATCGTCCTACTATTCTGCTCCGAACTGGGCTAATGAAGAAGGGCATACGCCATACAGTGTGCTATGAGGGAAATTTTGCCCGGACAGCGGCACTACGGCCTACTCTTATATCGAATTCCAACTGTTAATGGATCTTTTACGTGCACGCAAATGTGTACACGGGACCTCGGTTTTTCGTACCATCCGAAGGACTAGACAGCTGTCCTTGTCAGGCCCTCCGTCCTGCATCACTGACAAGTGGGAACCCCGCCGGAAAATCTGGATGAACTTTCTCGGCCAATGCAGGTATCGAACATCCGACCTCCAGGCTTGCGAGCCAGCGTCTTACCCACTTAGCCACCGTGATCCCCCGATCGTCGAGATAAATAGAGCTGACCAGATACCGTCTGTCGCCTGATCACTAGTTTATCCGACCCAAGAGAGTCAAGGAAGCCCCCGAAAATTTGAAAAATGGATTGCCGAAAATGCAGTCTGGCAGTATTTCCGACACCGGTCGTCGAGATAAACAGAGCTGACCAGATACTGTTCGTGGCTTGTCTGCGACATCACTTCAGTGAAAGCGGACGTTAAAACACCAAAGTACTACTACTACTACTGTTCGTAGCGAGTGTCAAACGAACGAAGTGAGTGTATCAAAGTGAATGAATATTCTCGCCGCGATGAACCTATACCCACGTGTTATTGTTTATAGTTAGTAGGTTTACAGCAGCATGGGCTTGGTAAGAAATCACTCAAACTCTACAACATGGAAGTCTATGACTAAGTGGGAATGTGGGATTTAATCACCGTAGAAGGTATCACAAATACTTTTTTTTATTTTCTGAAATTATTGGAGGGGGGTGGGGGGAACAGAGGGCAGACTCCCCTCCCCTCTTTGGCGCCGCCACTGCACGTGCATCACATTTTCAATAGCGAACTTCCGGGTTATCGTAAGTAACCTATACTATGATGAACGAGATTCGTAGTCAGATTCTAGTATCGCTGAAAAAAATGTTTACACTGTGTGAACTGTATTATTGTAATACTAGTTTGAAATTTGGAAATACGTTGGATCTTTAAAGGTTAAAATTATACAGTTCTACAATAATTGACAGGTGGATTTATTGTTTTTTTTTTTTTTTAGTTTTTGACGTAAGAAGGAAGCACAACTAAAAGTATATCATAAAACGTATTGTTATGACGTAAAACCTAAAATGAATAATTGTTATGAAATGCAATACGAAATAATTACTAAGCATAAACTGTGAGCTTCGGTTACAATGACTGACTTTTATACAGTATTTTTTTTAAGTAAAATATACAACACTCATCACAATACGAATTTAATTTCTACACTTGGTGAACATGAATAAAACATATATATGTTTGTACCTACATGTATATCAGATATTAATAAACGTACATCGGATTAATCAAATGTATATGTATTCGAGTTGTCTACTGATCCTCAACAATACATAGTTTTTAAGTGAAATATACAACAGATATCCACAGTTCGAATATAAAGGGGAGCCACGGTGGCTAGGCGGTTAAGACGCTGGCTCGCTAGCCTGGAGGTCGGGTGTTCGGTCCCTGCATTGGCCGAGAAAGTTCATCCAGATTTCCCTACGTGGTTTCCCCTTGTCAGTGGTGCAGAATGGAGGGCCTGGCAAGGACAGCTGTCTAGTCCTTCGGGTGAGACGAAAAACCGAGGTCCCGTGTATACATTGGAATGCACGTAAAAGATCCCTTGGCAGTTGGAATTCGATATAAGAGTAGGCGATAGTGCCGCTGCCCGGGCAAAATTTCCCTCATAGCACACTGTATGGCGTATGCCCGTCTTCATTAGCCCGGTATAGGAGCAGAACAGTAGGACGTTAAACTTCATTTCATTTCGAATATAAAGCCTACATTTCTGTGAATAGGAATAAAAAATATATATTTTACACCTACATGTATATCAGTCTGTAATAAACGTACATCGGATTAAACCTGTTTGTATACTAATCCTCGACGATACATACTATATAATATACTATATTAACCGTAATCACTTTCCTTTTTAAACCACATTCCAGCTTATTCATTTCTTACTGAATACAATACGAAGATATCATCTTCAGTTAATTTATAGATTATCCTACATTAAACGTATATCAACTCCCCAATTTATTAATCAATTACCTTAAGATATTGTTCATGTGCTCCGTTAATCTCTAGAACAAACATAGAAATACAACAACAAATCGATAAACTCGTAAATGATTTTATAGACCTTAAAATCAAGACAAACCCCGCTATAAAAGCATTAAATTTATTGTAAAGTTACTTTATAATTTATGACTTACTCAGTTTACCCTGACACAAGTTTGAACTTCAACATAAAGTATGTACCGATGACATAAAAGATACCTAAAAATATCGGCTTTCTTGTCGTTCTGATAATAATATACACATAAATTGTGAAAATGTCAAGTGATTTAATAATTACATAATTGTCGAAATGAATAAGCTAGATGTTGAGACACAAACTTCATGATAAAGAAATTGAAATGAAATGAAATGAAATGAAATGAAATGAAATGAAATGGGGTTTAACGTCCTACTGTTCTTCTCCTATGCTGGGCTAATGAAGACGGGCATACGCCATACTGTGTGCTATGAGGGAAATTTTGCCCGGGCAGCGGCACTATCGCCTACTCTTATATCGAATTCCAACTGCCAAGGGATCTTTTACGTGCATTCCAATGTATACACGGGACCTCGGTTTTTCGTCTCATCAGAAGGTCTAGACAGCTGTCCTTATCAGGCCCTCCGCCCTGCATCACTGACAAGGGGGAACCACGCCGGAAAATCTGGAGATAAAGAAATTAAAGTATCGAAAATGAAATGAAATGAGGTTTAACGTTCTACTGTTCTGCTCCGACTGGGCTAATGAAGACGGGCATACGCCATACAGTGTGCTATGAGGGAAATTTTGCCCGGGCAGCGGCACTATCGCCTACTCTTATATCGAATTCCAACTGCCAAGGGATCTTTTACGTGCATTCCAATGTATACACGGGACCTCGGTTTTTCGTCTCATCCGAAGGTCTAGACAGCTGTCCTTATCAGGCCCTCCGTCCTGCATCACTGACAAGGGGGAACCACGCCGGAAAATCTGGAGATAAAGAAATTAAAGTATCGAAAATGAAATGAAATGAGGTTTAACGTTCTACTGTTCTGCCCCGACTGGGCTAATGAAGACGGGCATACGCCATACAGTGTGCTATGAGTGAAATTTTGCCCGGGCAGCGGCACTATGGCCTACTCTTACATCGAATTCCAACTGCCAGGGGATCTTTTACGTGCACGCCAATGTATACACGGGACCTCGGTTTTTCGTATTATCCGAATGACTAGACAGCAGTCCTTGAATTAAAGTATCAGATCAGCTAACATTCTGTACTAACTGGGAAAAAATACGAGCATACGTTATGCAGTGTAATTTGAGAGAAATTTTGTCCGGACAGCGGCAATTTCGCCAACTCTTCTCACAAATTACAACTGCCAAGGGCTATTTTACGAGCACGCCAAGCAGTACGCATTTCGCCACTTCAAACGACTACTCGTGTACACCCTGCCAGCCCTGAAAAAAGGGAAAACAGGGTGGAATATCTTAAGAACTTTATCGGCCAACATTGGGATAGTACACGGGGGACCAGCCACTTACTCACTGAGCCAAACTATCAATTCATTTCTCATAATAAATTGCTACTTTATCAAAATGTGAAGTGATTTAAAAGTAACGTACCTGATGAAATAAATAAATTAATAATATTGGGAAACTGGCAAATGTTTTAGACAGATAATCCACAAATCCTGTTAATTTGTTTAAAGATCACATGTAAACGTTTAACCATATCATTTTTTATCGTGTGGTCTTACAGATAAGCTCCACATTAAAATCGGATGTCCTACAGACTATGTAAATAGGTTATCTTAATAATAACCAGCTGAGAGCAAACTATGCGCGTAACATTCTATGTGAATAATGCAATTAAAGAAAATAAAACAATAATACAGTCACTTGTGAAAAATAATATAATTATCAGCCAATGCGCTTTTAATTATATATTCTTAGGTAACATGTCTTATCTGGCATATGAGGTTATAACAATTATTATATAATATATATATATATATTAGTCTTCATTTCTCATTCTGCAAAACAACATACTGATTATTAGAAAATGTTTTTGAACAGGTGAAATAGCTTATTATTTCAGAACAATATACTTGTTAAAATTAATCAGTAACACATCCTCCTGTGTTTATTCTAGTCAGAAGTAATTACATAGGAGAAGAATATTTGTAACCCTCGGTCACAACGTAGATAATAAAGTTAATAATGTATACATCAAAACGTCTATTTTAATAACGTAGAAAAAAAATGAAATAAATTGGCGTTAAACGTCTTACTTTTCTGCACCGACTGGGCTAGTGAAGACGAACATACGCCATACAGTGTGCTAATGAGGTAAATTTTGCCCGGACAGTTGTACTACGGCCGTCTCCTATTACGAATTCCAACTGTCAAGAGTTCTTTTACACAGATCCTTTGTGCTTGGTTACAGTTTCTTGACAAGGCCTTCGTCCTGCAAAACTACTGATACTAATAAACTTCCCTAATTATACGAGGTTTATAAAGAAGGGTGGATATAATGAACCAGAAGTAACATCTGCTCAACCCTTCTGAAGGATGAAGAGATCACAGCAGATTTTGACATCGACTGTGAAAACACAACCGAAATTTGAAGACATGCCGGTTAGATAAGTAATGAGACCCTAGTATTAACATTAACTCAGTTCAAATTATCGAATCAGCTTGAGATCACAAACCCGATTATATTAATTTCTTACCTTTAAAAAAGTCTATCTATGTCCTTTTAACGAAATAATAACACCTTAGACCGCTAAAAACGTGGTTACTTTGATCCGTAGACTGAAAGGCTTTCAAAATATTAGCAATGTTCTATTGCCTACGTTCTGTTTTCCTAATCACGTATCGAACTTGCTACACCAAACGTTACCTTATCCAAACACACGATGAATTATAACTATTCAGGGTCTAAAGCTCGGTTGACAATAAATCAGTGAGCAGATCTTTCACGTATATCAATCAATAATATTATTAAAGGTTATAATATAATATAATGCAGTGGGTAGTAGTCTTTGTGACAAAATTTACGTTTACCGCACTACCTTCGCTACATATCTACACTGACTCTCACTCATATAAACAGATTTATTTTCACGGTACAACACAATACAATCTGTCAATATAGAAGGTACGCATCCGTGACGTCATTAGAAAACGCGTAGCAACCTGTAAATTTCATTTCTATGTCTGGCACTAATGAAAGCTAAATTATCATTTGGGTTTAGATCGTGTAAAGGCCATTATAACATATAGTGTCGACAAGGGTATATTAACAGCGACGATCCCTGACTATTGATCAGGCTGTAGGTATTGTTCGCGACAACAATAGTTGGATTTTTACCACGTTAATAAACCTTTCTCGCTCGCCAATCTTGTGTAGGTATATTATAGCCTACGACTTCCATAATATGAAGGTAATTCCTTTCATACTATGACGTCAAATCGCATTAAGCCCCGTTAACACTTCTATACATTCATCTGCTGAAAATTCGAAGAAAAGCCTAATTTGTCAGCATCAAACCGAACGTCTTGTGTGAGGTGCATGTGTGCGTAAGCTAAATCGGCAGTAGAAAACAAGATCAGACAGACGGACTCAAGTAAGGGCATGCGGATGGACAGAAATTGCTCGACGACATTATAAATGCAAATTGAAAATGTGATTAATAATAAACGCAAGAATCGCCTGCGTTAATGAAATTAACACAAAATTGTCCCCCTTGGTAATATCCATGCTATTATTATCGTATTGGAACATCACTAAACATTGGCGTGCACGTAAAAGATCCCTTGGCAGTTGGAATTCGATATAAGAGTAGGCCGTAGTGCCGCTGTCCGGGCAAAATTTCCCTTATAGCACACTGTATGGTGTATGCCCGTCTTCATTAGCCCAGGTTAGGAGCAGAACAGTAGGACGTCAAAACTCCATTTCATTTCATTTCTGTCACCACAGAGTTCTTGATGTGGAAATTTACACGGAAATATTTATTTATGGCTTTCTTATCTAAATTAGATCCTGCTTATATATATATATATATATATATATATATATATATATCCCTAGCCATTAATAAATATTTCCGTGTAAATTTCCACATCAAGAACTCGTAGTATTATTCTTACAATTTCTCGTACAATAGGGGCCACAAGGCAAGAAGTTAGGCCCGATATACGCGAACATCAAACCAAGATCTTTGATACATAAACATATAATATTAAGTTTTTTTTCAAAACCGGATACAAATCGTTAGAGGGACCACAGCCTTCGATCCGATTATCACAAAATTCAAACCCAGGGTGTAACGGTGTATATTTAAACGGTTTTTAAAATCGGGTATAAACTGTAATTTTTGGTACACCCGGGGTCCATAATCTAGGAGGTTACGGACCGATATGTGCGAATATGGAAAGAAACAAAAATCCGTGGAATATAGACATATATTTTAAGTTTGATCAAAATCGGATAAAAAAAATTGTGACTTCTACAGTGTCCACAACCTTGGTATTATATACTTTTATACTATTTTTGCGAACGAGGAGCGGGCAGTTTCAATCCGGTTTTCATGAAATTCGAACTCAACCATCATAAGGGTGGAATGGTGATATGTTAGAACAGCTTTTAATATTGGATAAAATGCCAATATCAAAAGGAACCGCGTGTCCACAAATAAATTGTGGGCTGACAGGGGCGACTCAATACACGTCCACTTGAAAATATGGGCGTACAAAAATAGCTCAGCATGATAAAACTTGGTTTTTGGAAGACTAAACAACTGATATCAAAGACTTTATATGAAATGAGATTTTTATTTTAGAAATTAAAATGTTAAGTTATTTGATACTCCCACTGGCAGGTTAATAGTTGTCAACGCTTATGTAGTTTATATTAGGGCAATACTACTCAAGACGGACATGTTGTTTAGATCAGCATACCAAGCAATTAAAATCAGTGAACCGGACCAAACCCAAACATCCAAAATTTAGCACTTTTTCCTAGATAGTCCTAGCACTGTAAAGGTCGTTGACCATTTCCGATATTGATGGAAAAAACAAAACCCATCATTAGTCTATATATATATTGGTTATCCAATGAGTATATACGTTGCTAATTAAATGAAGTGATTTTCCCATATATCTATTACATATATCTATTGATGTACTGTGACACGCCAAATCATTAGCGGACCTGTAATATAATTATCACTTAATTAGTCAACCAGTTCATTATAGTCTCCACAGGGGAACTAAAAAGAAAAAAAACCCGACAATTTCCCGACTCCATAGGAGATACCATAACTCTAAACTTTTCTAATTACTGACGTACAAAAAAAATCAAAATCTTCAAATGAAACCTTTAAAGAGGCAGTAGCTCTTTGCAGTTCTTGGCCGATTAGTAAATTATAGATTTCGACTTGAGGTAATTTGATTAAGAGTTAATGAGATATAAACGTTTTAATTCTAAATTAAGAGTCTTTTCAAGCGGTTTAACTAAAGCTCGTACGATGCTAATATTGTTTGTAATTAGGAAATCTATGCTAAGTCTGGATATATTATTCAAACTAAATTACATTTATTTTCTTGGTGAGGGTGATAATGCCAAATCTCAGAATAACATCCGACCCCGCCACTTGTGTACTTGGAAATTACGTTGACATTGCTCACAATGTGTGCCCCACGTTCGTCTTAGTTGGCGTAACCCATGTTAAAGTATGGCACTCGTCAGTCACTTTGCCAGATATTCCATTTTTATGGATAATTCTTAAATTAAATTCTAGGCTCTATGTTTTCGGTAAAAAAAACTGATTTAAAAAATTGGTTATTCAAATATTCTCATAACCTGTAATTCCACATAACGGAAACAGTCGTTGCACAGCGAAATCGTTTCCATTTATAAAACGCTACCGCATACGAAACCATCTGGAGATAAAGAAATTAAAGTATCGAAAATGAAATGAAATGAGGTTTAACGTTCTACTGTTCTGCTCCGACTGGGCTAATGAAGACGGGCATACGCCATACAGTGTGCTATGAGGGAAATTTTGCCCGGGCAGCGGCACTATCGCCTACTCTTATATCGAATTCCAACTGCCAAGGGATCTTTTACGTGCATTCCAATGTATACACGGGACCTCGGTTTTTCGTCTCATCCGAAGGTCTAGACAGCTGTCCTTATCAGGCCCTCCGTCCTGCATCACTGACAAGGGGGAACCACGCCGGAAAATCTGGAGATAAAGAAATTAAAGTATCGAAAATGAAATGAAATGAGGTTTAACGTTCTACTGTTCTGCCCCGACTGGGCTAATGAAGACGGGCATACGCCATACAGTGTGCTATGAGTGAAATTTTGCCCGGGCAGCGGCACTATGGCCTACTCTTACATCGAATTCCAACTGCCAGGGGATCTTTTACGTGCACGCCAATGTATACACGGGACCTCGGTTTTTCGTATTATCCGAATGACTAGACAGCAGTCCTTGAATTAAAGTATCAGATCAGCTAACATTCTGTACTAACTGGGAAAAAATACGAGCATACGTTATGCAGTGTAATTTGAGAGAAATTTTGTCCGGACAGCGGCAATTTCGCCAACTCTTCTCACAAATTACAACTGCCAAGGGCTATTTTACGAGCACGCCAAGCAGTACGCATTTCGCCACTTCAAACGACTACTCGTGTACACCCTGCCAGCCCTGAAAAAAGGGAAAACAGGGTGGAATATCTTAAGAACTTTATCGGCCAACATTGGGATAGTACACGGGGGACCAGCCACTTACTCACTGAGCCAAACTATCAATTCATTTCTCATAATAAATTGCTACTTTATCAAAATGTGAAGTGATTTAAAAGTAACGTACCTGATGAAATAAATAAATTAATAATATTGGGAAACTGGCAAATGTTTTAGACAGATAATCCACAAATCCTGTTAATTTGTTTAAAGATCACATGTAAACGTTTAACCATATCATTTTTTATCGTGTGGTCTTACAGATAAGCTCCACATTAAAATCGGATGTCCTACAGACTATGTAAATAGGTTATCTTAATAATAACCAGCTGAGAGCAAACTATGCGCGTAACATTCTATGTGAATAATGCAATTAAAGAAAATAAAACAATAATACAGTCACTTGTGAAAAATAATATAATTATCAGCCAATGCGCTTTTAATTATATATTCTTAGGTAACATGTCTTATCTGGCATATGAGGTTATAACAATTATTATATAATATATATATATATATTAGTCTTCATTTCTCATTCTGCAAAACAACATACTGATTATTAGAAAATGTTTTTGAACAGGTGAAATAGCTTATTATTTCAGAACAATATACTTGTTAAAATTAATCAGTAACACATCCTCCTGTGTTTATTCTAGTCAGAAGTAATTACATAGGAGAAGAATATTTGTAACCCTCGGTCACAACGTAGATAATAAAGTTAATAATGTATACATCAAAACGTCTATTTTAATAACGTAGAAAAAAAATGAAATAAATTGGCGTTAAACGTCTTACTTTTCTGCACCGACTGGGCTAGTGAAGACGAACATACGCCATACAGTGTGCTAATGAGGTAAATTTTGCCCGGACAGTTGTACTACGGCCGTCTCCTATTACGAATTCCAACTGTCAAGAGTTCTTTTACACAGATCCTTTGTGCTTGGTTACAGTTTCTTGACAAGGCCTTCGTCCTGCAAAACTACTGATACTAATAAACTTCCCTAATTATACGAGGTTTATAAAGAAGGGTGGATATAATGAACCAGAAGTAACATCTGCTCAACCCTTCTGAAGGATGAAGAGATCACAGCAGATTTTGACATCGACTGTGAAAACACAACCGAAATTTGAAGACATGCCGGTTAGATAAGTAATGAGACCCTAGTATTAACATTAACTCAGTTCAAATTATCGAATCAGCTTGAGATCACAAACCCGATTATATTAATTTCTTACCTTTAAAAAAGTCTATCTATGTCCTTTTAACGAAATAATAACACCTTAGACCGCTAAAAACGTGGTTACTTTGATCCGTAGACTGAA